TGGTAGCCATTTTGTGCGGCCGTGGCGCAGTGGTTACAGCGTGTCATGGTAAGGAAGGAAGCGTGAACTTCCTGGTTAAATGCACTTCCGCGGTGCTCTGTGACAAGACCGTAAGGTCTTCTTAGCGCACCTAAACAACAAAAGAAAAAAAAAAAAAAATTCTTTTCGTTAGACTCTTCATTTATAATACGTTTTTTAAAAGCTAAATTATACTTGTAATCTTGCCATTAAAAACCAAAGCAGCGCAAATTCGTGATCTTAAGCTAATATTGTAACGATCGCAATAATACAGTTCCCAAAAAAATCGTTTTTTCAGTTTTAAAGTTTTTAAGTAATATAATTATTGTAGATTAGGAATTTCGAATTAGTTTTATATAAAATTAAAGCTAACCCTATTAAAAACCAATTTATAATAATGCGGTTTAGACTATTTTTAATTTTTTTTCATAGCAACTGATTGTTTATTCCGTTGCTATGTAGCTAAAAAGCAAGTTTTCTTTCAAAATACCATAAAAATTCAGAAAAAAAACTACATGTGTGGCAACTGCTACTCTAAAACTACTTTTTGTTTAATAATAAATGCTTTTGGTGCTGTATGTTACATGGTTATTAACGGATTTCTTCACTATATGTCTAATTACTTAACAACAACCGCATCAATCTTTGGCTTATTCTCTATGTTCTTACCTTGGATCATACCTTGGTTAAGTAATTATTAAAACTAGCAGTTTTAATAATTGTTAGTAAATAAAATTAAAAAAAAAACCGCGTATAGAAAAGCCTAGAAAATGACGTAACTCGACTAATATTAAATTAGCGTATTCATATTATCAGATAATGGGAAATAAATATATAACAAATAAAATAAGGTATAGCAAAAAACGTAGATTCTTCAGAGGAAACCAACATAAAACATCAAACATTGTAGCTGCAGAAAATCTATCTAATTTACAAGAATTACAATCAAATGTAGCTCAGCAAAAAAAAAATGAACACAATGTCATCCAGTTCTAGTAGTAAATCTTCTGTAGATATTGTAAATAATAATTTTGTAAATAAAAATAATTTTTCTGCTAATGGTGATCAGTCCAATGACTGCTATATTTTTATGAACACAACATTTTAGAAGAAATAATAACTACAATTGGCTGCTGACCAAAATGTTCTGCAAATGTAACTTTTAACCATGATGCTAAACTTAAAAAAGGTTTATCACACTGTATATTTATTTCATGTGGATCTTGCCAATGAAAGCAAAAATTTTATTCAAGTAAAACTATAAGCAAACCAGTAACAACTGGTCTAAAAACTTTTGACATTAATTTAAGAATTATATTAGCTTTTCCAGAAATAGGTAAAGGATACTCTAGTATAAAAAAATTCTGCGGTTTAATGAATATGCCTGATCCTATGAACAAATCTTCTTTTAACTCATTAAGTAAAGAAGTTGACAACTCTTACAATTACATTGCCGAAGCTAGCATGAATGTTGCGGCTAAAGAAGTAAGAATAATTAGTTTGAAAAAAAATTATAATGATCGTATAATAGTTGATGAGGACATTTCAGGGGACGGAGCTTGGCAAAAGAGAGGATACTCATCACTAAATGGATTTATTACTATAATAAGCAAAACAAATGGAAAAAGTATAGATTATCGCATACTTTCTAAGAAGTGCAAATCTTGTGAGGATTGGAATGCACACCAAGATTCATCAAAATATATGATGTTTAAAGACAATCATGTTTGCTCGATTAATCACAAAAGATTAGCTGGATCAATGGAGGCAAAAGGAATTGTTGAATGTTTTCAGTCCTCTATTGAGGAAAGAAAACTAAGATATGCTCGATACATTGGTGATGGTGATTCTTCCTCTTATCCAGCCATACTTGCAGCAAATCCCTATCCAGGACAGACAGTTGAAAAAGGTGAATGTGTAGGTCATGTACAGAAATGTATGGGCACTAGACTACGAAACTTAAAAAAAATGTACTAACAAAAATGATCTTGAAGATAAAAAGTCACTTGGTGGCAAAGGTAGGCTGACTGAAAAGGAAATTAACAAAATTCAAAATTACTACGATATTGCTATTCGCCAAAACATTGATAATCTTTATCAGATGCGTAAAAATATATTAGCAGTGTTACATCACTCATGTATGGCAGATTCATTTGATGCAAGGCATATTCTTAGTCCAAAAACCAAAGATTCATGGTGTAACTACCAAAGATCAAAGTTTCAAAATAAAGATTATAAAGAAAAACTAGGTTTACCTAATGCTATAAAAACATTTATAAAACCAGTATTAAGTAATTTAATGTCAGAAGATCTTCTTTCTAAAAGTCTCCATGGATCAACACAAAATAACAATGAATCTTTAAATGCTTTAATTTGGAAACATTGTCTAAAAGATGTTTATGTTGGAATCGATGTGTTAAATTTAGGTTGCTGTTCTGCAACCATTAATTTTAATGATGCACTTAATGGTATTATTAGAGTTTTTGAAAAACTTTATTTAAAACCAGGACACTATTCTTCAAGTTTTTTTGCATCTTTTGATTTAAAAAGAGTTAAAAATATGGATTAAAAAAAAAAAAAAAATGAATTAAAAAAAATGAATGAATTAAAAAGATGAATTAAAAAAAAAAAAAAAAAAAATTGTGATTAAAATGTGAATTTTAATTAACTTATAAAAAATAATTTGTAAAATATAATTTTTGAAGGATTTTAATAGTGGTCTACCACCTAATGTATTAATGATTATAACATTAAAATAATCCTAGACATTTCCGCACAAAGAAATTCTCTTACAAATGATTTTTTGAGGTTTTTGTGAATTGCTTTTTAGAGTAGTTACAAAAAAATTGCTAATGTTTTGGAAAACCACATTTTTACATTAAAATACAAATAGAAGCAAAAAAACACATTTATTCATTTTCAAGTAGTCTTATGTATAATCCTTTTTCTTTATATGTAATGTATTAACCTTTTTTTATTTAAAGAGATAATCTTTTTAAAGAAAAGTTGTATTTAGTAATTGCAGTTGAAAAATTATTTTTTTTAAACTTGGTTGCAAATATTTCGGAGGATAGTGTATATTAAATCTCAATCTATCAGAATTTATGAGAAAAAATATTTTTCACTCTACCCAATCTCATTTGAAATAAAAAGGTTAACTCTACATAGGATTTGTTTAAAATGAACATGTGTTTAAAATGAACATGTGTTTAAAATGAACATGTATTTAAAATGAACATGTGTTGGTAAAACATAATGCTACATCTCGTTATAAAGTCTAAAAGTAGAAAATTATGCAAAAAATATACTTTTATATTTGATATGTCACTTTTAAATTTGTAATAAAATTTTTTTTAGCCTTTGTATTAAAACCTTTTTCTTTTTACCCTTGTATTAATTTTTTTTTTCCCTTAAATAATGTATAAGTTACATAACGAAATTAGGGTCGAAAACATCTCAATTAAATTCGTTAAAGTTTTGGATGAAACCGTACAACTTTAAACACGAAATATTAGATATTTCAATTACTTTCAATTAAAAAACCTTTTTATTTCAAACATTTCGAAAACAAGCCTTCGATTATTTTTAAAAAAAAGCATATAAGACCTATTAGCAATGAAGTTAGATGATGGTTTTAAAACTTGAAATAAATAATAGCCTAAAATATGTTAATAATTTATTCGCGTGTTAGTAGAAATATTTCAAATAAGATTTGTTTCTACCAATACATGGTGACATAAGTACATGTCTCCCTACAAATATAAAATTTTTGCAAAACATTAGAATAAGAGAAAAAAAATATCATACTTAAGTCAATACCTCTAAATTCTTTCGTTGTTTAACAGAAACATTTTTCATAAACAAACACCACTATACTTTTATAATCTATGCTAAATATTTTTTTCACTAAAGATAAGTAAAAAAAAATAATTTAACTAGAACTATTGTAAATAAACTAAAAATGTAAAAACTAAGAATAAAGTAAACTTATTTACTTGCAATATAAGTTATATTTCTGTAACATAAATAATACAACGTGAATTAGAATCCTGCACTACTAAAGTATTTACTAAGTGGTACTAACTACTAAAGTACTTAGGAACACATAATATATATATATATATATATATATATATATATATATATATATATATATATATATATATATATATATATATATATATATATATATATATATAGAAAAATATTTTCAATTTTATTTTAGATTTTTAAATGGTTCGGATCAGGTAATAAAAGAATAAAGATAAGAATTGAATATTTAAAATTAATTTGTCAAATAGTAAAATAATGAGGCTGATGTAAAATTAGGTAGTCGGTAAAATGCGAACCGGTAAAATGCGATTCGTTCACGGTTTGCCGTTTACCGACTACCGTAAAATTATGGTGCTCTGGATAAAATTTTTAATATTAATAAATTTAAAAGTTATTAATTAAAGATATCCACTAAATGGTTACGCACTAAAGATATCTACAAAAAAAGGAAAAACAAAGTGTATTTGTGGTACTCAATAAATATAGGTGCAATTGAATCATCATCTAAAGAGGCAACTGGTTGCTGTATAAACCACAACATCAAAATTATGATTATGTAATTATTTATTGATCTAACAAGTCTGTTGATGGAGAATATGAAAAAGATACAACTAATGGTAATATATACCCTTAGCTGCGATCTATGATTTACATTAAATATCTCTAAATATTATCTGATATTATGATCTGCAATAAACATCAATATAGATTGCATCATAATAAAAAAAAAATAAGTGGGAATTAACTACATGCGGACAGAGAACTAGGACTTGGACAGTATTTATGTATGATGGAGATTTATTACAGCAAAAAAGTCTGCAGAATATAAAACTAACGGGTAGACAAAATAACTAACCAATTAATAATAACAAAAAATTGGAAATAGTTTTTTGCACAAAAAATTATTTTGTTCTAAGACCAACATAAAGTTTTTGAATTATTTTTATATTTAAAATAAAAATCAAGTAAATCAAAAAATACTATTTTTACAATAACATTTTTAAAAATTAAAACCAACTTTTTCTTCGAATCCCAGGAGATTCCAATAATTCTAAATAACAATCTTAAAATACTGCAACTTATTTTCAAAATATATTTAATTTATAAAATACATTTATAAATAATATAGTAAAAAACATTCAAAAACAATAAACTTATATAAACACACTTATAACTAATATAAAATATCAAGAAACTAGTTAAAAAACAACTTTTTGTTTTTTAATAAATTATTCTTAATAAACTTTTTGATCAAAAAAACATTTCAAATAATTTTGGAAAATTTTAAATAACTGATTTTCGAAAACCTACCCCTTACTTAATGAGCCAAAAATCCAATTCATTAAATGAAGTTTCAACTTGGAAGTTATTAAAATTAAAAAATGAATTTTACAATGGAGGCACTTGATAAGAAAAACTAGGAATTTTATTGAAATTTAACATGAAATGAGCTACACTAATATTACTCAATGCAACTAAGGCATAGAACAAACTCGTAAAAAAAAAAAAAAAAAGCCGATAATTTAAAATAAAGCCTATTGGTTGTTAGTGGCAAACCAAAAAACTTTTTGGTTAATGGTATTTAATTTATGCAAACAAAGAATTCGTATTGTAAGGAATTTATTTATAAAGTTTGCCGCCTCTGTTTTTTGATTGTTTACACATTCAGAATATAATAATTTATTATTTCAAGATGGCCGAATAAGTCCCGAGTATTTCAAAAAATGATACTAAATACTAAAACAGTTTTTTAAATGGGGCTAAAAGTTATAACTATTTATGCAAAAACAACTTTGCTAGAAAAATTAACACTACCATAGGTTACCTAATACTAATGCGACATTATTGTTAAACATACTCATTTAGGTGTGGTATTGAAAATAGTAACTTCAATTTTCATAAAAAAATGGTTTTTCATGGATAATTTTCCCAAATAATGTATGATTAGAAATGTCAAGTTACATTCATTGAAAACAAACACCAATACATGCTTTTATGAATAGATCAAATTCATAGACTTATCTATAGACTTAGCTATAGCACTTTATGTTGAAAATTGCATCTTTTCTAAATAAAACTACGCTTGACGATTTGTTATAGTTGCATTACTTTTACCAGATTATAATAGTGGTTAAAATAATCTTTCCATACATACCAAATATGTCATACTTTTTGATGAAAAAACTTACATATAAATGAAAAAACTTACATTTTTGTTCGGAAAAACGTGTACCAGGCCTTAGTTGCATTGAGTAGTGGATCAAATACATTTTCTTCTTATCTATTAAAAAGAAAACATTTAAAAAACAGTTCAAAAAAAGAACAGTAAACAAAAATATAATTAACAATTAAATATTTTAAATGGTTTCTGTTAAAGGTTTTATAATTTACTAGGAAAATAAACATGTTCGAAACATAACTTTATCAGTATCACCAGAAAAAGCTTTATTATTTCTGATGTTTTTTTATGTTTTCATATAGTCTAAAGTCATGTTTTGAATTATTAGAGAGCTTGACTTAACTTGAACTTGGCTCTATCGTAGATAGTGCATGGCAATAAGCTATACTATAAATAGTTTTAACAAAGATATTTAACATATATATTTAACAAAGATATCCTTATGTGGTTTTAACAACAAACTAACAGGGGCACTCTCCACGCATAACATGGCGCTCTAAATACTCTTTCACTTGTTGTTTATGAAAAGCTAGCACAGAGTTAATGTACTGAATTACCAATGACCTTAGAAACACTAAACTGGGTTTTAGAGTTCTAACCTCATTAGAAAACAGCATTAAAGTCGCATAGCTATTACCAAAAAAGTACAAGAAAAAACCCATGAGTAGAATCAAGATCCAATTTTTTATCATCCTAAGCAGAATAAAAACAATTTTAAATCTAATGCTGTTATATATATATATATATATATATATATATATATATATATATATATATATATATATATATATATATATATATATATATATATATATATATATATATATATATATATATATATATATATATGTATATATATATATATATATATATATATATTCATATAAATATAAATAAATAGCAAACACATATGTTCATATCCATAATATGTATGCTTAAAGTGCATCTTGGAAACTTTTATTACTTCTGAAATAAAAGTTTGGAAGCTTTTATTACTTCTCTTTAATTTTAAGCCTCATTTTACTCCACATTTTTCAACATTAATCACATTTTACTCCACATTATTTACCATTATGTCATTAACTAAAGTAAGTATAACATTTAATCTCTTATTCACTTCTCCCCAGAATAAAGCAGAGTTATTTGCAAAGAAATCTTACTCTAATTTGACTCTTAAATATATAATGGGTTAACTCTTCCTGACAGTTAAACAGATTACCTGATTGTTAAACATAGAAATCACTCTGGCTTTCAATGCTAAAGTTAATTCTCAAATAAACATTTCTATAGTTTGTGTTCCAAAATAGATTTCTATCATAGTTTTAAAAAAGTGTTCTCCAGAACTTTCTTCAATTTTTTAATTTGCTTGATTTGCTGATGACTCAACTTTATAATCTTGTCTTGATTAAAAATCTTCACTTTTTAATTGCTTAGAACAAGCAGCCAATTTTAATCTGATCTCTTTTTTGCAACAGCCTATGACTTGCAGTGGCTTATGGATTTAAATTTTGGATTTAAAATCCACAATTTTTATTAAACAAAACTCACTTATTTACTGCAAAAAAATATTGCAATTTTGTTGCCATTCCTATATTGACGAATAACAACCCTATTACTCTTAAAGTCTAAAAGACCATTGCAAATGTAATTAGACCTGCTTTATCTGCCAAGCTTGAGCCACTCACCCATTGTTATAAGGTTGCATTTCTTTTTTTTACAAATACAATCATGGTCAATGCTCAAACAAGCCATCATCTCTATTTCGATAAATTATTTTTAATAAATAATAAATGTAAACATAAAATTACAATATTAAATATCATAAATATTTTTCTAGCCCCAGCTAGAAAAATAGGTTTACTAAAAAGTCTTATTTTTTTCCCGGGCCGGGGCTCCAGTCACTTACTAGTCAGACAACAATAATTGAAGAATACAAATTGATGTTATCAGAGGTAGTAAACAAGTAAACAACTCATTCCTACAATACAAAGGATGAAGAAGATACTTAAGGCAACAAAAGAAAAATTTGGCAAAAGGCTGCTGTATTGTCTTATGTAATATTGCACAAAACTACACATTTGTGATTCAAGATGAAATCCAAAGTTACATTTGGTGCCAAAGTCAAGGCATGTTACACCCCGTATCTGTCTGCATAAAGATGATTTTGACATTGATGCAGATTGGATATTTTTGCTACAAGTCATGGTAAAACTACCATGTGATGTATTTGGTGGCACTGAAAACAATTAACTGCAAATACAAGTCTACAAAACACCATAAATGACTAGAAATTGAATTGTAATAAAATGCTTGAATGCTGTACAAAAAATATTGAAAGGATTATTTTTTTTTTAATTGAAAAAGAAAGACTGACAGAATTGTATACCATTTTGAAAAAGCATTTTCAGCTAATCTTAACACAATCTTGCAATTTTATATTTTTGTATTTTACTTTGTAAATAATTAAATCAAACTGAACAAGTACAAACCAAAAAACTTTTTGAAAACAATATTTTCATGTTATCTTTACTTAATTAAAAAAAGAAAAAAAAGTTTTTAAGAAAATAAGTGGGGCATGGCTCCAGTACCCCAGGCCATGGACCTTCTGGTCGTCTGCCTTTAAAACAATTTTTAAAACGAATTCAACAGGACTACAAAATTGCTAAACTTTTTAGCTCTAGTTTGGAAGGTTGGGAAAAATCAGAAGATTTCCCATTAATGTCTTGGGGCCTTGAAAACAATTTTGACATGCTCATTCATTAGCACCTAAAAATGCCAAAATTTTCAGAGCTCCAGCTAGTCTGGAAGATAGTGATAAATTGATTGCAACATTCTGCTACAAAAAGGTGGGACCGTACTCATTATCCATATATGGAAATCCATATACTTGCAGATCAAAATCTTTACAATCTTTGAAAAATCAATGAACATAGAATGATTGTAAAATATTTTTTTTTTGATATCAACAAGGCCACATGGGTTTTTAGGCATCGAAATCAGTTATATAAAAAATTGCCAAAATTTATATAAATGGATAATTACAGGTGCTTTATAGTAAATTTTTACACTTTTGATCATTTCATTGGATTCGTCATCCCCAAAAATAGCCAGTTCCAAAATTTTAATGAAAAAAATTAAATATTTTTAAAGTTATGTTACTTTTTAGTTAAATAAATGCTTCAATCTTGAGAGGGACAAGAGTCAGTTTTGAGGAGTGCAATATACAAAGAAAGAGTTTAATATTTATAATAGTATTATAATATATAATATTATAAAACAGGAGTGGACCCTCATGGCCGTCCGGTAGCACAGGACAACTCATTTTCTCCAAGGATGACTTTATTTTTTTTTTAAATGTCTGTCAGTAGCCCAGCAGCACAACCAGACAGTTTGAAACCTTTAAAAAGCATTTAAAGTAGTATACACTTCGTTGAATAATGAGTACACTACTATGCGTCATATAATTTTACTAAACATAATAAAAAAAGCCAACACACGATTTATTGCTTATAAGTGCAACTGTACTGTTTTTATAAATGTTGTTGCATTCTGAAGCACGTTTCTTCTCAATTAAAAATAAGTTTTAAAACTACATTTTCTTCCAAATCCTAATATATAAAAATAATATATTGATGTTGAAACAAAGATAATATATCCCTGCAGAACCTATCACTAGGTTATTGCAACCGTTACTATAAACATAACCATACAAACAAAGGATTTGTTTGTATGGTTATGTTTATAGTAACGGTTGCAATAACCTAGTGATAGGTTCTGCAGGGATACACACCAAACAAGCATTTAATTGTTAACATCGCTGTCTACAATACCATTGTGAATGTTAATGTTAGTAATCATATCTGAACGATAAAATAGCCTTAAATGAGTTTAATGATATTGCATTAATTATTCTAATTGTGGGTGTATATATGATTTATACAAAATTCCTATCATTTGTATGTTTATTATACTTAATGTTCTTTTTATCAGACCAATTATGGCATTTGCTTTATTACATGCGTTTAACACTTACGTTTTCCATTTCAAATCCGATCTTATCGTGATTCCTAAATCTCTTTCTTCATTCAACGATTTTAAGACTAGTTGTGCGCCATCTACTTTATTTATACTATAATTGTACATTAAATTCTGTTTGCCAATGTGCATAACTTTATATTTGTTGACATTTAAGTTAATTAACCAATCTTTAAAACATTTACACCACTTTAAAACATTATTAATATCGCCTTGTAATGATAAACATTGTGTCAAATTATTTACTTCAGCTATTAAATTTGAATCTTAGAGCAGCCGTGGCGCAGTGGTAGCACACTTGCCTCAGAAACATGGTTCAAACCCCACCTCTGAGCAAGTCTTGCGACATCGGTTAGGAAGAAGGCCTGAACTTCCAATTAAATGCTCCTCCGCGGTGCTCTGTGATAAGACCATAAGGACTTGGGATACCTAAAAGTAAAAAGAAAAAAAATCATCAGCATAATATATTGAATTATTTGAGATGATTTCATTCAAATCATTAATGAAAATGATAAATAAGATTGGCCCGAGCACGGAACCTTGTGGAACATCGCTCAAGACCATCACCCAAAGAGTAATTCCATGTCAATTGAGCCAGGCCATGTCACCATACATCTCAGATTTTGCTGATTTTTATACAGTTGAGAGTACTTAGTAAAACAAAAAATCCTTGAAAATTTTAGCTTCTAGCTCCAAGAGGATCATGAAATATGATCATTTTACTTTTAACTGATCTTGGCCAGGCCCCTCTTGTCCCCTCAGAAGTGTGACCTTTGTTTAAAGGTTCCAAGTCACATAGCTTTAAAAATATTTGATCTTTTGACTTAAAAATTTGTACCTGGCTATTTTCAGGGTCGAAGAATCCAATGAAATAATCAGAAATGTAAAAAAAAATTTTTAAGTACTTGTAAATATCAATTTAAATAAATTTAGGCAATTTTTTATATACCTGGTTTTGATGCTCAAGAAAGCCATGTGGCCTTGATGATATAAAAAAAAAAAATTGTACACATTATTCTATGTTTAATGATCTTTCAGAAAACATAAAAATTTTGATCTGCAAGTATATGGATTTCCATATATGGTTAACGGGGCACAGGCCCCACTATTTTGTAGCAGAATCTTGCCATACATTTTTCACTACCTTTCAGACTAGCTGGAACGATGAAAATTTTGGTATTTATGTAGTGTCAATAAATGTGCATTTTAAAATTAAAAAAGGGCCCAAGACACTATGGGAGGGGGCTGGAGGGATGTGCCCCACTTTTTTGACCGGAATCTTGAGATGGATTTTTCAGTATCTCCCAGACAAGCGTGAGCTTTGAAACTTTTAGCATTTGTGTAGTCCTGATGAACATGCTTTAAAATAGTTTCAGGTCAGACGACTAGAAGGTCCATGGGGCTGGGGCACCAGGGACCATGCCCCACTTATTTTCTCAAAAAAATTTTTTTTTTTTTTTTTAACACATTTTAACACATGAAACTATTGTCTTCAAATTTTTTTTTAGATTTTTATTTTTAACAATGTTAAACATATTTTTGGTAACATTGCTTCCACAAATTTTTGTGATTTATATTTGTTCAATTTGGTTTTTGATCATTCTATGTTCAATAATCTTTCTTAAAATGTTTTAAGAAAGTTAATGTTTATAAGAATTTTGATTTGCATGTATAAGATTAAAAACAGTCTAAAATAATGGTTTTACCATAATTTTATTTTGTATAATTTAAAATTTTAATTTAAAAAAGATTAATATATTTTAATGCTAAAATGGTAACAGCAAGTTGTTTAATTAACTTTCAACAGAAAAAAACATCCTGTCATAACATTATATCAATAAAAAAGAAATTTATCAATTTTTCAAAATCATTATTTTATTTGATATTTGCTAATTCTAAAATGTTAACAGCAAGTTATTTTATTAAATAAGAACTATTTACAGTAACAAAAAACATCCTGTCATTACACTAGTATAGAAGAAATTTGTTACCTATTAAAGTCATCATTAACATTTTTAACATTAACAAATTGATTATAATTAAACTTTGTGAAAAGGAAACTTTCTTTTTGTCAAAGTAAGGTAAAAGAAATCAATCACTATTTAGTTTTGTATTACCATGGTGATTGCTTAAGTTGCTTTCATTGAATTAATTACTATTGGTTTCTCATTTTTAAACTAATATCAAAATGTTTTTAGTGTTACAGTAAGAATGGATTCATGTGATTTTGGAAAAAAATTAAATGATACTTGTCATAAACTAAGTTATTGTAGAAAGATTGATTTAAAGAAATTTGATTGCTATAGAGAAGATGCCAGAGAAGAATTTATTTGGAGATCTGGAATAACAGATGATAAAATTTTAACAATCTGCCTTCATCATGAAAAGATTTTTGGTACACACTTTGAAAAGAAGCACACACAATGTTGTAATTTATTGGACAAGCATAAATCAAAAAAAAAAGCAATCAAAGGTAAATATTGTTGATAAAAAATTATTGTAAAATTTTTTTTGAATAATGAAATTAAAATCTACTAGTTTATAAAAGTTTGAAAAAAAGCTGATCTGGTTATGCAATGTATATGGAAATAAGTACAAATAATTTTCATATTCATAGGTAATTACTAAAATCAAATTGTTCTTTTCTTTTCATACTAAAATCAAATTGTTCTTTTCTTTTATTTGATATTTGCTAATTCTAAAATGTTAACAGCAAGTTATTTTATTAAATAAGAACTATTTACAGTAACAAAAAACATCCTGTCATTACACTAGTATAGAAGAAATTTGTTACCTATTAAAGTCATCATTAACATTTTTAACATTAACAAATTGATTATAAAACTTTGTGAAAAGGAAACTTTCTTTTTGTCAAAGTAAGATAAAAGAAATCAATCACTATTTAGTTTTGTATTACCATGGTGATTGCTTAAGTTGCTTTCATTGAATTAATTACTATTGGTTTCTCATTTTTAAACTAATATCAAAATGTTTTTAGTGTTACAGTAAGAATGGATTCATGTGATTTTGGAAAAAAATTAAATGATACTTGTCATAAACTAAGTTATTGTAGAAAGATTGATTTAAAGAAATTTGATTGCTATAGAGAAGATGCCAGAGAAGAATTTATTTGGAGATCTGGAATAACAGATGATAAAATTTTAACAATCTGCCTTCATCATGAAAAGATTTTTGGTACACACTTTGAAAAGAAGCACACACAATGTTGTAATTTATTGGACAAGCATAAATCAAAAAAAAAAGCAATCAAAGGTAAATATTGTTGATAAAAAATTATTGTAAAATTTTTTTTGAATAATGAAATTAAAATCTACTAGTTTATAAAAGTTTGAAAAAAAGCTGATCTGGTTATGCAATGTATATGGAAATAAGTACAAATAATTTTCATATTCATAGGTAATTACTAAAATCAAATTGTTCTTTTCTTTTCAGGGAGTCATGTAATAACATTAGACATGGCAAAGCAATTGAGAATTAATTTTCCAAATGTTGTGCCTGGATATCAACTTTGTCGGAGCTGCTTTGACGCTATAATCAGTAAATTTCATGAACAAGATAATTGTGAATTTGAGGAATCTATTTCATGTGCTACTTCTGAAAAGTCACGAGAGGCATTAAATTTTAGTTTGGAAACAATAGGTGTATCCCCCATAAAACCTCATGGCATTCCAAAGCATCAACGGCTATCTGTTGCTAAAAGTAAAGTTATAAAAATAATGTCAAAGTATGAAGAGCATATTTCAGAAGTATATAATGTTAGGGAAGAAGAACTGAAGCATAAAATTCTTCATACGAAAATTATTGACAAAAGTAAATGTGATGATTTAGACTAACTAACAGCAGAAATAAAAGAAAAGTTAATTGTTTCAGACCAAAAAACTAAAATTCAGTTATTAACATTTACACCCGAGTCTTGGTCAAGAAATTTTGCTGCAAGATATTTCAACGTCACTATATACCAAATTAAAGAAGCGCGCAAACTAAAGAAAATGAGTGGGATTTTTTCAGTTCCAGGCACTAAGAAAGGAAAAACATTTTCAGAAATAACATTAAATAGAGTCAACAATATATACCATGATGAAGAATTTACTAGACAAATGCCTGGTAAAAAAGATTACATAAGTATTGGTAGAAAACAACACATGCAAAAGCGTCTTATTTTATGTAATCTTAAAGAACTTTATGTTTCTTTTAAAACTAAATATCCTCAAGAAGTTATTGGATTTTCTAAGTTTTGCAGTTTAAGACCAAAATGGTGTATAACTGTTGGAGCATCAGGCACTCATTCTGTTTGTGTATGTACCCTCCATCAAAATGCAATACTCTTGACCAATGCTATACAAATGAAATGTACTTAAAAAGATATGATGACAAAAGTTGTTTGTGATGTGACAAGTAAAGAGTGCATGGTTCATCGATGTCCGACTGTCCAGGTATGGTTTCTTTAAAGAAGTTTCTGGATGCACAACTAATTGATAATGACAATGACAAGGAGGTGTCATTCAATCAGTGGCAGAAAACAGACAGAACAACATTGATCTATCAGACAACAACTATTGAAGAATACAAATTGATGTTATCAGAGGCAATAAAAAAGTTAACAGCTCATTCCTACATTGCAAAATGTCAATCAAGATACCTTAAGCAACAAAAGGAAAATTTAGCAAAAACTGCTGTATTGTCTCAGTTGAATTTGCAGAAAACTTCACTTTTGTGATTCAAGATGAAATCCAAAGTTACCATTGGTGCAAAAGTCAATGCACATTGCACCCTGTTGCCCTCTATTTATTAAACGAAAATGACCAACTTGAAGAAAAATCGTTTTGTTTCATGTCAGAAGATAATGAGCATGACACTGGTTTTGTGTATGAAGTTCAAACACAAATAGTTAACTATTTAAAAGAATATCATCCTAAAATTTCAAAGATTCTTTATTTTTCTGATGGTTGTGCTGCACAGTATAAAAACCACAAAAACCTTTACAATATCTGTCTCCATAAAAATGATTTTGACATTGATGCAGAGTGGACATTTTTTGCTACAAGTCATGGTAAGTCATCATGTGATGGTATTGGTGGCATTGTAAAACGATTAACTACAAATGCAAGTCTACAAAGGCCCATAAATGACCAGATATTGAATTGTAACAAAATGTTTGACTACTGTACTAACAATATTAAAGGGATTATTTTTTTCAAGATTGAAAAAGAAAGACTGACAGAATTGCGCACCACTTTGAAAACACGTTTTGACCTAAGTAGAACAATCCCTGGAACTAGGAGCTATCATCAATTTAAACCAGAATCTATAGATACTATTAGCTTTAAACGAACCAGTGAAGATGTTCATATAACAGGCATTTTTTCTTTTTCTGGTATTCAAAGTTCTTAAAATGATCAGCAAATTAACATTGATGCCTTGAAATTTGGTGAATTTATTATGTGTAAATATGATGCGTTTGATTGGATTGGTATGATCAATGAAGTTGATAATATAGAGCAAGATGTTATGGTAACATTTATGCACCCGCACGGTCCTTTTAATAAACTTTTCTGGCCATCTAGAGTAGATAAGTGTTGGGTTTCAATTACCAACATAACTTGTATAATTGATGCACCAGTAACAACAAATGGACGTTTGTATACTTTGACCGTCAATGCATTTAAGCTAATCTTAGCATTATCTTGACAATTTCTTTTTTTTGTATTTTATTTTGTAAATAATGAAGTAAAACGGAACAAGCATAAAGCAATAAAATATTTAAATACAATATTTTCAAAGTTATCTTAAATTTAAGACAAAAAAAAATTTTTTTTGAGAAAATAAGTGGGGCATGGTCCCTGGTGCCCCAGCCCTATGGACCTTCTAGTCGTCTGACCTGAAACTATTTTAAAGCATGTTCATCAGGACTACACAAATGCTAAAAGTTTCAAAGCTCACGCTTGTCTGGGAGATACTGAAAAATCCATCTCAAGATTCCGGTCAAAAAAGTGGGGCACATCCCTCCAGCCCCCTCCCATAGTGTCTTGGGCCCTTTTTTAATTTTAAAATGCACATTTATTGACACTACATAAATACCAAAATTTTCATCGTTCCAGCTAGTCTGAAAGGTAGTGAAAAATGTATGGCAAGATTCTGCTACAAAATAGTGGGGCCTGTGCCCCGTTAACCATATATGGAAATCCATATACTTGCAGATCAAAATTTTTATGTTTTCTGAAAGATCATTAAACATAGAATAATGTGTACAATTTTTTTTTTTTTATATCATCAAGGCCACATGGCTTTCTTGAGCATCAAAACCAGGTATATAAAAAATTGCCTAAATTTATTTAAATTGATATTTACAAGTACTTAAAAATTTTTTTTTTACATTTCTGATTATTTCATTGGATTCTTCGACCCTGAAAATAGCCAGGTACAAATTTTTAAGTCAAAAGATCAAATATTTTTAAAGCTATGTGACTTGGAACCTTTAAACAAAGGTCACACTTCTGAGGGGACAAGAGGGGCCTGGCCAAGATCAGTTAAAAGTAAAATGATCATATTTCATGATCCTCTTGGAGCTAGAAGCTAAAATTTTCAAGGATTTTTTGTTTTACTAAGTACTCTCAACTGTATAAAAATCAGCAAAATCTGAGATGTATGGTGACATTTTTGAAATTTTCTGGCTCAATTGACATGGAATTACCCCAAATTGATATAAAGTCACCCATAAGAACTCATTGTTTTCGTGAATATAAAAAATCTGCAATCCATTTCAATAACTTGTCTTTTATACAATAAGCTGATAATTTTAACAATAATCTCTGATGTGGTACTGAATCAACAGCCTTAACGAAATCTAAAAAAAATAATGTCCAAAAACAAATACTGGGATAAATATGTTATGAAGTCCATAGATTCTACTAAATTGGTGACACATGATTTATGTTTTAAAAAACCATGTTGATTCTGATTCAATAACTTTTCACTATCTTAAAAGTTAAGTATGCAGTTTTTTATAATGGATTCCATAACCTTAGATACAATAGTGGTTAAAGATACAGGTCTATAATTTTCTGCAATTGATCTACTACCCTTCTTAAATAACAGGGTTACATTATAAGCTTTCCAAATATCAGGCAATTTAGAATTATTGAATGATATATTAAACAGAATACTTTACGATTTTGAAAAACTAGATGTACATTGTTTTAATAAATATCCATGCACATTATCTACGACCAATACTCTTGTAGGGATCTAGTTTTAATAATTGTTGGTATACGTTTAATGCAGTAAAAATTGGTATTGGACAATCTTTATTAGTTCGAATAGGAAAATTTGGTATTTCATTTTATTCTTGTTGTAAAAATACTGATTTAAATTGATTATTTAATTGATTGACAATATCAAATCCGTTAGTTAATGACTCACCATCTTGATTATTTAATCTCCTATCATATATCATTTTTTAAACCTTATAGTCACATTTTGAAAACGTGAATGGGGAGTTAAATCATTATCAACATCAAATCTTTTTTGTTTTTCATTATTAAAATAAACTTTAATTTTAACTTTGTAAAACAAAATTAACAAATAAAAAAAAACATTTAGATGCATGTGAAAAATCAAGATGCAGGTGGAAATTCTTTGTTTCTAAAAAAAAAGTAGCCTCAGTACAATAAAAAATGTAGAAATGTAGCCAATAGTGTTTTGCCAAAGACCGAATATTTGGCTGTCAAATATTCTGTGACATTTAATTGACTTTGAAGGTTCTGATTTGCTTCATTGATGTCAATAAGTTAACTAGGCTGTGTGCTTTTATGTTTTATTTAGGAGTAGGCCATGTTGTCATTGGCAGTGTATATAGTATATGGCTTTTATTGAAAGTTTGTATATTTTAAGAGGAATTTACAATCATTTTTTATCATCAAATGATGAAAATGTTTTTGTAATAAGTTACTACCTTTTTTTTTTTTTTTTTTTTTTTTTAACCATCTGGTATTCAATATTATACTGAATAGTTAGCAATATTCGACCAAATACCAATAGTAAAAAAAGTAGCCAAAGAATAGTCAACAAATATTCCTCAAAAAAATTTTTAAAACATTTAAAAACATGTTTAAACACTCTATTTAATTAAAGATTGAGAGAGAATTATAAAATATTTTTCTTTTTATAAAACGTTTCTTTGCCTTACATAATGAAACCTTTGTTCAGATTAACAAAAAGTAACAACATGAAACAGATATCGACTACAACATAAATGAGAATCTTTAAAAGTTATCTCTTAACCAATATTTCTTTGTAACTAAAGTTACTTAACAATATTTTTGAACAGCTTATAACATTTCACTTTTTTTTTATTATTAGTTTACTTTTAATTAAACCGTTAGTTATAAGATGTATTTTAGTAGTAAGACATTTAATTTTTTTTTTTTCTTCAGTATTTTTACTCGAGAGAAAAAAAATTATTATACCGGACTATTTATTATCATAGCAAAGAACTCAAATAAAAATAAATAACTATTTTAGTTGCCTGCAGGGCAACTAGAAAAAAATTGGTACAACACTGTAATATAATAATTATATGGTGCAGATATCATATAAGTTGCTGCAAAATTTTCCCTGAAATAAAACAAAAAAAAGTGGGAAAAAAATGTGACAAGAAATTGTAGATAAAGTTATTGAAGTTTATTGTAAAGATGAAATTGCATGCAAATGTCTTAAAAAATTTATGTAAATATAGCTCAAGGATCTTACATGTAAAAGCTGGTTCTTTCAAATTTAAAAGTACCTTATTCTAAGCTTAAACACAGTTATCTAGTTATAAAAACTTGTTTTTTTATAAGTTTTGCTCACGTTATTTGAAATGGTAAGAACATCAGCTACACATACAGCATACACCTACACCTACAGTCAAAATATTAGGTTAATTACTAGTGCAAAAAAGTATTACTACTTTTTTGTAGAAGAGATTACATAAATTGCATAACACTCGTAAGAAAACATATTAGAAACTCAAAAAATAAATACTATTCAAAATCAAAAAATATACTCTACAAATTAGTATGATTACTTTCAGTGTTAGCATTTTAATATGATTTCTTCAAAATTAAAAAAAAAATTGAAATTTAGAATCAGATTTTATATAACTACCAAGAAAACAGAAACAACAAAACAAAGTCAACAATAACTAAAGAAAAAATTTGATATGGATGAAACAGGTGCATAATATATGGGGTAGGACTAAAAAGATGAGTGAGAACTTTTGTCCAGATCTAAAAAATGGAGGAAGGGGAGTCTTAATAAATAGGTGGGTGGTAATTTTTATTTTTATTTTTATAAGTAAGTTTATGTTTTCTAATTTGCAAGACTGTTATAGGTCTTTAGAATTAAAGTTTTTAAGTTTTTTTGTTCATAAAAATAAAAATTTAATAAACAAGGGGAGACAATTGGAAGGGTCAGAATTTCACTGGAGTTTTTGAAAATTAGAACAGATGCCATTTTCAGGCAGGAAAACAAGACTCAGTCAAGCTCTTATTAAATAGTTTAAAGAGAATTGAAGAGAGAATTGAAGAGAACAACTTTGTAAGAAAATGACAGGAATGTTGTCTGGACTAAACGTCTTAGAAGAATTCAATCAAGATATGATATTAGCAACATAAGCTGGAGTGATTTGAATGTCTAACAATTGGTTAACCTGTTTAATTGGAATGAAAGGAAGAGAATGGCCTTAAGATCCAAGAGTAGAATAAGAAAAAAAGTTCTTTGCAAAAAGTTATCCTTGGGAGAGGTAATAGTCGCATGAATGAGAGATGGAATGTTAGATCTACCTTTGTTAAGAATGCTGTTGAAGATTTTCCCAAAAGTCTCTAGAGCCTAACTTTTGAGATAAGATAAGATAAGATAGAGATAAGATAAGAGATTTAGTGAACCTCAGTTCATTAAATCTCTTTAAAGATGGAGCTTTTACATTGATTTTAATTTTTCCCTTTTACAATAAATAATTATTTTTATTTTTTAAAAACCTAATTTCTAATTCCCTTATTTAAGAAACTAATTTTTTTTTTTTTATAAGAAATAAATTTATAATAAGTAATAAAATAATAATATATAATAAAAAATAATTTATAAGAAATAAATTTATAAGTTAATTTAACTATATTTGTTAGTTCAAAGTAAAGTTAAAATAACTATATCGTCGAAACCGATTAGAATTAATTGGTTTCTAGGAACCAGTTCTTTCAAAAATATTATCATATTTAAAAACAAGCATAAAATTTTTAAAGGGAATGGGGTTACTAATTTGTTGCATAATTTTAAGGGGGAGGGGAGGGGTCAGTAATGCATTACAATTTGTTAATAGAAGGGGGAGAGGGGTAAACTGTAAAAAACTATGCAATGTTTTTATGGACAGCCCAAATGCAAATAAATCAGATTTAAAAAAGAAAACTTAATTTTTTTGTATTACAGAGTTTGTTACATAAAGAAGTGGTTGCTGTGGTGCAGCAGAATTTTGGTTCAGATTCAAGAGGGGTGATACTGGTTCTGATAAGGAAGGATGAAACTCCTGGTTAAATGCTCTTCCACTGTGCTATGTAATAAGAATGTTAGATTTTTTAAAATAATATAGATAATTATGAAAGAAAGAAAATAAAAAGACCTAAATATAAAAATTTCAGAATCATCTTTTAGGCATCTTAAGATCTTTTTATACAGGATATAAAGACACATAATGTGTTGTTTTAGTAGTTATTTTTAAATTCTTAACTCTTAAATGTTACTGAAAAAACAGGTAAAAAAAGGGATTGGGATCATTAAAATCTGAGAAGGCAAAATGTCAAGCATAAATTCAGGTTCTCTGAAATTATTTTACAGATAGGGTTATGATACAGATTTTATACAGATTTTATTATTCAGATAGGGTTAGCAAATGACCATTGAAATAATATCAAACATTATTTTAGAAAATTGTTCTTTTTTAAAAATCTACTTTGTTGTTCACAATTCAAAGTCTAATTCTTCAGTTTCAAATACCTAAAAAAAAAACAACTTATTTGGCTAGTAATCTCAATATCATTACTCTCTAAACCACATTTAATACAGCAATACAAGATTATCTAACATTATTTTTTGTAGCAATTGTCTAAAAGCAAATCATTAAAAGATGAATGATTAATTTGAAAATTTAAAGAAAGTACATCATTAAAGGATAAATGATTACTTTTATTGCCTAAAATAGATAAGTGGCATTTAAGTCAAGATGATTTTCATTTCAATGAGACAGGCTGATTAAAATAACACAATATTATTATATTTATTAACTGTGCAATTGCAATCTTTATTTTGAAAAAAAAATTAAACCTAAATGCTGGACAAATTATTAATAATAAGTCTAAAACAGGATATGACATCAAGTTTGACAAAAAAAATTAAAAACAAACTTTTTTTTAAAAGTGGCCTATTAAAAATGACATTATTGCAGTTACTGGATTTGAAAAAAAAAATATTAAGAATAATTGTTTTAAACTTTTATGTTGCGAATTATAATAATTTATTCAACATTTAAATGATTGTAAAATTCAGAGACTATGACTAAAAAACTTCAATATATTTAAGATAATATGATGCTGCTTATAGAATGCTATTTCAATTTATATAAAACAAAGAGATTAAAATAATTAAGTAAAATAATGCTAAAAATTAAATACAAATTTTATCTTGTAAAATTAGAAGAGTTTAAACAAAGATTATAAGAACTATACCTATTATAGAATTAAAGTTCTGTTATGATGCATTTAAATGTTGTGTTTAAATAAATTTAGCAATTGTATCTACAAAACACATTATATATATATATATATATATATATATATATATATATATATATATATATATATATATATATATATATATATATATATATATATATATATAATGGATTAGCTTTATAAATTCACTAGAAGAAAGTGAAAGAAAAATATTTTTCTGGTTCAGTCGTTTAACTTATTTAAAAAAAATGTATATATATATATATATATATATATATATATATATATATATATATATATATATATATATATATATATATATATATATATATATATATATATATATATATATATATATATATTAGGATGGGTCAAAAAAAAATTTTTTCTTGTTACAGGCTCTAAACATTGCTAATAGTTATTAATATTGATACTATTAAATATGAGAATAATTGTGATAGATTTAAAGGGCGCAACTTTATTGGGAAAATTACCGGTACCCTAATATTTTGGAGGAAAAAAGTTTTTCAAAAGTGGGTCAACCTGGTACTCAAAAGAAGCAAAATTTTATAAAAAATTCGAAAATAATAATCGTTTTATAAAAATCAAATTGCAAATTGTTATTAAAAAAACATTTAAAAATGCACCTTTTTCACTTTTAGTTAAAAAACTTTTGTTATTATGCAACAAAATCTAAAATAATTTTTATATATAAAAACTATTATTTTTTAAATTTTCATAAAATTTCGCTTTATTTGAGTACCTAGATCACATAATTTTGAAAAACTTTTTTTTTGAATAATAATAGGGCCTGCTAATTTTTGTAATTATAGTTGCGGGTGGAAGACATTGTTCAATTCATAAAAGTAAATACTTTCCTAAATTAGTACATAAAAAAAACAACTTTCTAGCAATGTTTAGAGACTGTAACAAGAAAAAAAAATTTTATGACCCACCCTAATATATATATATATATATATATATATATATATATATATATATATATATATATATATATATATATATATATATATATATATATATATATATATATATATATATATATATATATATATATATATATATATATATATTTATATATATATATATATATATATATATTATATATATATATATATATATATATATATATATATATTTATATATATATATATTTATATATATATATATTTATATATATATATATATTTATATATATATATATTTATATATATATATATATATATATAATTTTTAAAAACAAGTTAAACGACTAAACCAGAGAAATATTTTTTAAACTTTTTTCTTATATACACTCTCTTCTAGTGAGTTTATAAACTTGATCCATTTTCCATTTTTTAAAGGTTGTTTTTTTTTTTAGCCACAAGAAGTATAATAAACAGACAAATTTTGAAATAAATAACTTTATAACTTAGTATCATCACAACGTGGTAGTAGTAGAGTGATTTTTTTGTATTTTGGCACACTCTGTCCCACTGTGCGACGCTGGCTAAATATTGATGGTCCGAAAACGGGCCTTGCAAGGCGCTCCAACGCACAGTGGGACAAAGTGTGCCAAAATAAAATAAAAATCACTATCGGCATTGTATTTTGAAAATATGTCATAATGGTAAAAATATGTTTATTAGAGGAAATATATAGTTAAAAAAACATTAAATATTAATTTAAACGTTGTTTTATGCGGTTATATACATGTGAATTTGACATGTGTTTCAAAACGCTTTTTTGCATTTTTTAATTATCAACTTTCTTACGCTACTATTGTTTTAAATTGATTTTATTGAGTATGATTTTAAAATATATTATTTGAATTAACTTTGTTTTTTCGCTCTGACTTTTCAAAACAATTTTACGTAAGTGTAATCTTCAGTTTTTATGCATCAGTGACAGGCAGTTTTGGCTTTTTTTTTTTGCTACTAACCTTTACTATTAGGTATCAGATAAACCGTCCTCCAATATCCTCCAAACATTTGATTATGTAAATCGGATGCTTAATGTATCTTAACTGCAATTTATCATAAATATTTTGCAACTTTTTGCAACTAATAAAGTTATAACAAATAACTCATACTCAATTCATAGTATTTATTGCAAAAACACATTTTTCATAAGTTCTTGAAACTCAAATATTTTTTATGACTTTTTAACTGCAAATTAATTATGCAAGATTTTTTTTACTAAAGGTTAAATGGCTTGATAATGAAATTAATTTAAATGATTTCGCTGCAGGCAAAAAAACCGTACCTACAAGTTCTCAATCTACTTCCAGCGCTGGTCTGTAAATATAATTTCTACCCTATAATTCTAATGTGACGATTTGTAATATAATGACTTTTTTTTTTTTTTAATATATGTTGTTTTTCGATAAAGGTTCTGGCGATAAGATCATTATGATTTCCTATCATTTGTTTGCATTTTTAATTTCTATTTAGATACAAAATTACATGTTTTAAAAGTTTTTTATTATGTAATACGAACAAAACAAAAAAGTCAACTTTCTTGATTTTTTTCAATCAGACGAAAAATTTTATAGAAACAGTCTTCATAATGTCTTGATTTAACTTGTCAAATGAAATGATCAAGTGCAACGTTAAAGATATTCACCTTAAATTGTTGTTAAAGCTTATGGAAGAAAGCTGCATTTCGGGGGTTCATTGCGATCCGCTAATTTCCTCCTTTGTTTCTATGTACACAAGTAAACACAATGAAAGACTACACAAAGAAAGCGCTCTTTTACCTCTTCCGCTTTTCTCGCTGAAGACAAAGTACGAAAAAAAAAAGTGATTTTTTTGTGATACAGATGGCAACCCATCGGTAATGACCGTAAAGTTTCTTACTTCTTTAAATTCCTTAAAAAGAGCGAACCGCATCATTGAAGCACGCTAACTTATGAACTCATTCTGTGATAATAACATCAAGACATATGCTCGGCTTGACATATACTCGGTAAGGCATATACTCGGCTTGACTTCGCTTGACAACTCTGGTTCAAAAGTAGTTTAGTTAATTATGAAATATATAAATAATTAATACAATTTTAGTTCTTCGGTAATATATAAAGCAAAGTTAATTGCTATGCACGTCATAGTTAGTTTATTTTATACCTAATAAACAAAAACAATTTTTTTCATTACAACTCAGCTAACATTGTTTTAGTAGATTTGTAGTGGACCTATATGAGCATGTTTTAGCGGTTTATTGAAGTTTTGCTCATCGGTTACTTAATGGACCATTAGTCGTAGTCGCTATAAATGATAAGCTGATGACAGCCCGACATGTTAATAGTCGCTAGTCATCGTCTAACACCTTTTATCGGCTGCCACTAATAATTCACTAATTAACCGATGGGCGAAACTACAGTGGCCGCCTAAAATTTCTAAATAAGTTCACTAAAATTCCACTATAGAATGTTTGTTTGGAGTTTAAAAAAATATCAATTTGTATAAGCAAGTTTAACCGCAACGTCACCTGCACAGAGTATGTATATAAGAAATGAGTAATAAAATCTCTCCCGTGCGGGGAATCGAACCCCGGCCACGGCGGTGAGAGCGCCGGATCCTAGCCACTAGACCACACGGGATTATAAGATATAGAAATTTTTTAGTATATAATAACTATTTTTATAAATATAGTTGTAGGGTTTAAAAAGAACTATTTTTAGATTTTTTGTAGTTTAAGCACTTTTTCATAAATATGTTTTTATGCTAATATCAAATTTATGATTTTTTTTTCATTGTAAATATTCTTAATTTTAATAAAAGGGCTGTTCACTAATTATGTCAATAATTTGTTTTGCAAATTTTACACCCTTTTTACATCCGTCATCAACAACTTATCAAACATCTAGAGATTCCCAATATAATTACTATAAAATTACGTCAACATTTGATTACCCTTCCCCATCCCCCCTTCCTCTCCTTCCCCCCTCTTTCCCTTCCTACCCTACAAGTTGAAAAATGATGAAATTAGAATGAGTAACTATTTTATTTATTCACCTTCCACTGGAAAAGTATTTTGTTTCTTCTGCTTGTTTTTTCAAGATTTAGATAACTTTAGAACTGGATTTGACGACTGGCGACAAGGACAGCGTTCTATACAGAGGCAAACGAAGCAAACAGCACACTGATACAGTCCAGCGCTATTTGGAAAAGTTTAAAAGAAAAAAATGATGTTCATTTGAACAAAAGTTAAAAAATTATGAAAAGAGTTACTTCAGGGATATTTTGAAAAGAGTTGTTGAATGTTTGAAGTTTTTGTGCAGTCGACGTTTTAAAGGTGACTGAGAAGAAATAGGCAGTCGATGTCTTAAAGGTGACTGAGAAGAAATAGGCAGTCGATGTCTTAAAGGTGACTGAGAAGAAATAGGCAGTCGGTGTCTTAAAGGTGACTGAGAAGAAATAGGCTGTCGATGTCTTAAAGGTGACTGAGAAGAAATAGGCAGTCGATGTCTTAAAGGTGACTGAGAAGAAATAGGCAGTCGATGTCTTAAAGGTGACTGAGAAGAAGCAACTTCAGTAATGTAAACATTCTCATGACCTCGGAGTTTCTTTCAAAACTTGTCTCAAGGAATCTTGATAAACACGCAACCGGCCCCCAAAATACTTAATTTGGCCTTGTCAATGATTATGTATGAAAACACGAAATGAAAAATATTTATCATAGATTCATCTTTTCTAATATTTAAAAATAAAAATATTTAATTTAACAATTGACTGTGTCAAAGTCAGTTGTTAAATTAAATGAAATTGTTATTAATATTAAATGTAAGCAAATTTGAATCCATGTTAAAAATTTTTATTTTTATTTTATCAATAAAATAAACAATCATTATGCGTTATAAATGACACCAAAAGGACCTACTTATATCCTTGGAATAAATAACTTCATTTTTCATTCATTTCTGGTATTTTAACAGATCTTTTTCTTTATTAATAAATTCATAGACATCTGATTTACTAGTAAATTCATAGACATTTGATTTACTAGTAAATTCATAGACATCTGATTTACTAGTAAAGTCATAGACATCTGATTTACTAGTAAATTCATAGACATCTGATTTACTAGTAAATTCATAGACATCTGATTTACTAGTAAATTCATAGACATCTGATTTACTAGTAAATTTATAGACATCTGATTTACTAGTAAAGGTATTTTACCTCTGATTCAGATTCTTTTAAGTTTAAACAAGCTAAAATAGAATTTTACAGAAAATAAGTGAAAATTCCAAAACTGCTACCACGACTATTATGTAATCAAATATATCTTGCATTAAGCACACAAGTTTATTTATTATTATTATTGATGTATTTATGTTGGTATAAAAACTCATATTATGTTGATATCTATAAACTCCTTGAAGTCAAATCAATCTTATTTCGCCAGTGAATATAAAAAAATAAAGTTAATGGTAAAGAGAAGGTTTTCAAAAATTGTTCAAATTAAACATCTTTAAATGCAAAATAAAAATATATTTTTGCTTTTACGCAGCGTAAAGGTTTTAAATTCTTTATGATAATTTTTGAATAAACTTCAGACCAAACAAGTTTAGTACTCGTGGTAGAGAGGTCAGAAATAACATTTGGGTATTTTTGTTAACAGATATATCTAACAAGACCCTTAAAAATACTTAAAATAGTTAACCATGTTCATTTCATTTTCTATAAGCCTAAAGACTTTTTCAACAGCTCTGTTAAAGCCAAAAGCTGTATGTGAAGTCCAAAATAGTTGACCAGCAGGAACTTCACTATCAAGTATATCGGGTATGTTTTTAGGTATGTCTATATTATTAACAGTACTGTAATATGAGTATAAAACAGTAATATGAACATCTACTTTTTGGTATAGCTCTTAATATTCTCAATATAATATTCTTAATTGATGTGTCAACAAGGATTGGAGGAAAACGGAGAATTGCAAAAAAACAGTTTTTTTTTATAAAAGCCAACTTTTATTATTGCTGTATAGCGAATTAAGTTTTGATATTTAAGACATTCACTTATTTCATTACAAGGGAAGGGTTATCTAATCTCTTTAAATAGTTAACTGCTTTACATTTGTGGTTTTGTAGGCTCTGTAATCTTATTAATTTAGTTTTGTGTGTGTTAACCCAAATAATATTAGCGTATGAGAGACAATGACAATGAACAAGACTGAAACTATTTTGCGTGATTTATAATCAAAAAAGACCCTAGATTTTTATAATACACTTATGGCAGAAAATATTTTTGCTTCAATTCAATGATAGGTTCTCCTCAAATATTACACCCAAAAACCTTGTATGATTTACTTGATTTATTTCTATTTTATAGATTGACAGTTTTGGCAACTTTAACGGAAGATTAGTTGATTGTCTTATTTTATGGAAAAGAGTAAAACTTGGTTTTTCACAATTTTCATCAAGTCAAGGAGGTATAAGGGCAGAGCAAGTTGCGGTCTAGTATAATAAAGACAAAAATGAAAAATGATGAAATTGCCAAGATACTCATCTTGGCAATTTCATCATTTTTCATTTTTAATAGAGTCCATATCGCATTTTTATCAAGTAGAAAAGGCAGCAATTAATATTGAAAATTTTACTTTTAGTACTGAAAATTAAAATTTTTTGTTATTTTTCAGGTCAACTTTCATTACAGTACTGATGAAAACTTTCATTACAGCACTGATGCCACAACTAGAAATAACTTGTTTTTGTTTAAGGCACATCTAGTTTCACTCTGGATTTAAAAAATCAGCGTCGTCTTGACTCCCAGCCGATTTTTGTTCGTGTTTCTATGGATAGAGGAGGTGGTTTCATAAAGGTTATTGTTAATGTTTTTGATGTTAATGAAGATACAACTTTATACTTAAATAGTGGTGTACGGCGCAGTAAAATCGTTCCAATGTTGAAGATGTGCAAGAATCAAAAACTTCAATTTTATAATAATTTTAGGAAATCATTTTATGAATTTGATATTTCCGAGAATTCTCTACCTGGGTGAAGATTTAGATACGTTAATCAAATATTTAGTACCTCCCCTGAATTACATATCTTAATATGAATCGTAACTAGACTAGGATGTTTATTGGTTGATCTTTAACCTAAATTTGAAAAATAGTGGTATTCTTCAGAGAGGATATCAAGGTAGAGGTTGGGAAAATAATTTAAACCAAATGCTAAAGTGTGTTGATGAGTTAGAAAGAGTTGTTTTATCTACGTTTCCTGATCTTATTCAAATTGTTCAATGTTCGAAAGACTTTGAGGGTGCAAAAGATTCTTATTTTGGTAGAACGCTCGTGCTTGGATATCAACAGGTCAAAAATTAACTAAACTAAAATTTAAGAAATTGCAAATAATCTTGGAAAAAAACTTTCAATAAGTTGGAAAGTGCATATACTCTTGTATCATGTGCAATATTTTGTTGAATACCAAAATTGTGTCTTATCTAGGTTTGCTGAACAATGCAGAAAATCAATTCATCCCAACATGATGCAGGTTCAAAAGACAAGTTGATAACAAAGAATATGGTGCAAGACTCCTGTCTACTGTGACTTTAACGGAAGAAGAGTAAGTTATGGTTAGTATGTTTATGTTCAATACATTAGTTATATTTAAATTGCAAATAATTTTTATGTTTATTGTTTTAAATTTTGTTCAATTCATTTAAATAGATTGAAAAAAAAAAGATTAAAAAATAAAAGATACAAGAGTTATATTTTTTATTGGATTCTGGGGGCGCTGTGTATAGCTAATGAAAAATAATACTTTAATAATAATTTTGCAAATCTAAATTTCTCAACCAAATACAAAGAACAATTAACAAATAAAATGTAAAAAAAAAAAAAAAAAAATTCTTAAATGGGTTTAGAGCCCTTCAAACTTTCCTTTTGTCCCATTTGGGGGTTTAGCACTTAGTTTCGATTTAAAAAAAAACAACCTTTTCTTTTATTATAAAACAAATACTCTTAAGTAAAAAATGTTTGGTTTAATTGACAGAACTTAAAATTTGGCCCGCTGTGATATTAATGAGTATTTGTAATTCTATAAAGAAAGATTTTGAAAGAAATATTGTTGTTAACTTTCTAAGAACCGGCATTAAAACTCACTCTTTACTTCCTGATAAGTTGCAACTTCTGTTTAGCAATTATAATTAAAATGCAATCACTGTTAACTGTTGTGTAGGATTACACCATTTACAAAACGAGTACTTTCAATTTAGCGAGTTATTTGGAAATTCGGAAGAACAATTTGTCTATTTGGTTTCGAATTAGAAAGTGCGATATTTTCATACAAAAAGGATAATCGGGAGATGGCAGCTTAAAATACACATGTCGCAAAATATAGGAAGAAGGGGAGGGGACACAGCAAGCAAAAATTAACTACAAATGCCACTGTTAATCACTAACATTGATAAATGCACTTAAAACTTTTGAAAAGCTAGTACAATTTTTTTTATTAAAAACAAATTTAATTTTATAAAGTTTATAACTTTTAAATTTTGTATGATTTTTTTTTTTTAAAAGTCTAAAATATTAAAAAAAAGTTTATGAAGTATATCTCTTCTTTTATAGCGTGAGGTTTAATTAATATAACAATGTTCATGTTAAAGATTTCGTTTTACGCTAAAGAAATAATACTGACAATATTTTCAGATCAAAATTCATACTAACACAGCAAACCTTATTCCCTAGTATTTACTATTAAGAAAGAAAAAAGTAATGAAAATAAACAATACATTGAATTATAAAAAGTTTAAAAAAAATTCAAAGCTTCCCTTTTTTTACCTAAACATTTGGAAGTACGACTTTTAATAAACAATGTTGGCAACGTAAAAAAATATGTATATTAATTTATTATTTCTTTAAATAATCATCTGCTTATAACAGTTAAAGTTTCATTCACTTTATTATTTATAATTTGTTCAGAATGGTTTTTTAGCGAGTCCAATACCTTGTAAACTTCAAATTCTTCAAGTAAATCCTTTCCTCCGTCTATAAATATTATTTTTTTGTAAACTTTTATGCTCAATTATATGTTATATATATATATATATATATATACATACATATATATATATATATATATATATATATATATATATATATATATATATATATATATATATATATATATATATATATATATATATATACACAGTATTTAAATAACCAAACCCATGAATAGATCATTTAACTTACTCAATGATGCAGTTGCCTGAATTAGAGTGAGGCTATTAAACAATGTCTGGGGTTGAACGTCGTCCTGTTTAATTATTTTCATAAGCCTTTCAATACTGCCAGCCTTCTTAATAAGCTCAACACAATCTAAAAACAATACGTTTATCGTTATACACTCGTTATAGATATGCTTTTTAAAATTAATTTCGTCTTTTCGACTTTAATTTTAAAATTAATTTTTAAAATTAAAGTCGTTTAAAACAAGTTTATAAAAAGAGAGATAGATTACAAACAATTTACCAGATATCATTATTCCAGTTTAACAATAAGAAAAAAGGTGTGAAAAAAACTGACTAGCTAAAATAAAACTTGAATCAATCTTAAAAACAAAGTGATATACTTAAACAAAAATACAATTCAACAAAGAGAAAATTATAGTTATAAAAATTATAAAAGGAACCCTTCATATATACAATTTAAAAAATAAAATTTTCAAAATGTTAAAAATTCTTTTATCTTGAAAAAATTACAATAGGAGCAAACTTTAAGTTTTTATAAACTTTATTAATGGTTTTAACTTAACAAAACCAGATTGCCAAATTTGACTTTTAACATAGCAAAATTAGATTACAAAACATGATTTCAAGATAGTTTAAATTTTTTATTGTCTTACAACCATATATTGAATTTACTGTTTCTTCAACAATTACTAATAATCTTGTTTAATTTAAAAATGTTTAATGTATTGGTCTCTAGCAAGTATGTTTAAAAAACATAAAGTTTTGGATCTGCACACTCAATCTGTAGCTAGCATTAAACATAATGTCGAGGAAAATTTTCTACTTGTTGGTCATGGCCCAACACAATCAACACAATATTGAGTTTTCAAGTCTAACAAACTTCTTGATGGACCTAATTTATTAGGGCTACAACCATATTTTTGTTGATTAGGCTAATAAAGTATAGGTATTTTTTAACTTTTGCTTTAGAAAGAAGTTTTCAAATAATTTACTTTTTTGAATATTTTTCAAATTGCATAGGCTTGGTGTAGATGTTCTTTTTTAAGAAACATTCCAATTTAATATAAAATTTAAAAAGTTTCCTAAAAAAACCAAGTAAATTAGCCAAGTAACAGTCAAGCAGCTGTAATTTTATGTTTTCTATGATCATGCCACTCTTTTGTGTTTTGTTCTATGCTTATGTAATTAATACCACATCGTTTTGGAGCCATGAGGTTACTAAGATCAATATTTAAAATACCATTATTAAAAAGTTCTCTACTAATAACAAATATGCTATGCCTTTTAAACCATTATAAGTGCTTTTTACATTTGGTATTTTGAGTATGATTTGGGATGATATTAATGACGCTTTTGGCATTATTTTTAAAAGTGTTATTTTTTTAAAAAGTATTATTATCATTTGAATCATCTAAAAGTTTATTGATATAATCAGGGCTGTGGAGTCGGAGTTGCGACAATTTTAGCGTAGTCGTAGTCGCTAAAAAATATGTTCATACTAAACCTCAAAGAATGTTTCATAAATTTGTCAAAAAAAAAATTTCAACTTATCGCGCAATATTTTTTGAAGAATTCAAAGAATTTTTCAAAAATTTTGCTTTGGAGTTGGAGTTGGAGTTGTGCTCAAAAAATTTCAACGGGCTGGAGTCGGAGTTGTACTCAAAAAATTTCAACAACTGGAGTCGGAGTCGTTACTTTTTTTTACGACTCTACACCCCCAGATATACTGTTAAATGTTTTCAATCTTATTTTTATCTATGTGAAGTATATTTGGATCAAATAATAGGCTATTAAAATAAATATAATCTGATAAAACAAAGGCACTTCTTTGTGAGTATTTGTAATGTAAATGTTGACAATCAGATGATTTGAGTTCAAATTTCAATTTCATTAGTACAAAATAAACACGTTACAACTAAGCAGACATTTTTTAAAAGTGGTATTTCAATTTCTAAACAATTCATGATACATCCTTTTAAAAATAGTTTGGATCTGCTGATATAGCCATTATGTCATCTTTTTTATTTTATTTTTTTAGGACCCAGTTTATCATAAAAAATGGTTACACTTTGTAACTGTTCTGTTCAAAATAGACCCTAACTTTTTTCTTTTATAGATTTTAGTGCAGTTAGTGTCTTATCGTTATTGTGTTTAAAAACACAAAAGTGAAAGTAAGCAACCCAATACACAACTTGCTAGAACTAACAGGACAACTGCAATGTTCTATTTAAGGATTAAATCAATCAAAAAGTAAAACAACTGATCTCAAGTAGTCACTATATAACTTTATACTCATAGATTTAATGCACAAAACATATAACCAGGTAACTATTTTATTTTGCAACATTGTAGAATTCTTTATGCTTTTTCAGGAAATCGGCAGTTCCCTTCAATTTTATGGTTTTGAAGATATCGTTTATAAATTTTACAAAATTTATAAACGATATCTTCACTAATTTTCTTATCGTAAAACACCTTGTTTGATAACCGTTCAGCATAATTTTAGGTATATTAAGTGAGACTGTATTGAAAATACATGTTTGCTACTCGATAGCAATATTCAGTAGCCTATTAGATTTCAGTTTTTTTTTTTAGCTTTAAATAACGTAAATACATTTGCATTTTGTTTTCCAATACCTCGAAAGTACCACATAAGACTCCTTTTCTATCTTTTATAATCATTTACGTTTTTAATTGTGATAAATTAGGAACTAATAGTAGCAACAACAGTATTGTTTAGTTGGTTTTTTTAATAACAAAGTTACCATTTTTACTTCTTTCCCTATATCTAATTAATTTTGTAACCAGGCCTCTGAAATAAATTTGGCTAATATATATATATATATATATATATATATATATATATATATATATATATATATATATATATATATATATATATATATATATATATATATATATTGATATCTTTATACATATTGATATAGTTTGATATCTCCTGCAAGGATGCCATGCAACTCATGATCAATGAAAAGGACAAGCAGTTCTTACAAATGCAACGAGAAGATCCCTCAAGTGCCAGCATGGCTGGAATCAACTAGTCATTAGCTGACAAAGAGTCCTGTAAAAGAATCAGAATTTCACTAGAAGCTGCTAGATTGGAGAAAGTTCTATCACAGCAGACTGCAGTCCCACATCTCTTGTTCAACTTGATTCAGACAGCTCCTCCTTGTCTTCTTCTGATTCTGATAATGATTTTGTCATTCCATCAGCATCAACCAATTCTAAAGCAATTTCAAAAAGCTTTAAAGAAATCCATCATCACAAATGAAGTGGCATCTGCACTTGACTGAGTCAACCTTCCTGATCGAGGTGCCATGGTTGTTGTTGGGGCAGTGGCACAAGCGCTTGGGTGGAGTTAGATGATGTGGCTTTGTCTCATAGTACCATTAAACGTGCTCGTATGACCACACGGAAGGCAGTAGCAACTACACAACAGGCATCATTCTCAGCCAACACGGATTATCGGTTACTACTTCATTGGGATGGAAAATTGCTTCCAGACATTACTGGCAACAGCAAAGAACTTATAGATCGAATAGCAATTCTTGTTTCAAGGAAAGAAAAGGAGCAACTGCTTGCTGTTCCAAAGATTAGAGGTGGCACAGGCAAAGAACAGTGTAATGTCTGCTTATGTACATTAAAAAACTGGCAACTCAAACCATTGGTTCAAGGATTAGTCTTTAATACAACAGCTTCCAACACAGGATTGAACATCGGTGCCTGCACTCTACTTGAAAGAGCTCTGGAAAAGGAACTTGTATGGATTGCTTGTTGCCATCACGTGTTTAAGGTCCTGCTCGCCAATGTGTTCTCTGCTGTTCTTGGACCATCCAGTGGACCTGAAATAGGCCTGTTTAAAATTTCAAACTATATGGCCATTCATCAACAAGGATGATTTTAGGTCTGCACCTCTTTGAAGGTATGCCCATTGGTCTTCGTGCAGATATGATATCATTTTTCAGGGATGGGATACATGCAGAACTTCCCTGTGATGACTACAAGGAGCTACTACAGCTATGTTATGTTTTCCTTGGAGGCGAAGGCACATTTAGTTTTTGTGCACCCGGAGCAATGCATCATGCTAGATAGATGGCTAAAGCCATCTATTCTATCAAGATTTTTCTAGTTAAAGATCAGGTCAAACATACTGCAAAAGCGATAGCCGGAATCAAGTCCATTGCACTTTTTGCATCACTGGTCTATGCTCGGTATTGGCATGAAGCTCCTCTTGCATCAAGAGCTCCTTTCAGAATTAGGAGATATGAATCTCCTGATTCGATTACACAAGTACCCAAATATCAAAGTCAGAGAGTCTGCTATCAAGGCATTTGGTCGGTAATTGTGGTATTTTTTGGAGACACTTGTTGCTCTCACTCTCTTTGATGAACGTGTTGATGATGATACTAAAACTTCTATGGTTGTCAACTTTTTTCTGCCACCAAATGCAAATGCAAGCAAACATCAGGACTAGTTATGTACGTCTGCACCATTGCAGACGTACATAACTAGTCGTTCTTTGAATATCTTCAATCTTCTAACAATAAATGGAAAAGAAGAAGCAAAAACCTTCTTGTCAAAGCATCACACCGACTGGGTTTCTGACACAACTTTCCAATCAATGCTGGCTAGTGTAAAAGTTCTAAAGGTTGTAAATGATTGTGCAGAAAGAGGGGTTGCACTCATTCAATCTTTTAATTCTTCCTTGACAAAGGATGAAACTCAGAAACAGTATCTGTTGCAACTAATGTCCAGCCATCGGAAAAAGTTTCCTGTTCCGATGAAAGTGGCACTTATGTTTCACTAAGAACACTTCTAGACTTTTAAGAAACTATTGTGTAATATTGTTTCATGATTATATTATCAAGCTAAAGCTTGATGATATAATCATGAAAATTTTGTGAATTTTCAATATTAAATTCAAAAAGTCTTATAAAGTTGCTACCTCTAAATATTACTTAATTTTATTCAAATTTTGGAATAAAATCAGTAATACCACATGGAATAAGGATAGTCTTATGGAGGATTGCATTTTTAAACTTTATATTTTTAGACCACCCTAATATATATATATAAATTAAATTAATTTTATTATCTGTATTTCTTCAGCAAGAGTGCTCAATGAATGATATCAGAGCTTAATGTTTGTTTGACAAGATAAGTTAAAAAAGATTTACTACTATAAGTTTTATGCGTTAGCAATCATCAGGTAAAAAATACATTACGTTATTTTGTTAAAAATATTTTTTTCTTATTTTCAGAAATAATTACAAAGCGTTTTTTTTTTTTTTTGCAAGCGTGCTTCAATCCTTTCCTAATCATTGGGTTTGTGCTTATCAAGCAAAAACTTGTTTTTGTGACAGTACTTTGATATTATTTCTGATTTTTTGTTTAACAATTTTGGGGTACCTTTGCATAAAAATAATAAAATTTTTTTTGTGTAGGCAAAGTAAACATTTTTTTGGTGACATTATTGTAAGTGGGTACTTTATTAATTATTGGTTGGGTGTTACTTTGAGGTTTTCTTTTATTTGCCATAAGTATTTGGAAAGGGTGGTTGAATTGTTTTAGTTTTTTTATTTATGAAGGAGTGTTTGTGGTTAGCCCATTGTTTCTTCCATTCGCAAAATCTGAACTCAGGCACATAAGCAAAAAATACCTTGATAAAATAAACAAAGAAATAAAAACTAAATTAAATTTGAACCAGTGGAAAAGCACCTCTGAAGCAATCCAGTGGTTTAAAAATGTACCAGAAAAAAAAAAAAAAAAAAAAAAAAACATTTTTAATATCCCATCCCCTAAATAAGTTATTCAATAGAAATTCAATTAAAAGGAGTTATAGCTGCACCAAAAATATTGACAAAATAATAAAAAGCCATAACGAAAAATTTATATCTAAAAATTCAGATAAACACCCACCATGCAATTGCATAAACAAACTGCCTAATGAAAGGAAAATATAGAATCTCAAATGTTATTTATAAATGTTTAGAGCCATTCCCATAACATTCCAGCTAAAGTGTTTATTGGCTTATAAGAATGTGAATGGAATGGTACCCCAAAATTATTAAACAAAAAATCAGAAATAATATCAATGTGCCGTAATGAAAACAAGTTTTTGCTTGATAACTATAAACCCCATGATTAGGAAACCGAAGGATTGAAGCACGCTTGCGAAAAATAAAAGGCTTTGTAATTGTTTCTGCATTTTATTTTTTTTGTATAATAAGAACAAAATATTTTTAACGAAATAACATAACCTATTTTTTAATTGATGATTTATGATGCATGAAACTTTTAGTAGTAAACATTGTGCAGTTATTTTTTACTTAGTCATCAAATAAATGTGTATATATATATATATATATATATATATATATATATATATATATATATACACCCACACACACACACACACACACACACACACACACACACACACACACACACACACACACACACACACACACACACACAAACACAAACACACAAACACACAAAACAGTGCTCAAAAGTTTAGCATGCAGCAAAATCAATATTATTATTTTTCTTTAGAACTTAAAAAATAGAAAAGAAGATAAAATTTTTAGTTATTTTAAACAAAAAATTAGTTTTTTAGTATATTTAGAACATATTAAAAGATAAAGACAAAAAAACAATGAAAAAAAAATATTAAATTTTTTGAAAGAAATTAATCATATATAAAATAAGAAAAAAAAAGCTGCTTATAAGTTTAGCACGCTCAGCTTTGAAGATGCATTTCTTTTTAAGGCTTAAAATGCTTTTAGGCCACACATTGATTAAGTATTTTTTATGCATAATAAACATCTTCTTCTTATAGAACTGAAAAGTTTTTGATAATATTCAAATGTCAAAATGTTAAACAACTCTTAAATTTTCTCTTAGATTTTCAGCTGAAGTTACTGGTTCTTTGGTAAGTTTTTGTTGACATAACTAAAACCTTGCAGTCTTCTTGGTCTACTGTGATAACAATATTCAATTTTCAAGCCATTTAACGACTCTTTAAAATTTTCTTTTAGATTTTCAGCTGAAGTTTCTAGTTCTTTGGTAAACTTTTAGACCAAAACAGTCCTAATATTTTTAATTGAATTTAGATCAGGTGTTCGAGCTGGTCACTGAAGTACCTTAATATTGTTTTGCTTAAAACATTCCATTACAGATTTTGCTTTATAGCATGGAGCATTGTCTTGTTAAAACATTCACGCCTTGTTAAAAAAAAAATGTTCTTGGTAGGCATTTAATAGTTTTCTAGAATGTTAATGTATCTATGCTGGTTCATTCGACCATTGTATATGTGATACAGCCTCAAATACCAACTGCACCACCTTCAACTTGTAGCATCGGTACAAAACAGTAACTATTATACTTTTCATTGTGGTGCCTATGGAGAATTACTTTGTCATTATAATTAAGGATGGTGTAGTTAGATTTATCATTAAAAACAATTTTTCTTAATTCATATTTACTCACTTTAAAAATTACTTTGCAAAATTTAATTCATTTTAAACGGTCTGTTGGTTTTAATAATGGTTTTCTGGCAGGAAGATAGCCCCACAGTTTACAGTCAATTAGTCTTAACTGTTTGTCTTGATATTTGATTTTTAGGTGCCAGGAATATTTCTTGTGTATTGAGTATTTAAGATTTTTTACAGTATTTAGTTAGTCTTATTGCAATATTCATTAATAGTCTTATTGCAATATTCATTATTTCTATAAATTTTTTCATGATAAATTTTCAGACTTCTGTTACTAATTAATATCTAGAATTAAGCAAAAATGACGATTAAATATAAAACAAACTTTTAAAATACTACATATTACTTTAAATATATTTTTGTACTATTTCATTAAAAAGGAGAGTTTAATTTACTATGATGCAGCTTTTTCCACAATAAATTTATAAAAAAAGCTTTAAGAAAAGCTTATGCTAAACTTATGAGCAGCTTTTTTAAAGCTCAAAATACCGGTTAATGTATGAAATTAAAAAAAGAATGTGCTTAAGGTGGTATCCTGGCATTATTTTCTTTTCCTTTTATTTTACTGATAATAAATACCTAGACCAAAAATCTAAAACGTATTGCGAAAATTTTCAATTAAAAAAAATTGATGACAGCAAAAAAAAGTCAAAAAACTAACATCTCAAGGACATAAATATCTTAAGATTACATCAATATTAAAGATAGGATGCAAAATGCTAGTATACTTGTGTAACTTGTGCCTGAACCAAAAATAATAAAAAAAGTTAAATGATCTAAAACGACAGACTTAATAGTTAAAAAAACTATTTTTAACGATAAAACACTCAGTTGATAGGGTAATTCTAGGTTGAGTTTAATTATTATTATTTTAGGTTCAGGCACTAAACACTTTCTTAATGAACATATCCTGAAAATTTGAACCTAAAATTATGATTTTTTTTTGAGATATCATTGTTTTCCTACAGCTACTCATAAAAAAAAAAAAAAAATTAAGAAAAATTTTAAAATTTAAAATCATTTACTCAGTTAAATCATTAAAAATCACCAACACAAAAATCTTTTGCAGCATTATTTAAAAAAAATAATTTACAATTGAATTCTACAAGGTTTAATTGTCTAAATATCATTTTTTCAAATTGTTCATTTTTTTTTTTAAATAATGCCAGAATACTACTGTATATATATTTTATATAAATATAACATACAGGAAAAAAGAGTATAAATAAGAAATACCGTTAACATTAGCAACAATCATAATTAGTGCAATTAGACCCTCATTCTGCATAAGCATGTGATCAGAACTAAGTAAATAGTTAACAGAACCAATACATTCATATGATAGTGCAGCACGAATTGGAGCTGGAATAAACAAAAGTTAACAACTTAAAAAAACCTGTAATAAAATATTTTATAATAACAAGGTAATACAATTATAACCTTCTTGATTAGCATATTTAATAATGGCTGCCATTAGTCTTTGAGCTTCTGCTGGTGTCGAACTAACCATTGTCACATCACTAAGCAACTTGATTTTTTTTAATAGTTCACCATCATTACATAACTTAACTGCTAGATCATCTATTATAAAATTATTTTACAAAAATTCTGTTAACATAACATGATTATAACATTAAGAATTTTACAAAAATAAAATATGTAAAGGAGTTTACTCTGGTTTTGTACCAACAACCTCAATATGGCTAAAGCCTTGAACTGAACACTTAATCCTGTCTTCTTAACTAATTCTACAGCAGTGTCTGCTAACCCAGCTTTCACAAGCAACTGCTTACAACCTACTAAAATAAAAAGTTCATTTCCTAATGAATTGTGGCTTTAATAAATGATGTATCAAGGTTACTAGAAAAGATAAAGCCTGCAGGCCAAGTTTATTTAAAAATAAAAAACTTTAAAAACTTTTCTTAATAATAGTAAGAAATACATAGTGAGGAAACAAATTTTTAAATGCTTCGGAGCTGTAAACTTATTAAATCAAAGACTATAGCAGCACCTATTTTCTTGAGTAATAAATACCAACAAAATGGGTAATTCATATTTACAAATTTTGTTTCAAGAATGTCAGTTTTTTAAATTATAATTCAAAGCCAGTATTAGGTTTTAATATTACATGCAAACTTACCTGGTATACAAAGATTTCTTAAGCAACTAGCAAAAGCTTGAAAGCGATCTTCATAATCCTACAAAAAAAAATCAATTAGTTCAAGACAAAATTATTTTAAACTATTTTCAATTTAATCAATTTTTTTTTTAATTCTGAAGAAAAATATAATTTTTAATATGTATGTATACAAATTTTTTTTTGCAAAATTAATTACAGTGCGGTGCAAATTTATAACCTCACCAAAAATTCAAGATCTCACAAATAATTGAATAATTATTTTTAAATTAATTAATTGCTTAATATCTTACTTGATTATTATTTGTAATAGTCTGGTTTCACTTAAATATATGACCTCAGCTATGAGTATAATTGTTAGTCAGAAAAGAATCTAATTCATTAGGGGAAACTAAGTTGTTCAGGATTTTGTAACATTTGAAAACAAACTTCAAGCAGTCCTGAATCAAACAATGTGAGCCTTTTAAATAATGAATAGTTGCTTAGGTATATTAAATCATTACAGTGTGATGACACATAGATGAGTCTTTGTTTTACTATAACAATCAGATTATAGTTTAAAAAAAAATTAAAGATTAAATATGTCCAGATTTTAAGATTAACTACGCCCAGATTTTAAGATTAACTACGTCCAGATTTTACATTTAAAGACAATTGTCTATCATAAGTCTCTATTATGAGTGGTCAGATTTTTTGGCCACAATTGCAGTTGCAATGTCCTTTAGTAAAATATCTTTAGTTTAAAAATTTTAATAACATACCAACAAAAAAAAACTGCAAAAAAACATTTAGCTTGTGAATTCTCCTGCTATTTGACAAAAATTTGACATTCCTTACCTTATAAAGTAAATCAATCAGTGAAACTACTATATTGTAAATTTAATAAAGTAAATCATTTAGTGAAACTATTTTAGTTGTTTTACACACTTATTTTATTTTCATTTTACTTATAGGCAAACTCCCCCCTCTGTCTCAAATTATAATTTTGCTTTATATTTAGGTCATGAATTTATTTACCTTAATCTTAACATTTTTATTTAACCTTAAGATGTCAATCATTAAACATGTTGTTAATAAAGAAATTAAGAAAAATTTTGCTTATAAAACTTACTCCAAAATGTAAAAAAAAAAAAATCCAACTTATTTACAAATCTACAAGCTCTGATTTAAAACTGCAATGAATGGTGGAAAATATTTAAATGTAGTTATGACAACTTTACAACAGATAATACAACTTATATAATATAATCATTGATTTTTTTATTCCTTTTTATAAAACCTTTGCTATTAGAGTTTTTTGAGAAATCAAAACTCAGACTACTTCTGCCAAAAACCAATGTGAGAATAAAAAACAACTCTCAAATGAACTATAACTAGCTTTTAACTCTCAGATTTACTATAACTAGCTTTTAACTCTTAGATTATTAAAAGTTTTGTAATTAAAAGTTTTAGGACATCTTATTTGGCATCAAAAAGACTACAAGTAGTTGTCTAAAAATGTATAATGTAAATTGGCCTACTCTGCTTTAAACTTGTGAAAAAAATCAAAACATAATTGAATATAAAGTGCATCAAAACATAATTGAATATAAAGTGCATCAAAACATAAAAGTGCAACGGTCACAGTATATCAATTATGGAAATTTAATTGCAAAAGTTATAAAGCTGTATAAAAAAGAAATTGAAAAAAGATATGAAAAAATAATTACATATAAAAAAAGGATTTGTTTGCTAATTCTCCTAACATTAAAATTGTGCGCAGACATAAGAAAGTTTTACATAATACGTAAGTTTTCATTTCATTAAAGTTTATTGTTAAGCAACTTTTTTTAAATAACTTGTTAATTGTAGATAATTATAAAAAACACATGTACACTATGTATGATATGCATTTTTTTTTACTTGGCAAAAAAAGTATTTTTTAATAGTATTATTTGCTGCTACAAAACAAACTACTGTACTGTAAGCTATATTTTATACTATAAATTTATAAATATATATAAACTTATAACCTGTACTGCTAGCTATATTTTCAGACAAAGGCTTCAGGAAAAAATGCCACAATATAATACTATAGCTGAAGATTTGAGGCTGCAAGAAAGCGTAGACAGTTTTATTTGTTAGGCTTTTCACTGCAAAGCTTTGCTCCAAATCGACTTCCAACAACTGGAGAATTGCTCAGAAGGTTTTACTGGTTTAACATTAGAAAAGAAACTAGGTAACATCTGAAAAATATCTGAATTTTATCTGTTTATTTTAACTATTTGACATTTTCTTAGCACTACCAAGATGAACTGTAAAGTTGGATGTGCTCTTGCTTCTGGAAAAAGTTATCTGAAATGCAGCGAGTTGGCTGAAATAATGTGTGAAGATGATTGGTGACAGACAATCAGAGGTGTTTGCATTTTAAGAGAACTAATAAACTTGTGGGGCAAAGCTGGATTCAACAACAATTTCATACTCAAAGAGCAGCAAACCCCCAAAAAATTATCAACAAGATCAATGAGTACCAATCCCTAAAAAGTTTTAAGATTCTAGGTCTACCAGCAGGAAGCTACTGCAAGAAAATAAACAACTTTCTATATGAAAGCAACTTTTTATTTCCAATCATTAAGGCCAATATCTTTAACTTGATAAAGTGTGATCCAATGAGGAACAAAGAGGCTAAAAAGAGGCTCAAAAAGAGGACATTGAATTCCTAAACCTCTGTCTCAAAGGACGCATGATCAAGATGGTGGGTATTGATAACGCATTTCAAAAAAATGCTTATTTGGCTCTGGAGAAAATAAGAATAATGAAAAAAAAAATGCACTCACAAGATGAAAAGATAAGAAGAAAAGAAGGTAGAAAAGCTAGAACAAAGAAGGTAGAAGAACAAAGAAATTTTTTCAACACAGGCAGTGGAAGCCTTCCAGACTCTGACGAAGCTTTTATGCCTCTTACAAAGACCCAAAAGATTTCAGGGGAAGTAAAAGTTTTCAGCTAAGTATGGATGAACTTCTTAACTAAAGAATTTTGCACCACATCATGAATATTGAATAAATTTTTTATTTAATTAATTTGAATATTGAATAAGAATTTTCTTTAACATGAGTATTAAAATATTGTTTTTGAAATTAAGCAAGGTGAAATCCATCTAATTTTCTGTTTTTATCATAATCATGCATGATAAAGTACTGTGTTTGAGCATCATACTCCTAGATGTAACTAAAATAAATAACTAAATATGGGATTTAAATATATGGCTGATGAGTGCAAAGATTTCATGAAACTTTAGGTACTATTAAAAAGTTTTTTTTTTTTTTTTTCTTTATCTAACTATTTATTGTGATTTATTTTGATGAATAATTAATTTATTTTTCAACTCAAAACATTTTTTTCAAACTAACATTTTTACTAAATGAAGAGTTAAACCAGATGATATTGTGTGCTCACTTTTTTTGAGCTAATAATGCTTTAGGATGATAAGACTGACTACATTTATAAGCAGACATTATTAAGGCTTCATTATGCAGAGGAATTGTACTTGGAAAAAATTCTTTGTTAGAAGAGTTAGCAAACAATCTAAGCTCAACCAGCAACCATGGTGCAGTGGTTAGAGCACTTGCTTTAGAAGTTTACTCTTGCATGGTCGTCTTTAAGTTTTTACCATAAAATATCATCTTAAAGTTTTTTTTGATTTTAAAGACTCTTTTTCCAAATTTTGATTTATTTCAGTGATTAATGAAAAAAAATTTTTAATAATTATTTGATAGACTGCCTGCCCAAACCAAACCCTCAGTTGATGTAGCAGCACTCCGTTGCGAGTCAGGCTATTTGTCAGTTGATGTAGCAGCAATCTGTTGTGAGTCAGGCTATAAGATAGTCAATGTAGCAACACTATAAGATAGTCAATGATGACAACAATAATTATACAATACTATAAAAATACTATCACTATATAATAAATTGTTTACTTCTTTTTCCAAATTTTGATTTATTTCAGTGATTAATGAAACATGAATACCCATCTTTATTAAACGATCACAAGTATCTTCTAGTTAAAAAAAAAAAGAAAGTAAATAACAAAAAAGCATAAACAAGTTAGATACAAGTAAAAAGTAGGAAATAAAAAATTTTGCTGAAGGAAAATAAAGTTGGACAAGTTTTTTAAGTCCAAATATTTTTTAAACGCTTAAATAACTACAAACATTTTAAACATAAATTACATATTTGTTTAAAATACAACCGCAAAACATATATTACAAGCAAAGAATAAATTGTAAAAGCCCTAGACATTTGCTCAGGTGAGTAAGTATTTCAAAAACCAAATACAATCAGATAAAGGATACCAATTTTGAAAACATAACATGGGGTTAAACAAATAATAAAGAAAAAAACTGACAAATTTTATATTAACTATTTTTTATTGTTAAATGAGTAATATAAATCAGAAAAGGAAAAAAAAAAAAAAAAAAATTATTACCACTTCGAGCATAATTTCCTAGCATTAAACCAGCAGAAATCTGGACATGCTTGTTACAAGACTTTATCCAATTTGCAAACTTGTTTAGCAAATCTTCATTTTCAAGTAATGTTATAAAACTTTCATCTTTAAAAAAATTTAAAATAATTAAATCAAAATACTAATCTCTTGAACCAAAATACTAATCTAGTATTACACTTCAGTAACTCATTAGAGCTGAATTCTAACTGAATGAGCTTAGATATGATATATTCACTGGATGTTATACATTTCATAATTTTTCTTTAAATTAAATTAAAACTTAAAAACCTAAATTATGTTTTGGTAAATTGAAATTTATTCTCTGCAGTTTAAAAAAATTAAGTAGTTATAATAAATATTTTTATATCATGTTAACAATGAAAAAACTTAAAAGAAAAAGAAATATTTTAAAGTAAGATAATTGTTAGTAATAGTGCTGGATTAAGCAGCCAATTCATTTTTCAAATGAAACTTTGAAAATTTAAATTTTGAGAAATGACACTAAAATAGGCCTAATGCTTTAAAATAGCACTGGGCCTTGAAAAGGTTAATAAGAATATTTTTTATATCATGTTTATACTAAACAAACTTTAAAGGAAGATAGTTATTATAAAGAATATTTTTAAAAAATATATTAAAAAATATATATATTAAATGTGCTCTTCTACTTATGATATACATCAAATTAGTCTGGAGTACACGCATTAATTTATTGTTGTTGTTTTTCTAGTCAAACAAGGACGTGCACATTTGCAAATTTAAGCTTTAAATCATTTTGCAACAGACATGCTTTTTCTTGTTACAAACATTCTATATATTTTTGTCTACAAAATTTGTAACAGACATACTAATCTTGTTACAAACATTCTATATATTTTTGTCTACAAAATTCCAGTTTTTAGAATCTGCATATCTAACACACTCAATTGGATCATCTGTGATATCTAACACACTCAATTGGATTGCATGTGAAAAACAAGGTTGCTAATTGCAGCTAATCAAGTTCACAACCTTTTAAATTGGGATACTCTTATTGTAATTTAGCTTTAATTGAATTAACACAATAAATTTTTATTTTGAATAAGTTTGTGAATCATTGAAACTCTTAGCCAAGTTATATGTAATAAACATTTCAATTAATAATTAAAAAAAAAAATACGCTTCAAAAAAAATATTTTTAGAAATCATTACAACCAAAAAAATTTTGAAAAATCTTAACAAAAAATTGAAAAAAAAAACCTTAAAAAATTTATTTGAATCAAGTAAATTTTAAAGTATTAAATTTTTTTGGGTAATAAATAAAACCTACTCATCATTGAGTAATATATAAAACCTACTTATCATTGAGTAATAAATAAAACCTACTTATCATTGAGTAATAAATAAAACATATTGATCATTGAGTAATAAATAAAACCTACACATCATTGAATAATAAATAAAACCTGCACATCATTGAGTAATAAATAAAACCTACACATCATTGAGTAATAAATAAAGTAATCACATACATGCGCAATTTTTTAACTACGTATAAAAAATTGTGCATGTAAAAAAATAAGAATAAAAAAATCGTTTTTTATGTGCAAAATTTAAACATATACTGTGTAATTAAAACTATTTTACTAAAACAATCATAATAATTGGATTTTCAATATTACTTTCAATATTATTCAAAATTTCATTATTAAATTAAATGCACTATATTTGCTAAAAATTTGGCATCATTTTTATTTTTTGAATTGTTTTTTAACTTACCTATTTTTTCACCCTTAACTTTTATTTTAAAAAATTTGTTATAGAATTAACATTTATTATATATAAACCTCACATTAATATATTGAAAACTAGTTTAACTGAGTAAATAGACCGATTGTATATAAGCAGATATACCTTGAATCCATACCTCCAGACATAATAACAATTAAATCCACCATTTCTTTGAAAACATCATCAGTGCTATCTGTCTCTTGAAATGCGCCATGTGATTCTACTAATTCCATTAATGTTAAAACACCTCCAGACTTGCATAGTAATTCAATTGCATTTTCTAAAGGAATAATCATAGTAGTAATAATATAAAGAAAAAAGATATTGTTTACTAAACTTTTTGAAAAAAAGTTTGATGATATTTTTATTGATAAGTTTTAATTTAGCATAAAATAGTATATATAAAAAAACCAAAAATATTTTGGGTTGAACAAAAAGTTAAATAACTCAAAACATTTGGAGTGAACTCAAAACAATGGAGTTATGATGCCAATACTGCAGCCTTTTTCCAAAATGCCTTAATATGCTTATTACGTATTTCGATAAAAACGCAATAAAAAAATATTATTAGTAGAAACTCTTTGTAAAAAGTTTTTTTGAAACTAAAAATTTTTATGAAATTTTTCATAATTTTTCAAAATAATTTATTTAATATTTGTAAGCATCTGAACTAGCTTATTTTATAAAAAAGTCAAAAAAACTGATATTTTTTTACCATTAGGGGTTTTATAAATCGGCTGCAGAATCATAGACCAAAAAATTTTTGCCTCTACATACTAATTATCCTGAATGATGATAAAACCTGGATAGATTTTATATATATTATTTATTCTGGACAATATACCATTGACAAACTTTCTACATATTAGTTAACCTAGAAATTATTAAATCCTAAATTGACTTTCTATTTACAAGCTATTCTGAGCAATAATAAACATGGAAAGGACTTTTCACCAATTATCCTGGAAGACAATAAACCTTATATACATTTTAGCAATCAATAAAACTAGTCAAGTCAAATTAATCAAAAACACATACTATGAGCTACAAAATAATGTTAAATCAATATAATATAAATATCAATATAACTAACAAGAACTTTGTTTAAAAATTAGCTATGAGCATACTGTAAAGAGAAAGCAAAGTAAATATTTTTACTTTCACAACTAAGAGATGCTGAAGTTTATATTTTTGTATAAGAGTAGCTTATACAAAAATGGTTTTTGTTTTTTATAACTATGTTTAATGATCCCTAAGGAGGTACAAAAAAATATACAAACATAATTAAAATGCTTAGTCATTTTATAACAACTTTCTTTCCATACAAACATTGATAAATACAAAAGAAATAATTTATCATTCTAAATTAAATTTGAATAAAACCACAATATTTTTACACAATACCTTTTTTTCCAAGATCATTTAGCAGTTCAACCATAATAATTTTTTTAAAGTTGTCTCCACAGTTTTTTATAATTTTCCAAATATCTTCAAGAATTCCACTGCATCCCAATAATTCAATGCCCAAGTCTAAATTCATAGCAACAAATATAACTTTACATGGCAGCTCAATAAAAAATTTATAGTGTACACGAAATAAATGTGAAAGAGTAACACATAACTTTTTTTCAGTGGTTGTATTAATATATTTTACATTAAGTTTGTAATTTGATGGCAACATGTAACGATTTCAAAAAAAGATTTTAGTTTTCAAAATCAAATGCAAATCTGGTAATGGAGGAAAGGAGGTTTTTAATAATATAAAACTGTTTAGAAAACTGGTTCACAGTTTTTTGAATAATCCAAGCCTCTCACTAAGGGAAAGCACAAAAATATGAGGACTTTCTCATTGTTTTGTCGTAAAAGTTTGATGTAAACATGTATTTCAAGCTTTCAAATCACAAAAAGTGCCTAACTGTTTTGAAATTCAAAAAAAAAAAAGCAAGAACCCACTGAAGAAAGTTGTATGACAACTATATTTCTGAATTATTGAAGATGATGAAACTTATATAAAGCATGATCATTAGCAAATTCCTAGTGCTTTCTATTATAATTTTAAATATAGAGGAAAAGAAGATAAAAAATTTTAATACACAAAAAATGATATTTGCTAAAAAAGCTTTGATTTGGAAAGCATCTTCTTATATTAATATATTAAAATTAATACCAGAACCATAGAACCACAATTAAAAATTTTTTTAGAAAATAATGTGTAAAATTCTTTTCAATGTCTATTGTAATTCCTTATTTTTTAAACTATCAAGGTTGAAATAAATTTTTAAAAATGAAATAAAAAATTATAATTTTAATCATTCTATTTGATTTTCAACTGTTACAAGAATTTTGTTCTACTCATTAAAACTGTTACAAGAATTCCATTCTACTCATTAAAACTGTTACAAGAATTCTGTTCTACTCATAAAAATAAATAAATAAAAAAGTTAAACAGATAATAAAACAATAATAATTGAAATAATAATTTTTATAATTAACCAGTTTGAATTTAAAAAAAAGTTCAAGCAACAACAATTCAAAAAAATTATCAGAATAACCAGGTAAAAAATGCATACCTGAGTCAGCAAGTAAAGATATTCCAGAAACTGTGACTTTAAAGTTCTTTTCATTAGTTTCATATTTGTGAAGAAGTTGTTTTAATAAAGTAAAATAACCAGCTTTTAAAAACTCCTCTTTGATCAAATCTAAAACAAATAATTAACAAGCATATTAGCTTTGTGCAGAACTTAATGTCCTGTAGTATCTATCATTCTCTAACTTAATCAAATAATTCCTACAAAGTTTTGAAGCCTTGGGTTGTTACTTGGGTTGTTACCTTCTTAACCTTCTTAGGTTGTTAACTTCTTAACAAAATGTGGTGAATTATTATTGGGAACCCAAACCAGATTGCAAACTTACCAGATTGCAAAAATATTTGCTGAAAAAACAAATTTTCTGTAAAAAAAGATGTTAATTCAGGTTATAAAAATATAGGATTAAAATACTTATTATTATACAATATTATAATTAATATATATATATATATATATATATATATATATATATATATATATATATATATATATATATATATATATATATATATATATATATATATATATATATATATATATATATATATATATATATATATGTTAAAGAAAATGCTTAAAACAATAACAAATTTAAGATAACTCATATTGAAAACAAGAGATATGCTGGTTTGCCATATGAGCTTCCAATTAGTGATCTTCCAACTTATAGGCAAGTGGTTCAATGTTCCTACTTTATTTTAAAAAATATAAACAGTGTCAGAAATATTAATTCTCCAAATATTGTTTCAAAAGTTACCAGTGACCTTATCGATTTGTGCAGTAGAGTAAACCCTAAGCTGCCTCTGATACAAGAGAAGTCAGTAACCAAAAATGTTTTAGACTTTTCATCAAAGTATTGTCTGCAGAAGGCAAATTCAAAAATGAAAACAAAAACAAGGAGTATCTTGATTGTAATTTTGAGTGTTTATTTGATTTATCATCATGTAATCGTGGACTTCCAGCAGTAGTTTGCAATGATAGGTAAGAAAGACCTATTTTTATTTTAATATATTTTAAAACAATTACTATTATAAAATAAAAATAAACTACTACTCATATAACGACTAGTCATATTTTCTGACAAAATGAACAACAACTGCTTGCACTTCTGTGGTGGGTCTTTAGATCGGTCAGAGGACCGATGTCCTCTGACCGATCTAAAGACCAAAGTCTGGTGCCAAAGTCCGGGACCTATTTAGCCCCCTGTAAAAACACAAACATTTTTTAAAGATTAGTTTTATGATTTTTCACAATAACTTTTCTCAAATGGTATAGTTCTAACAATTCTAAGAAGGTATGATACAACCCTATGTCATTTTATCAAATTAAAATCTTGAAATAATGCCAAATTATTTATAATTTGGCATTATTTCAAAAGTATTGTTTTTTGTGCATTCAATTTTATTATACTTGGTTATTAACATTTTTTTAACTTTTAGTACATTTTTATTCTGAACATGGAATGTGTGGATTTTATTCTGAACAGAAGTGTGGATTGCTTATGAAATTTTAGCTTTAATTTAGCATTGAAAAAAGTAACTTAAATAATAATGGTTTCGGTTGATTTCTATTTCTTGAGTTTTATTAGCGATAAATTTATCAAGGCAGGCAGAAAAAAGAAAGTGAAGCATCTTGTCATTCCTAACAAAACAAGTAAAGACAAGATATTTGATTCGATTAAATTGCAAGATATTCGATTTTAAAAATGCAAAATCTTACAAAGATTTATGCAAATGTAATAACTCAATCTTAAAACATCGAATCCATATATTCAGTAATCATTCAGAAAGATTTTACAAGAAAGTGAGAAGATTTGAAAGTCTAATAGAAGGCTTTAGATTACAAACAGAAAAAAAAAAATCCTTGACATTGATAGTAATTTAAAAACTTTGTAACAACATGGATTGAAAATAAAAGTTACCATTGAACAGTATATTTTTGAATTAGTGACTATTTTTGCATTTGTATAAAACTGTATTTTAATGAACATGATTAAAAATTGATTATAAAATGTAGCTAAATATAGAAGTTTCTATTACAAAACCAATCACTAGACACAATGCTAAATTTCGATAACATAAGTTTAAAAAAAGATTTAAAAAATCTTTTTTTAAACTTATGTTATCGAAATTTAGCTAAGTACTATAATCATTACGAAACATAAACAATACTGTAGTTAAATAAAAATATAGTTAAATTTGAAACTAATTATAAAACTTCAAAGAACAAATAGTTTTTTAATTTCAATTTAGATTAGCTTATAAAGTATAGAAATCTTGAAATTTCTGTATTAAGTAACATACCAAGTAAAAACCTCTATGACATCAGAGTATAAAAACCCCAATTTCACCAGAGTATGTAGTTAGAAATTTAAACTCAAATATTTGTAAAGCAAATAAAAAATATAATGAAAAAGTTTACCTGAGTCAGACACAATATTTTGTATGCACATGCAAGCAGGAAACATAATGAAATCCCAATCATCAGAATGAAGCACTTTAGATGCTTTTTCATACATAACTGACACACCTCCTACTTTTGAAAACATCTGACTTCCAATATCTGGTAAAAAAAAAATTATTGAACAGAAATTGACTTTAAAACAAAGTAATCTTTTGGAAGCATATTTGCTGTTTCAAAATTTTATTTTAAAGTTATATTGTAATAAGATTCTTAATAAAAGCTTTTTTAAAAAAGCAATGCTTTATCAGTTGATGTTTTTAACAAAGAAACAAAAAAGTAGTAATGCTTGCTTTTACAGAATCAAGTAAAACTTTCAACTTGAGAAAGATAAAATGGTATCAAACAATATTTAGTTAATAGGTTCAAATATTGGTTTAGTGTACTGTACTACACCCAAAAGCACTTGCCATTACCTCCACAACTTTTCTAAGATTCATTAACTAGCTGTTAATGACAGTTTGGTGGATTAGCATCCTTTGAAACAAAATTCACTATTTTTCTTATACCATTGCATTACTTTTTTGGAAAAGTCAATTGATGCTAGATCTGGCCAAAATAAGGTTGGTTGTTTGTACTTTTAAATTAGAGGAAGATGTTGTTTTTTCAAGCATTCAGTAGCATATAGATCTGATGTCAAAGATTGATTTATGAAAGAAGAACTTTTAAAACTACAACTGCAAATAGCCTGCCATACAAAGAACTTGGAAGCAAATTTTACTCGAATGTACTTAAATTTATCAAAAGCTTTATAAAGCTTCAACTGATAATAGTATTGATTAAAGTAAATTTCATTGTCTTCTAAAATGCATAAATTTTTTTTCATAATTAATTTAAGCAAATTTTTAGCTTGTCCAATTGCCTTGATTTCTAAATAGAGCAAAAAAATTTTTTTTTCCCTTGTAATATGCTTTCAGATTTTCCTTTTGAATACATGTGTAACAAAAGATATACTGCATTTGAACTTTGTAGCTAAATCTTGTTATGACTTAGTTTGATTTTAATGAACCAAGTTTTGGAAATAAACCTTAATTTTCCATTACCCCGCCCTGCCCCCCAGTTTTCTTTTTACAGTTTTCTTTTCCTTATAACAATTGCAATACAGTTGATTTTGGAACTTTGCATGCTTTTTGTAATCATAAAATATGAGAACAATAAATTTTCTATGTTTTCAAAAAAATATCAAAAAAAATTTTGATTTTCAGACTCTTTGCTTAACATTGCAAAAACTAATGAGAAGTAGACAAAACTACACCCACTCACAAAAAAAAAATTATGAAAGCATCATTATAAAAAAATCATTACAATTGATTGAATAGTTTTTTAGAAAACTCAATTTAAAATCATCCAAATTTCAATTGATCATAGTGATATCAATGATCTTGATTATTTCTAATAACAAATATAATACTAAAAAAAAAAGTAAACTTTATTTTGATAAATTTAAAATTTTTTATCATTTTATATAACTTTAAAGTTTTTGATACACCATTCAAAAAGAAAATGATATAAATAACATTTAATCAAAAAGTTTTGTTTAAGCAGTTGAACACATTTTTAAATGTATTGCATTTGAATACATTTTTAAGCAATCCAGTGATTTGAACACATTTTTAAGCAATCCAAAGATGTACTATAAGCATGGAAAGATTTAAATAATTTCTATTTTCGAAAATCTAAATGTTCCTCCTTACTATTGATAATTTCCCTAATATCAGTAGTAAAGTTTTAAAAAAGGTTGTAAAAAAACATTCTACATGCATGATTTTTATTATTGGCTAACTAGTAGATCTTGAGTTAGAAATTTACTTGAAAGTTAAGATGCTATAAAAGATACTATATCAGTATCCTTTACTGAATTCTCATATGTATTTAATAGATAAATGCAGCAGTTTCTAATATTTTTATTATAATAATGTACTAATAATGTAATAATTATGTATTATTATAAGTAATAAATAAACATCACTAGTACTTATAAAATGTAGCTTTACATGTAACCATATAAGTAATAAATAAACTCAATAGTGTTAGTTTATTTATTTTGAAATTTATTTACTATCCACAAGATTCTAAAAATAATAGTTTAATACCATTGTCCGCACAGATATTACAAAGAGAACGTAGAATTTGATAAGTATCTTTGAGCTCACTGTCTATTAAAGACACCACTAACATTTTCATCAAATCTTCTTTTGCTAGTTGAACTCGATTTTTTTGTTCTAAAAATAAACTTTTTGAAATAAATTTCTGAAATTAACCAATAGCCTCTAAATTACTTAAAAGAAATAGAAACTTAAGATAAAAATCGATTTAATATTAAATTAGAACAACACATTATAGTCAACATTCTGACATTTCATAAAAAAATTAGGTTAAAAAACATAATATAAAAACTAAAATAAAATATTTAGTTATGTTTTTTGAAATATTTAGGTAAAATAAAATATTTAGTTATTATGTTTTTTGAAATATTTAGGTAAAATGAAATATTTAGTTATTATGTTTTTAAAAATATTTAGGTAAAATAAAATATTTAGTTATTATGTTTTTTGAAATATTTAGGTAAAATAAAATATTTAGCTATTATGTTTTTTGAAATATTTAGGTAAAATTCTTAGCCTTATAAAAGTTTTTTGAATTATAAAAATAGGGTAGTTTGGGGCTAACCAAATGGGGGCTAATCCGAACAGTTTATTTTTTCTGACCTATTTTAAAATTTAAGCATCAAATTCTTCTTAAACGTATTCTCTCACATTTGACTTTTTAAAAAAAAACCTATATATTTATTATGTATTTTTAATTTTTAAGATAGCTTTTAATATCAGAATTTTACATATTTGCAAAAGAATTCTATTTTTTGGTACTTAACACTATCAGACTGGAACTTTGACCTCATTATTGTTATAACATAATGATTGGTTTGAATAATATTTTGGTTTTGTTTGTTTTGTTGAAAAGACAGGTCAAGCAAATCATTTACTTGATTTCATGGTTTTAGATGGTTTCTTAATTTTGATTTCATGGTTTTATATGGTTTCTTAATTTTAATTTTTAAATTCTACACAGTGATTGTGCTTAAATATGCAATTTAAAATTTTCATATTTCAAAACTTAGTCAACAACATCCAACGTCAATAGTAATAGGTATCTGACAGTTTATTGTTTAGTAAAGAGAAATACTTATATCCTCATTAGAATATGCATTTGATTTTGGTTTGCCACTAAATTAAAAAACACAAAAGCAATGATCACGCAAATTTTGAACAGTTGTGAAACTAGATCCTGGGATAGTAATGGGCATGGTGACAATTTGTAATTTCAAAATTATTTTATTGAATAATAAAACTCCAGAAGTTTTAATAATTGTAAGAGCTAAATCTCTTTCTGTGAAAAACAAATTTTTTTTTTTTTGAATACGTTAAAAGAGTTGATGCTAAGAACAACTTTTCAGCATAAATTTTAATGTATTGTTTTACACTTACAATTGTGAAAATTTATTATATTATATGATTTTTTAATAAACTTTTTAGGTCTTTATTCCTTACAAAACTAGTCAACATGGATAATATGTGTATATAGCACTATTTGTGGATGATAATGGCAGCCACCTTACATATATTCTTTCAACAGAGGCAAAATCAACAATATTTTATCTAAAAGCTTTTATTTTTTATCTAAAAGCTTTATTTTAAAACTAACCACATTTTTCTTTAGTTTTCTTTATTTTATAACTAATCACATTTTTCTTTAGTTTTATTTCAAAACTAACCACATTTTTCTTTAGTTTTCTTTATTTTAAAACTAGCCACATTTACCTTTAGTTTTATTTATTTTAAAACTAACAACATTTTTCTTTAGTTTTATTTAAAGCTTATTGATAACTTTCTGCCTTCTCCAAAATATCAGTCATGTTTTACAGCCTTTAGCCATTGGTTTCTTTAAACCAATAAAGCAACTTCTTTTGAATTTCTTGCCATATGTTGGTTGACAAGTCTTTTTTTTTCCAAATTTAATGAGACTAACTTGGCTGAAAGTAAGAACCTGGTTTTAGAGCTTTAGGTCTACAGCCCTTAAAATTAGGGGCATCATTCGGCAATGCCAACCTAACTACCAAGCTAAAATTGTTTGAGGTCAGCAAAAAAGCGCCTTCTATGTTTTACGGTAAGACCTTTGTGTATAAATTTTTTTGCTGACCTGATGCCAACCTCTAACAGTTTAAGGTCAGCAATCTATTTCCGATCTCATTTTTCCTAATTCCGAGGGCTGAGTCTATATATATTAGATCCATAAAAAGCTGGCAAAAAAGTGCTGGTGACAGCGGAGAATACAAAAGAGAATGACTCCTCTGGCTGTGAACTTTGAGCTGCTGTTTAGCACCAGTGTTGTCACCAACTCTATTCAAAATACTCTAACACCTGCGAACAATAATAATAAAAAAGGGGAAGATAACGAGTGCAATCAGAATGTAGCAGGTTCTCACTGAAAAATGTGCATTAACTTGGAAGAAGTGGCTTTAAAAAAAGTATATAAAAAACTTGCCCAAAAAAGCCGAATTTAATATAAATGTTATTTACAAAAAAGAAAATATGAGTATTTTCTTTATAATTATATTGTTGCAAATTTTTTCAAATATGCTAGATAATTTGTTGATTGATATAAAGAAAAATACTCTGAAATACTTGTTACTTAAAAAAAATCATGTGATTTAAATAAAAATGATATTAAGGGGTTTTTGTGCATATAACCTTTTGTTCAAATTAACCCCTGCATGGGGATATTCCAAAACACTACATATTTTTTAATTAGGCTCTGCAAATACAATGTAATTGATAAAAAATGCTTCAAACATTTACTTGACAAACAATGTAATATACGACCTGAAAGTGTTTAAGGCCGGCAAAAAATTGCAGACCTTGTTTCTATGATTTATGGTCAGACCTTTGTATCAAACAATTTTTGCCGACCTCAAAAAGATTGAGGTTGACAATAATTTGCCGACCTCATTTTTCCTAATTCTGAGGATTAATATATATATATATATACATATATTTATATATATATATGTGTATATATATATATATATATATATATATATATATATATATATATATATATATATATACACACACACAGATATATATATATATATATATATATATATATATATATATATATATACACATGTATTCATACATAAATATATACATATTGCAAAAGCTAAAGAGAAAAAAATTGAAAAGCTCAAAACAATTTTTTTTTTCAGATTAGCCACACGCTACCCTAATCAATTTAATAAATTTATTAACTCAGAATTTTGCATTCAAAAGATTATTTATTATAATAAAATATTGACAAACTTAATGTAAAAAGACCCTGAAAAAATAAAGAGTTTCAATGATGTGGAATTTCAAGAAAACATATTTTAACATAGATGAGTATTTGACTTTATGAAAATCCCGGAAATTTTTTTTCTTTGATAATCCCGGAAAATCCCGGAAAATTGTTTTATTAAAAATTGATCGCATTTAATTGACAAACGGAATTTAGATTATTTTAAAACGGAATTTATACTAATTAATTTTTTACAAAAAGGAATTTCTAATATTCGAAAAAGTTTGAATTAATCAAAAAGCAAAAAAAATGAAGAAAAAAAATTGTTACAAAAATTGATCTTGTAAAAATTTTAATTATAGAAAACATATTTGTTTAAATGCAAAAGTTGTCGTATGTAAAATTTTATGTAAAAATATATTAATTTTTTTTCAAATTAATATCGAAAAAACATCAGAAAATTCCTGGAAAAATTAAAAGTGTTTTATGTGAATTTCCGGAATTCTGGGGATTTCCGGAAAAAACTCATCTATGTTTTAAGAATGTACCTTTTTTTGCAAGTTCTGCAATGAGTTGAAAAACTTTTTCTGATTTACTGTTATTAAGAATGGTTGTTAGATGAGCAACATCATCATCGTCTATTTCTGATACCTCTATTTTAGAAAAATCATTATTTAACTTTATTTTAAAGAAAAATATAAGAAGTAAAATTAAAAAAAAGTTTTTAAAACCCAATGCTTTTATATGCTATTAAAACACAAATTTTGCAATCAATTTTTTTTTATATTACTATTTTATTTTATTAACATTCGGCTGTATGCCGTGTAAAAGTATGTGTGTGTAAAACATTCGGCTGTATGTGTGTGTAAAAAAACAAAAAAGTTCAGGAAGATGCGGGTTTCAAACCACAGACATTTCATTTACGAAGTCAATGCTTTATTCAAAACGTGCGTATAAGTATGAAAACAATCAATATACTTATTTTTAAAAAATTTTTTTTTTCCCTATATAAAAAATAAATTTAATTAAAATTAACTAAATTAATTGACTTATTACAAAACTAACTATTGAATATTGTGTTGTCATCAAGCAAGAGTATGTATGCAAAATTTAAAGAAAATCTATCATCAGGAAGCCACTAAAAATTGATTGCAAGATTTGATTTTCACAGACAAACAGAGACAACAAGTTAATAAAAATATTGGAAAAACAAAAACATCTTTTTCTAATATTACCTTTTTCTAATATTTCCAAGCATTGATCTATGTTTTTTTCCACTAAAGAAACGTCTAAAGCTGCCATATTCATTAATGTTTTAAGTGAAGACATGATTTTTTTTTTAATTTTTACTGATTTGAATACTTATGTCTGATAAAAAATAATTAATACAAATTTATAAAATTTAAAAATTTACAATAATCCAAAAACTCCAGTGTTCAGGTGAAATACAGGGGAGTCCCCAAAACTCCAATGCTTTGAAAAAATACAGGTTAGTTCCAACAAATCCAATGTTTAGATTGAATATTATTTTTACTTATAAATTTCAAAAAAGGTTTAGGTACTTCTGAATTCCGTAGATTAAAAAGTACAGAATTTTATGAGTCCTGAAACATATTATTTTTTATCCCTGAATCATGTATGAAATAATATAACAACTTCAAAGCTCTGGTAATCCTATTTTTCTTTCAATTCTAAAATGTTTTAAAATTATGAAGCTTTAAGACTGCAGAGAGGAAATAGTTAACAATTGACTTTTAACTCTGAAGTATTAAGAGTTTAAATTCTCTGTTTATCTTATAAACTCCAAAAATAAAACAAAAAACAAAATGAGAGATATTATAAAACTATATTTAAAATTGGTTAAATTTTCTACTGAGCTTCATTGCAATTGTTGTCGTCAGTTTTCTAAACAGAAAGGTTAAACATAAAACATAACTAAAAATAGTTAATAATTTAGCATTTAGAAAAAAATAGATTTACCTGAAGAGAAGGCAGAGAATCCAGCTGAATTGTAACCGGTCCATCATTTTGTATATTAACTTGCATATATTCACCAAAAACACCATCTTAACAAAATAATTTAAATTTTAAACTAGTTTCATAATTTATATATACAAACCTTTATTTAATACAAACAAGAAACATCTTCAAGACTAATAAGCTTAGTTGTGCCTAACAGTGAAAAAAAAATTATCAAACATATTTGTGGAAAACATCCTTGACAATAACAAACATAATTGTTGTAAACATTCAAAACACTAAGAAAGATACATGATTTAAGGCAATAAAAAGCAATATCCTTAACACTAATAAATACCCTTGTCTTAAACATCCGTTTTTTGTTTTCTTTTATTTAGTTATTAAGGTTGCTCTAAAAAGATTGCTCCAAGAAGACCTAATTATTTTGCAACAAAAATAACTAGATCTTCTTGGAGAGTGTCAAAAAAAAGTATCAAATTTTCTTGTAAACCAACCTGCTAGAGAGTAAGTAGCATTTATGTTGAACTAATGATTATATGGGTGCTGTGAACCACGTCTTCCATGCCACTAGATAGCAACTAACATATATGTTAAAATAAAGAATTTATGTGTGTGCTGTAAATCAAGTGTTCCAAGCTGCTAGGGTGCAATTAGCATTTATATTGAATTAATGACTATGCCATGGTTGTGCAATATATATAAAAAGAGTTTATATTTGTAAATAGTTTATTTGCAGTCAAAAAACAATACCAGCACCTAGAACTTCTTATTTCTGACCCAAAACTCTAACCACTGTGCCAATTTCTGACCCAGAACTCTAACCACTGTGCCAATTCACTTTCCTACCTTTCTGTTGATTATTATATAAATTTTGTTGATTAGCATAATAGTTTGATTATACACAAAATTATTTACTGTTTTTAATTTTGTCCCCATAAAAAATCACAACCATGAAAACTAATACAGTTTTTGTTCTATATCGCTCTCCTTCATCTCAAGACTGTACTCTTTTTGATGTTATTTCTGATCAAATTGACCAAGCCCTCTCTCTTAATCTATCTACAAAATTATATATATATATATATATATATATATATATATATATATATATATATATATATATATATATATATATATATATATATATATAATTTTGTTGTATATATATATATATATATATAATATATATATATATATATATATATATATATATATATATATATATATATATATATATATATATATATAATTTTGTTGAGCTCTAAAAATTTTGAAAGTCCATCTTTTTTAACAGGTCTATAGAACTTTCAGCTTTCACTGATTTTTTGAAGGAACTTTTACTCAAAAAACTTAAGGGTATTAATTCAAAAGTAGATGAATCTTGTAATCTTTTACATTAACAACATAGAAATTTTACGGAAAGTATTTTGCACTATATTGTTTTGTTTGTCTGGTATATTGAGTATTATATACTATCAATATATTATCTCTTGGGTCTGCTTTAACCCATCTCTAGCACTATTCAGGATATCTTGGTAACCTGCATATCTTAGTTTTCTAACATAACTACAACTTTTTCTTATATGTTTGCTGCTAACTAAATCAGCCTCCAAATTTTACACCAAGCCATTGTTTGGTGAGAATTGCCTATTATTTCAACACACCCTAATATGAGATAAACATATGTAATACTAACAGGCGTTTATTTTTATGTCAACTCACTTCTCCAAGGCCAAGAAGCCCACAACAGTTAAGGAGGCTACTTTAACTGTGATTACAACCCTCTCTCAACTTTACAACTCTGAAACATGAATCTTGACAAACAAGGTTGCTGCATGGAGAAACAAATTGTTATCAATAGCATAATGTTTGTATTTTTCAGTAACATAAGGCATTATAGGATTGATATGTGGACGAAAATTGCACTAAAAGAATAGAATTTTAAAAAAATGTAAGTGGTTGTGGGATTGATATTCGGACAAACAAATTGGTGTCATTAAAACGCTATTGTGGTAAACATTCATAACAATTTCATGATAATCCCATGATTATAGATAATAATCAAATGATTATAGTAAACTACTCACTAAAAATTATGCAAAAAAAAATGCATTAAACTTAATTATTTTATAAAACTTAATTCATAAAAATTATTTTAATTAAAAAATTATACCACTTATTCATCATGTAGAAAATTTTATAATATTGTTTATAAATAATTAAAAAGATTTTGAAATAAAGAAAATCACCTTTTACATTATTTGGGCAAAAAGCTATACCCAATTGCTTGACAAATGTGTTGTAAAAGTCTTTTGACAAACTTGAAGACATTGAAAGATGGAAATCTAATTTGTTACCTTTCAATATGCTGTGCAGTGTAAACTAAAAACACTTTAAAATTTTAGCTTTTATAAAACTTAATTAAAAACTTTGAATACAGAACATTTACCAATACCTGACTAACACATAATATTTCGTAATTTTTGTCTTTGACTGATTTCTTCCATCTTGAATCACCATCATCAAATATTTTAAGATTTAAGATCTTATTAATCCTGTATAAATATATATCTTTTTCTAAAAAAGGCCATACAAATTAATGTAACAAAAACAGGGTAACAATTTGTTACATAAAGATGCTATAGTATATATATATATATATATATATATATATATATATATATATATATATATATATATATATATATATATATATATATATAGAGAGAGAGAGAGAGAGAGAGAGATGTAAGTTGTTTTTTTGGTTCTTGTTTTTTTTTGCCAAAAAAACCGAGGACTTCGTTTTTTGGTTTTTTTGCGTTTTTGCCTTAAAAACTACTCTTTTTGCATTTTAAACACTGAAATGGTTTTAAAATTCATTTATGGTGATATTTATTAAATACTTGTTTTAATACTTCCATTTACCATATTTTTAGTAATGTCTTAGTTTAGCAATTGTTCAATTATTCAAAAAAAAAAAAAAAAAAAAAATTGAAAAAGCAGCATTAATTAGAAAAACAGTTTTTTTTTTTTTTAATAACTTTTAATAATAATTCTTATAAGTAAAGATAAAGAAGTAAATTTTTATAAGTAAAGGCCATGAATTGTATCTTTTTTAATATTGAACTGTTTTAAGAATTTATTATATGAATGAAGTAACACTGCATCGCAAAATAAGTCAGATCCGAGAATTTTTTGTGTGGGTGTGAGGGGGAATCGGGGCTTGTTAAAAATTTAGTTTATTTTGTATCACATTTTTGCTTACTATAAAAAAATTTTAAAAATTTAAAGATATTTTATAAATTTATGGATTCTGGTGCAGGGTGGTAGGTTCATACCTTTCATTTCCCCTGGATCTGTCGATGGTTTTAAAATTACAAAATTATTTTTCTACTTCTTCAACTTATGTTCATTAAATTTTTCATTAATCCATAATTTTTTTTTGAATAATAATAAATGTATTATTTAATGGAATGAATCAGAATTATCTAAATAAATATTTTTATTATATGAAAGAAATATATTTATTATATAAAACACTGCTTTGCAAAATAAAAAAAGGTAATCATTTTTGTGTTTAATATAAGGAAAATAATTTTTTAGAGGCAAAAATCTTGAAATTTAAAAAAAAAAATATAACTGTTTAGCCATTTTCCTAATCAAAAAGACAAATATTTTTATACCACTTTGGCTAAACACTCTGTTTACACAAAATTAGTAAACAAATATACTATAAGAGTATTAAAAAAATCCAAAAAAACCTACACCCAAACCACAAAAACGCCAAAAAAACCACAAAAACACGTTTTTTTGGGTGAAAAAAACGCGACAGCAAAATAACGCGTTTTTTTGCTGTCTTGTTTTTTTGTTGTAACCCTATATATATATATATATATATATATATATATATATATATATATATATATATATATATATATATATATATATATATTAGGGTGTCCCAAAAAACAACTTTTTTAAAAATAATCTGCTCTCACCCCCTAAATGTGTTCTATCTAATACAAAAACACTAAGTTTAAATTTTTTTTTCAATAAAAAATAATTTAAAGGGTCCCTCAAGACCCTCAAATATTTAGTGGGTCCCTAATATTTTAATTTTTAATTTTTAAAGTTTTTAAAAATTATGTCAACCTGGTACTCAAATGAAGTGAAATTATATAAAAATTTCAAAAATAATGTTTATTTCGGAAAAAACGATACGTAACGATATTTCCATTAAAATGTACAATATTTGCCAAAACAAAAAACAATTTTCTGTAAAAAAATCGCTGATTTCGTTAAAAAAAAAAAGATCTTCAATTTTCAATTTGGGCGGCGCCCAAATACAGTCGGTGCTGCTGAAAATGGTCTAGAATAGCCCCTGTATATATATATATATATATATATATATATATATATATATATATATATATATATATATACATATATATATATATATATATATATATATATATATATATATATATATATATATATATAGGGGCTATTCTAGACCATTTTCAGCAGCGCTGACTGTATTTGGGCGCCGCCTAAATTGAAAATTGAGGATCTTTTTTTTTTTTTAACGAAATCGGCAATTTTTTTACTCTGCTGAGAGCTTCAGTACATACATCAATTATCTTATAGCCTGCTGCCGTAAAAGAGTGCCACTACACCGACTGAGAGTTTGCAATCCTTCCTTTCATTACTCTACATGCTTTTCTTCTTTTTCTGAAAAAAACTGTATGCTATAAATATAAGCAAAACTAACAAGCAAATGCTTATACAGGCCTTGTTTTAAATAAAAAAGTGCTTAATGCATTAGCTTAACGCGATTTTGACGTCATAAAATTATCTTTATTTTTTTTTATAGAAGTTAAGTGTTTTAATTACCGCAATAAATAAATAACCGCAAACTAGTTCAATTTAACAATTAACTCAAATATAAACTATAAACGTTTTAAATATAAATTTATTATGAGAATTTTGTAATGTTTTCAATTGTTATTTTATTATTAATTTTAGTTCAATATTATTTAGTAAAATATATATATATATATATATATATATATATATATATATATATATATATATATATATATATATATAAATTATTTCTGAAATTTGTTTTTGAATAATTGTTTTTAATCGTATTTGAATAAAAAATAATAATGATTTTTTTTATTTTTAAAAATTTCTAGAGTAAACAAAAAACATTAACATTGATAAACACAAACCCATGTTAATTATTTAAACAACGATTTTGTTTTGACTAGCAAAGAAAAATTTAAGTTTTTAAATATTTTTAAAATTTTTAAAAGCGTTTCAACTTGCGTTTTATAAAAATATAAAAAAGTTTAGTCTGCTTTGAGCATATTTTTGATACGTAGTTTAGAACGCAATCGCTAGGAATTTAATTCATAAATTTTCTATGTTAATGTAAAAATATTTAACTTTTTAAACAAATCACAAAGAAACAGAGCTATAGAGAAAAATCCTTTTCAACGATTAAATCTTTTTTTTTTTTAATTTTAGGAAATTAAAAAAAAAATTAAATTAAATATAAAAGACTTAATTATGCAAACTCTTTTGTTAATTATTCTTAAAACAAAAAAACAAATACTATTACGCCAAACTTTAATCGTGCAAACTTAAAAAAAAAATCAACTGAAATAATTTAAGTATATTTAATAATTTGAATCGTATCTGTTTATAATAAACTTTCGTAAAAATTTGTTTATTAAAAATTAAGTTCCTTAACTTATAAACAAACTCAAAAGTATTTTCATTCTACGTATAATTACAAAACTCTTTTTTTTTTTTTTTTTGTTTGTAAGCAATTTAACTTAATAAAAAAAATAAAAAAAAATAAATATGAGGTAATCTTTGTTAAGAATAAATTTAATTTATTTATTGAACAATATTTTTATTTTTAATTATATATCAACTTAATTAAAATATAGTAACATGTTAAAATATTTTAACATGACTTGTATTATTTATAAACCGTTGGGCAGTTGCCCATACGGCACTATTGCTTTTGGATATTATTTTATTTTGATGAAGATCACATAACTTACATTTGATTTTAATAACGTAAGTCTTCTCTTTTTCTGTGATCATCGCATCGGCAAAGCATCGGCAAAGTCCCAAGATTTAAAAGTTTTTAAAGTAAATCTTTTGTCCTTCAAAATACAATCCATATTCGAACTTTAAACAATTTAGAGATAATAGAATTATACAAGGTTTTTATATACTAGTTTGTTTTGTTTTATAAAGAAAAATACGTATTCATTAGTAAAAAATGGAGACTCATTAAACTAAAACGTGCCTTAGTATTTATTTAACGGAACCTGTAATGTGCGCGTGCATAATAAAACCTCCGTTATATAAATATATTCAACGTAATATTAGTGTCATCAGCGGATGTTGTAGTCTACTCATGATTTCTTTACCTTGTTATATAACTTGATTTATGAAAAAAAAAACTTATTGAATCGCACGCAGAAGAATTTTAACAAATTGTCTTCATTCAAATATTGCGAGTAACAGGTAATTTTTTTTTTTCTGTGCCGACCCCCTCCCTCCGCATAACTTAAACTATATACCTTTAACTAATAAGAAAAGCAAAGACATTTTTTTTAACATCTCGAAAAAATTTCTTGATATTTTTGTTATCATGATAACAAAAATATTAAGACATTTTTTGAGATTCAATAAAAAAAAATGTCAATTCTTAATAACAAATTTTTTTGCAAATGTTTTTTATTATAAATTCAGTAAAAAATTCATAAAAAATCTATATTACAAAAAACTTTTATATTCTGTATTAATAAATATGGAATATAGATTTTTTAAAAGTTTTTTATTAAAAACATTGCAAAAAATTTGTAGTTAAGGATTGACAAACAATTTTTCATGTTGCGAAATATTTGGATAAAAAGTTTAGCGTCAAATTAATTGCTATAAAAAGGAAAGATATATCGCGATGAAAAGTTACAACAATTATTTTTAAAGTAAATTCTTTTTTTTAATAAATATCTTTACATATCGTTATTTAAAAGTTAATGTGGTTTTTTTGAAAATTAATTACTTCTTTTATGTTACCGCTAATTTAAAAGTTAAAAAATGATGAAAAGTAGCTTAACCAAAACAGCTCTACGCGTACGTAAAAAGCGCTTAAGGCGTACGTAAATCGCTCTAGGCGTAACGCTTTAAAACAAGGCCTGCTTATATATACGCTGTAGTAGATTCATGCCATCTCTTCATGTCATTGAGACAATTAGAACAAATCACAAGATTTTATAACAACAATCTTTTACTTTACAATAAAATAAATAGGATGTTCATCTTTTATACCTTTATTTTCATGTTACTTTTATGTTATTATTATTATTTTGTTATATTTAGTTTTCATTCATAGTATTGATTTATAGTATTCATTTTTAATCTTTCTTGTTAGTTTTTTATAATTGAAGATTTAAATTAAAAGATTTAATTTAGAACAGTACATAAAGTTAAAATGTTTTAATCTGAATTTTTAATTTATAAATTTCAATAGTTTTTTTTTAATTTAAAATTAAACAATTTTTTAAGCAGTAAAAAGAGTTACATCTATATTGCTATGATTAGTTACAACATATCTAGTTAATCATTAATAATACTTACAATAACAGGTCTTTTTTTAAATAAAATGCTTAACACATTAGCTAAAGGTGATTTCAACGCAATAAAATTCTAATTTTTTTTTGAGGATAGTGACTTTTTATTTATCGCAACATAATAAATTACCGCAAAACGAGTTCAATTGAAAAATTAAATCTACAAAAACGAAAAATGCAGAAATACTTTTATATTATATAAGAGGAAATAAAACCAAAGAAAAAATAATTTCAATAAAAATATTTTTTTTTTTTTTTTGCAGAAAAAATAAAATTTACTTATTGAATGTTTAGCTACATTTAAAAAAAAATTGAAATAAATTTAAAAAAAAATTGAAATAAATTTTCTTTGTTCTAATATTATCTGAATTTACTTCCTTTGTTAATAGCACTAATATCAAATTAAATTGTCATTCAAACATTTATAACAATTTTTTTTTACATAATCATCATAAAACATTTAAAACTTATAAGATACTTAACTAATTTAAATATTAAAAAAAAAAAAATTTGATTAACCAAAATCGCTTAAAATTATTTAACTTGTATGTAAATTGTGCACAGTGTAATGCTTTAAAACAAGGCCTGTTACATCATATCTATATAGTGATTAGTTACATTAATTACATCATATACATTGATTAGTCTAATTTCTATATATGATTCATCATATATAATAATTAGTTACATTAATTATATCATATATAAGTTAAAATACTGACTTTAAGCCCAGAACATTTTCAAAATGAGATAAAAAGCAAAAATTAATGAAATATATTTGTATTTTATTTTGAAATATATCGTCGCTGCAAAACAAAACTATCTTAAGTCCATTTTTGGCAAAATAGACTTTTTTTGGTTTAAAGTACTCCTTATGTGCACAAAAGTCATCTCACAAAGTATGGAACCAAAAATGATTCAACTTTTGCAACTATGAGTAAAATTCAAATATCTTATGTCCTAAAAAAAATAATTAAGAGACATCGTTGCTATACAACAAATCTTAAATCCATTTTTTGGCAAGAAAAAAAACTTTTTTGGTTTAAAATACTTAACACATAAAATAAATAACTAAAAACAAGTAGATTTTAAAATAGTAGTATTTAAAAAAATTAGAAGCAGTGATTAAATTTAAAACTTTAAATGTCTTTTTCTCAGAACAGCAAAACGGACTTAAGATTGTTTTGTTTTGCAGCGGCAAGTTAATTTGTAGAATTTTGACATATTTTATATAGTTTTAAGATCTTAAATCCATTCGCTTCTTATAAACTTGTTGCTTCTTACAAACTTAAAATTTTATTTTTTATTTGTTATATTATGAAAAATAATAACATATTCTATAAGTATTTAAAAAAAAAATTAGTTTAATAGAGAAGATCAAACGCAGTGATGAATTAAAAACTTTAAATGCATTTTTCTCAGAACAGCAAAAATGAACTTAAGATCTTGTTTTGCAGTGACGATATATATACATATATATATACATATATATATATATATATATATATATATATATATATATATATATATATATATATATATATATATATATATATATTTGTATGTATGTATATATATATATATATATCTACTATAGCATATTTATATACGCAATTGCTCACTTTTTGCTAGCCTAAATTAAGTGAGCGTTTTTAGAAATCGATGAGGGAAAACGAAGAATAATGAATGAAAAGGTTGCTGACCCATACTTCAGTCGATGTAGCAGCACTCCACTGCGAGTCAGGCTATTTGTCAGTCGATATATGTACTGAAGCCCCCGGCCGCAGGCTATTTGACGTTAGGTGAGTATGACATCATCATGCTCACCTAACTCAGCAATATAAGATATATAATTACATACAAATATATATATATATATATATATATATATATATATATATATATATATATATATATATATATATATATATATATATATATACACTAGGGTGGCCCTTAAAACAACTTTTTTGAGAAAAATCTGCTCCCACCCCCTAAATGTGTTCTATCTAATACAAAAACACTAAGTTTAAAATTTTTTTGGTAAAAAAATATTTTAAGGGGTCACTCAAGACCCTTGAATATTTAATGGGTCCCTAATATTTTCAAAAATAAGTTTTTCAAAAATATGTTAACCTGGTACTCAAATGAAGCAAAATTATATAAAAATTTCAAAAATTATATTCATTCAAAAAATAATTGTTATTTTTGGTTTTATTACTTAAAAAATTACTTTTTTTTAACAAAAAATTTAAAAAAATGCATTTTTTTAATGTTTTTTTATGATAATTTTGATAAATAAGTTGAAACTTTTTCAAAATGAATATAATTTTTGAAATTTTTATATAATTTCACTTCATTTGAGTACTAGGTTCACATATTTTTGAAAATTTTTTTTTTGAAAATATTAGGGACCTATTAAATATTCGAGGGTCTTGAGGGACCCCTTAAAATATTTTTTATTTAAAAAAATTTTAAACCTAGTGTTTTTGTTGGCTATTTCAGAATAATAATTTACTGAACGCTGGTAATAAAAAGTAATAAACCAGGCCAGAAAAAGTTTAAAAACTTAAAAGATTTTTCTTTAAGTTGATAGGTTGCCAGCCCAAACCAAAACCCTCAGTTAATGTATGTACACTCTCTACATGTTCTCTCCATTTAAAGTCAGTTGATGTATGTTAACTCCCTGCATATTCTCCATATTTAAGTCAGTCACTGTATGTACACTCCAGTGCAATTACATATAAATAAAATAGGGTTAGGATTCAGGATTATTAGGGTAACTCAACAATAAAACAAAAACAAATAAAAAAAACAAATATAAAACATATAAAAACAATATATTAAAAAAAAGTAGTAATCATTTTTGCATTTTTTAAAAAGCAATTAAATTTAATCTGCTTCTGTAAATATTTAATTTTTTTAATATATAGTTGACAATTAAATTTAATGTGCCTCTGCTAATATTTAACTGTTTTAACACTAAGTTGACAATTAAAAGTCACTTGAATGTTAAAAATAAGCATTGAAAGAGACTTTTTTTTAACATCCAAAGAATTATATATATATAACTTGCTTACATATAATCAATATCTTTCTGTGTATCATTGCGAGATATTCCAATAAATACGCATAAACCACATCCAATTGAGCTTATCAACTTGTTTTTAACTATAAATATACATTCACCTTTAAAATATTAATTAGTGCACTAGTAATAAGTTTTTTAAATCAAGTCCTAACTACTAAGGTTTTTATTTCTCTTTTTCTAAAACCAAAACCTTGACAAAACAAACCGCTACAAAAAGAAACAAGTTAGGTATCAATAACTTGTATTCTAATAAAATTCTAATAATTAAAACATCAGGTAAAAATTGGTAAAAGAATTAAAAATTCATTTAGAGATTTAATTCATAAAATTTATCAACAAAATAATGAAAGAAAATATTAAAAAAATAATGAAAGAAAATATTAAGAAAATAATGAACGAAAATATTAATAAAATAATGAAAGAAATTATTAACAAAATAATGAAAGAAAATATTAATAAAATAATGAAAGAAAATATTAATAAAATAATGAAAGAAAATATTAAGAAAATAATGAAAGAAAATATTAAGAAAATAATGAAAGAAAATATTAAGAAAATAATGAAAGAAATTATTAACAAAATAATGAAAGAAAATATTAACAAAATAATTTAAAAAAAAACTATTATTGACATAAAGATTCAATTTTTATATAGTAATAAACTAATGATTATTTTTGAGAAAACGTACAAAATATATAAACGTAGGAAAGTTCTTAAACATGATACAAAATGTACAAAACTGTATGAAAATCCTCAAACATGATTTGAAAAGAGAGATATTAGGAGTAAAAAAAACAACTGAAATGTAAATAAAAAACCAAAAAATCGCTTATAAATCTTATTTTATAAAAACCGCATTTAATTCTTAAACAAAACTATTTATAAAAGTTTTTAAAAGGTTTTATACTTAAAAAGAAAACATCAAACCTGATACACTAGCACTGGTAACTTTTTGAACTATAGCTCGCATTGTTAAATATTGATAACGATTGTTAAATACTGCAAATGTTCAATTTTTGAAAATATTTTTACATAAATAGAATTTTTAATATTTAATTTATATACTTAAAATAAATATACCAAATTAATATGCTCAAAACAATCAAATATGTCTAACACTGCAAATAGAAATATAATTAAAAAACAATATTAAAAATAAAAACAAAACAAAAATTTAACAGTAAAAATAACAAGAAAAAAATAAAACAACTATCATATTACTTTAACATTAAATAATTGATAAAAAATTCTTATAAGTTAACATAAATATTTTAAGAAAGTTTTAAATAACATTGCCAGATTATTCTGAGATGAAAATGTTAATGTGATAATAAAAAAATAACTTTTTTTGTTATAAAATGTTCATCTTTAAGTCTAAATGTTTCATGAAGCTAGTGTTGAAAAAAATAACTTTTGAATAGTGAAATTCATAAATATTTTAAAGAGCATTTTTTGCATGCCTGTAAGTGTTTGTACACTTACTTGTGTAAGTGTTTGTACACTTACTTGTGTAAGTGTTTGTACACTTACTTGTGTAAGTGTTTGTACACTTAATTGTGTAAGTGTTTGTACACTTACTAGGGGAAAATAATAACAAAATTATGAAGTGGTTTAATTAAAATTAAATAAAATAATTATAAAATAATAAAATTATTAGGTGGTTTCATAAAAAATAAAATTATGCATATTTATAAAGTGGTTTTTAGAATTAAACAACTTTGTCTATTTTTCAAAAACAATATTTGCCTTATTTTATAGAACAATGAAAAAAACATAACATAAAAACTTATTGTTAAGTAACAAAAAAATTATACATAACATAAAAACTTATTGTTAAGTAACAATAATAAAATTATACATAATATAAAAACTTATTGTTAAGTAACCAACAAATTAAAAACTCTATTGATCAATTTTTTAGTTAAAAATATTAAAAAAAAACAAAAATTAAAAGGTTTGTTTTTGTGTAAGAAAATATTTAGAATAAAAATTATTTATTATCAAATACTTTTTCTCTAGCAACAACTGAGTCATCAAACTTTATTAAAAAAGTTGTTCCTTTATGCCAATGAACTGTAACAGTAGCTGGAAAACCACAACCATTAAAAATTCCTTCTAAAATTCCTGCAGTAAACGAAGCACAGTTTAAACTACCTTTATCTTTAGGAACTGATATAAAGCGATTCACAAGAGATTCTTTTTCAATAATATAATAAGTTCCTACATCATCATTAGCATGTTCCAGCTTATCTGCTTCACGCCCAAACAATGTCTTCCACAAGCTTGATCGAATAAACATCAAAACATTAAGTAAACGTGTCTCTCTCCGAAAGCCACGTTCACGTATTGATAAGGTATCAATCAATCTAACTCCAATAGTCTTACCAAAACTTGCAAGTTTATCTTGAAGTTCAGTCACTGTAAAAACTCGACTTTGACAATATTGAACAATTTCAGAAAATAATAACCCATAAGCACTTATACTTACTTCATATTTGCCTTTACTTAATGGCCGATCAAGAATGTTTGTTTTAAAAGACATTTGCTGAAAAAAAAAATTACTGTTTTTAAAAACAAAATTAATACACAATAAAAAAAAAACAATTTTAAATAACTCACGTTAATTTAAGGTTTATTAAATTAATGTGAGTTCTTTAAAATTGTTAGGTTATTAGGAAAGTTCGTAGAACTCCTCTAAAAAAAAAGTTTCATTTGAATTTTATTTTATTAAATGTTAAAATAATTTTCATCATTATCTATACAAACTTGCATCTCTTCAAGCTATTTGTCAATTTTTTATACTCTTCTTAGGGTATACTTTAAAGAAGCTTCATTATGTGGTTTTTTTGACTTTTAAAGTCAGTATCATCATCAAAATTTTTTAAAATCAAGTCAAATAGCCAATAATCAGATGGAGCTAAATCTGGTGAGTATGGTGGGTGATTCCAGTTTGGTCAAGACAATTTGTGATGGTTTGAGCTACATGGGGTCAAGTGTTATCATAGAAAAATTTAAAATTTTGAGAGCCTGTTTTAGGTCTTTGCTTATTTATTTCACATATAAGATGTTTCAAACAATTTGATGTTTCATAATAACATTTCAAACATATAAGATGTTTCAAACATAATATTCAATAAATGCACACGTTTAATATTCTCTCGCACACTTGCACAGGTTCAATATTCTCAGCTCTATATATGGTTTGAGGGTGTTCTGAGCAAGGATCATCTTTGAGACTCGCTCTACCATCTTTAAATAAAGTAGCCCACTTGGCAACTGCACTATATTTTGGTGTTTAGTCACAATGAACTAAAACCAATTCATTGGTTATGGCTTGTGCTGAAAGAGCATAGCCGAGTAGAGCACGCGTTTTAATATATATTCAATATTTAAATTTTTCTATTTAAAATTTTTTAATGAAATTTAAAATGTTCATAATCAAATACAGTTTAAGATGTATAAATATATAATTATTTCCTATCTTATTCTAACTTTATAGATCAAGTTCTATGAACTTTTCTAACAATCTAAGTTAAAAAATGTTTTAGGGGTCACACCCTTAAACATCATACGGGCCCCTAATATTTTGAAAAAAAAAGTTCTTTAAAAGCATATCATGTTGGGTTTTTTATAAAAATTTTATAAAACATCTAAAAACAATAACCATTTTATATAAAAATTACTATTTTAAATTTTATGGCTTAAAAACTATAGTTTTTTAACAAAAAATAAAAAAGCACATATTTTCATAATTTTTTCAAATAAGCTTTGTGTTTCTATAAACTTTTGTTACTATTTTTGAAACTTTTATAAAATTTTATTTCTTTTGAGACCCAAAATGATATGCTTTTAAAGAAATTTTTTTTTTAAATATTAGGGGCCCATATATATATATGGGCCCCTAATATTTAAAAATATATATATATATATATATATATATATATATATATATATATATATATATATATATATATATATATATATATATATATATATATATATATATATATATATATATATATATATATATATATTTAAAAGGAAACTGTTAACAATGTCTTATTTATCTGACCTGCTTGCCTCCTTTACCAGCAAATATTTTCACTGATTATTGTGCAGTTGTTTTGACAACCTAGTGAGGTTAAGTTCTTAAAAGATAGTCTGATAATGATGTTATTTAAATTTATTAAAATTTTACATATGTAACTAAATTTGGTTTGAAAATTGTTTTCAGGCTTAATTAAAATTTCCTTCTATATATTTTTTCCACATATCTTAACAGTATCATAAAATTTATTCTTAGATGTATAATAGTTTGACAATCAAGAACTGCATTAAAAGCTGCGTGCACATCATTTTCATCAACTATATCTCAAGATGGTCTTTTAGATTTTTTCTTTTTTTATGATACACTGTAAAAAAAAATCTTTGTGTAACTTTATTACATTTTCGAGTTGATAAGTAACTAATTAATATATTACTATGGTTACAAGTTGTAACCATAATAATATTTATTTTGTTTTCTATTGATATATGTGAGTGTGTGTGTGTGAAAAATTACATTGTTGTAATTATTGTAAAATTTAAGTAATATAAATATATAGTAAAATAAAATAATATCATCATGATCGGTTGAAATTTCAACCGATCAATGTAATTTTTCACACACACACACTCACATATATCAATAGAAAACGAAATAAATAAAACATAGTATAAAGATTATTATAAGACTAAATATTATGTCATATTTTTAAACAACAATATTTAAAATATATTATTTTCAAATACTAATACTACACAGAAATTTATGTAGTCCTATTGTCTTTAAAAATAAAAAAATAAAAAGAGAACACAAGCTTAACATTAATAAAATATATTTAAAATATAATTGAAATTTATTTTATAATTTACATTTAGCTATCAACAAAATTTCTAGAAACATTCTTCAAATTTTCTTTTGCAACAGTTTAATTAACGAGTTTTTTTTCAACCAAATAATCCCTTATCCTAAAGTAATAAAACTAACAATAATTTCTTTGACAATATTAATAAAAATAATAAAAATAATAAATATAAAAAGATGATTACTTTTACTCTTTAAAAAGGTTCTAGAATGGCATTTGCCTTGTCCTAACTGAGCACTGATAATAATAACAATAACATAAATAATAATAATAATAATAATAATAATAACAATAATAAAAATTTAAAAATTAAAAACTTACAGCCTAAATTTTTTTTTTTAAATCAAATGGGTTTAAAGGAGACAACTCAAAATCACCATCACTTTGTTGTGAAAGTTCAAAAAGATTTATTAAAGCTTCTGTAGCCTAAGAATAAATATAAAAATAAATATATAAAAGAAATTAGTAAATTGAAACCATTCTTAAACAAAATATGCAATGAAATTATTTATTAAATTATATTTAACAAAATTATATATAATAAAATTTAGAAAGATTACATTTGGAAAATGATTACATTTCTAAAAAATAACACATACATTTTATCTTACCAGTATACTTTCAGGACAAACTATGACTGAAACCTTTTCATGCAAGCATTTTAATGCAGAATAAGCTAATTTACTGTCTCCGTTATAACTTAAAAATAAAAAAACATTAATTAAAAAAATCACAGAAACCTATCAAAGTCAAAATTAAAATTCTAAGTTAAAATTCACGTCTGGAAGTTAAATTCATATGCATACATACAACCAAGCATATATATATATATATATATATATATATATATATATATATATATATATATATATATATATATATAACTGCTCTGTTTTTTTAAGAACATTGAGCACTCTATTTTGTAGAATACATTTTTTTTAAAATTGTTTAAACATATATATATATATATATATATATATATATATATATATATATATATATATATATATATATATATATATATATATATACATATATAGACCAATATTAAAATTTTGATATTGGTCTATATATATATATGTATATAGACCAATATCAAAATTTTAGATCAAATGATGCATTGACCTCTGTCTATCCGAATAAGTGATTTATTAAAGCATGCCATAGTTTGGCATAATTGTAAACTGCATCTGCCATAATGGATGAACAGAGCCAATTTTCAACATAAAAAATCGCATTAAATTGCATATACCTTCTGTTATTGTGATCATTTTCTGGTCATATCTTGCTTGAGAACTGAAAGCCAACAATTTTTCAGGATACAAAAATTAATGGCATCCAGCAAGCATCATGAGCTGGTTTCAACTAATTAATTCTTCTTTCATATCTTTCCCCCGAGAAGTATCAACATCAATTCAATACATTCCCGATAAACAGCACAAGGTAGCAAGTAATATTTCTATTTTTGTTAAAAGGTTCTGTTCAATGATTCTATAGATTGTTTCTTATGATTTGAAATAAATTTTGTTATTGGATTTTAGGGACTTAAAACCAGTTACTTAGTAAATATTTGGCCAAATTGAATACCTGAATTAAATAAAGTTGGTATTTTTAGGACCTGATATCGCACCAAACAAATTTTTGTGGACAAAACTCAGTATTCTTTTATATATATGATGTTAACAAGCCAGTAGAAATTGCTTTTGGCTGAACAACATTTCTAGTCGAACACAAGTTCCACTTTTATACCCAAAGTTACTAGCTGTAGTGTCAAAAACAAGGGATCTTTTTATTCTATTATTTTTATGTCACACTTATTTGCAAGGTCAAATGTAGTACAAGCTTGCTCTTTACCCATACCTTCCCAGGTATGGGTAAAGAGCTTCCAAACACGTGCAGTTTTTTGTCTTGCATGTCCACTCATAAGTATTTTATTTTAGACAACTTGGTTATGGCTGTTTGTGAGAAAAAACTAAGTTTCAAAAACAAAGAAAACAATACCAACAAAATAGGAAAATAAAATAAATCTAAACAAATTTAAATAAATAAAAATTTAAATAATTTGTTTTTATTTTTGTTTCATTAGGATGGTAGAGTGGTTGTTATTTTCAGCAACGAAATTGGATAAGGTAAAGCAAAAAAAGAAAAAGTTTCAAGTCGACATTAAGAAGTGAGATTTTCCTATATTTTAATTATTTTTTAAAGAGGAAAGCAAAAATATTAATTGCTATCTGTGTATACTTTTATGTATAACTTTATTTATTATATAATTATATTTATTTTTTCCAAGTATTCATTCTTAAGTAAGGTGTTTACTTCATACACGAAATGTCTGTGGTTTGAATTCCAGCACTAACCATTTATTTTAATTTTTTTCTTTTAATTACCACTGGTCATATATTTGCCTTTTTAACCATTCATCTTATCTTTTGTGTATATAAAAAATCTTTTTCTTGTATGTTTATGAATGATACACGTCTCTTCACATTTAGATTTCTTATATCATTTAAGCCTTTCAGTGTATTTTTTAAGTAAGGCGCACACACATATATACATAGTTTATAAGTTTCAATTAAGCCATACTTAGGAACAAATTATATAATTAAAATAAAATAATTAGTAAAAAAAATTACACATAAAAAGTATACACATGCATTACATAAACATATTTAAATAGGGACAATATATACTTGTTACATTTATTTCAATATATACTTGTTAAAATTATAAAAATATATTTTACAGACAGATGACAATTTATATTTTTGCTTTTCTTTTTTAAAAAAAGACAAATAAAACATAGGAAAATCATTCTTTTTAATATTGACTTAGAACTGTTTTTGTTTGCTTTGCATTATCTAATTTAATTGCTGAAAACAACAACCACACTAAAGAAATAAAAATAAAAACAGTACAAAAATTATATATATATATATATATATATATATATATATATATATATATATATATATATATATATATATATATATATATATATATGTATATATATATTATTTAGATTTATTTTGATTTCCTACTTTGTTTTTGAAACTTAGTTTTTTATGCAACACTTATTATAATAAAACATGCAAACAGCCATGACCAAGTTGTCTGAAATAAAATACTCATGCGTGGACATACAAGACGAAAAACTACACATGTTTCCTGGGAAGCCTTGTTACCTGTTGTATTTATGATTACTGAAATTCTAAGAACCTTGCCTTCTTCAAAGCCTGGCATACCAGATACCAGAACAGCTAATCTTCCTTTATTTTCCTGTCTGGAACTAGTTTACCATCCCAATGTAAAGTTTTGGATAAACTTTAACTGATTCTGCAGACGATTTTCTTACTTCACTATCTGCTTTCCATGTGTTTTTTAATGCAAAGAGTTGCTTTTCCAGAGGAATTCACCTTCTTTAAGCATTGCTCCAATAAATGTTGTTTGCTGACCAACTAATAGATTTAGTCTATCTGGCGGACTTTAAAACAGCATACCTGAAACTCAGTAAACAACAGAAAATATTTAACAAATATACTGAGGATTTTCATCAGAATGATGAAACAGAGCCAAATGAAAGGCCAAAATGGCTACCTCGAAGGGAAAAGTAAACTTTAAAAAAAAAAAACAATTTTAACAACTGCAATTTTAATTTAAATCTTTACAAACCAAATATAAACAATTACAACTATAAAATTACAACATTTACATCTATAATACAAATATTAGAATTAATATAAAAAGAAATTTAGGAAGAACTTATTCAATATTTTAAGTAAACTTACTTGAGAAATGTGACAAACTAAAAAATTTACAAAAAATGAATTAAACTACACCAAAAAAATTTATGTATTGGTGTTTACTGTTTTGAATTTATCTCAAACAACTACAATATATTAATGCTATTTAAAATAAATGTTCTGATGTTCTTTAACTTACTTTTCTTTCATGAACTATTTTATACCTGAAACTAAACTTTATCTGAAATCTTCAATAGATTCTAATTATAGATTCATCCATTGTGCTTTCATTTATATCTTCTAATTGTCTTTCTTAATCTCATCTTTTTTAGTTTTCTTCAATGTTTATTCTTTTTGTCATCAGCTTTTACACAGTCTGTGGTTATTTAAATAAAGAATACTTATCGTGAATATGACCCAGGAACATATTGAAATTTTGACATTGATTTTATTAAAGAAATTTAATTCTTATAAAAGTAATTAATAGTTTAAATAAATCTTGTTTATATTTTAAATATCAATCTAATTAGATATGGTTTATATTAAATTTAATAATTGATTATGATATGATTAAATGATATTTATGATATGCCAGGAAACATATGATTAAATATTTACATTACTTACTTGACACCGCTCAAATCTTTGAATTGTCATTTGCTGTCCACAGATACAAGTTTTACAAACAGAGACTAGTCTGTTTTGATGGAAAAAATTTATTTGCTTTTCTTCTTTAATGCTTTCAATAAATTCAGCTACAGCTCATTTTGCTTGCAGTTGTTGTACTGAAGTGAACTTGAAAATGTGGTCAAGTCTAATTTAATTTATTTAGCCAATGGAAATTGATTTTCAAACAACAAAAATCTTTGTTTTCTTTGTAGTGATCCGGGTTTTTTTTGCAACATTGTTTTGCAACACTTGAATGGATTCCTGGGTAGATATCAAGTGACTGAGTTTTTTTTATGGACTGCTGTACTTTTCACACCACTAGTTGAAATAAAGTTAGGATCAAATCCATCCAAATCATTTAATCAAAAGAACCAAATTTATAAAGTTTTTCAAAAGTAGCTTTGCTTATTTTAGATGAAGATTCTATTTTTCTTTGCTTTTCCCTCACAAAATACTCTATTTCTTTTTCATTATAAGATACTTCCCTCTTAACTTTTTAAAAATGTTAATTAAGACTACTTAGACTACATTTTTCAATCTTTGATCTTGTAAAAACTGAGCATCTTCCATTATCAGTTTTTTGGTATTAAATCTGTCTTGTTGTAAAATATAAATAGCATTGTCATGTGTTATGTCAAATAGTTGAAAAGGACACATTAGGAAGTTTGCATTCTCAGCAGGAAATTTTTCCTAGTTTTGTATTTTCAAAGATTTTTGTATTGCACAATTAATTTATTGAGCTTTGCTTTGGAATTCCCAGCTCATTTGACATAACAGCAATGTCAGAATATTTATCCTCAATCTTAAATATAACAAATTTTATGACATTACTTTTATCTTTCAGCATGATGAAAAACAAAGTAGCAAATAACACCTTTATTTGTGAACAGCAGGCTTGGTCAGGAAGCAGTAGTGATCGCTATCAATTACTGACCACAAAAATAATATATACTTGGGAAAAAATGGCCAGATTTATATATATATATATATATATATATATATATATATATATATATATATATATATATATATATATATATATATATATATATATATATATATATATATATATATATATATCTTAGGGTGGGTCAAAAAAAAATTTTTTCTTGTTACAGGCTCTAAACATTGCTAATAGTTATTAATATTGATACTATCAAATATTTGAATGATTGTGATAGATTTAAAGGGCGCAACTTTATTGGGAAAATTTTGGAGAAAAAAAGTTTTTCAAAAGTAGGTCAACCTGGTACTCAAAAGAAGCGAAATTTTATAAAAAATTCAAAAATAATAATTGTTTTATAAAAATCATAATGCCGAAAAAAATTGTTATTAAAAAACATGTAAAAATGCACCTTTTTCACTTTTAGTTAAAAAACTATCATTATTATGCAATAAAATCTAAAATAATAAATTTTATATGAAAAAATTATTATTTTTAAAATTTTTATCAAATTTCGCTTTATTTGAGTACCTACATTACATAAAAGTAAATACTTTCCTAAATTAGTACATAAAAAACAACTTTCTAGCAATGTTTAGAGCCTGTAACAAGAAAAAAAAAATTTTATGACCCACCCTAATATATATATATATATATATATATATATATATATATATATATATATATATATATATATATATATATATATATATATATATATATATATATATATATATATATATATATATATATACATAAATATATATATATATATATATATATATATATATATACATATATATATATATATATATATATATATATATATATATATATATATATATATATATATATATATATATATATATATATATATATATATATATCTATGCATGTATGTATGTATGTATGTATGTTTAAAAATCAACTTAATTTTTTTTTAAATATCTCCTTAAAATTTAGACCCTAAAATACTTTATCATTTTGCAAAAAGCATATTTTTAAACATACATTATAAAATACAAAGATGAAACCATATCTTTAACCAACATTGAATCAAACTTGAAACGAGGATAATCTTGTAAAACATCAATGTCACTCTTTGTGTAAACAGTTGGGACAAATTTAAAACCACTGCATGATAACCTAAATAGAAAAAAAAAAACTTTTAGTTAAATATAAAAATTTAAAACTAAAAAAATGTTACATCAAATATACAATAAGTTATGTACATATAAGTACAAATATACAATAAGTTATGTATGTATAGAAAACCTTAACATACATAAAACATAACTGTATCACCCAAAGATTATAATATAATAAAAACTTTCAAATTTGTTAAAATTTAAACAACCAGAGGTTTCTAAAAATTCTTTAAATGTATTTAGACAGAGATGGCAGATAAAAATAAGATAAAAAAAATCATGATTTTCCTTTTAGAAACCTTTCTACACCACCATAGACTATTAAACCAGCTTTTGACTAGAAATATGAAGAAAAAAAAAATTATACATTAAGTTCAATATTTGCTGTCAATAAAGCCTTTTTATATCAATTAATCTAAAGTCAATAGAAACCTTTTCTATGTGCACAGTGTTATAAAAAAAGGTTCTAACCTTAAGTTTCTGACCCGGAGAAACCATTTGGTGGAATGATTACCCAAACTACAGTTTTAACAAATATAAGTATCGAAATCAGATTACAACGTCCTGGCAAGTTATTTACATTCAAATTTTTATATTTATTGATTCCACAAACATGCGAAATGACATTTTATTTTGCATTTCTACAGCCCTAAGTTATGATTATTTCACAAAAACTGTTTAAATTGATATAAAACGTATTTAATTATTTTTAGAAAAATTTCTACTTTTGATTTCAGGGAAAATGCATGTTGTTTCTACTTTAACAATGAGAGCTCAACTGTGCGCATCTAATTTTACCAAATACACCAAATATTGCTAAAAACCACGAAGAATGCAGAAAAACTGTTTGTATTCTTAGCTTCAAAAATGTTATTGAGAGCTAACATCAAACCTAAAAGAAAGATGTCAGATTATACTTCTCTACATGGAACAGTTAGATTAAGCCAACCTTATCGTGGAAGGATGCTTCCAGTAACACAAGGTATAAGCTTTCAAACAATGACATCAAGAGGTTAGCAGCTACTATTAATGAGTCAACCTCACAGCATCTGCTGTGAGATTGACTGAACAATTGTTGAGAAAATTACACCAAAAAATTTGATGAATTCAGCAAGCAGCTTGTACATCATTTCACAAGTTTATCAATTCAAGACAACACTGGATGTGTGAGGACTGTCATACATTGCAAGGACTTCCGTGACCTTAAAAATGAAATTATAGCCATGAGAAGTACGTCAAAAAATCATTGTAAAGGTTAGAATTGATGGAGGAGATAGGTTCCTGCAAAATAGCCTGGGAATTATCAAACTAATTCATGAACCTAGCATTCCGCCAGCACAACTGCACAAGCAAGGTTTTTAAGTATAACAATTTGTTGTTTGACACTAGTGTCAAACAACAACTCGTTATTGCTGAGGAGCTGCAAGAAAATTATACTAATGTTTTACAAGTATTTGAATTGATTAATTTGAAAGCCAGGTATTAGTCCTGTCCTGTGATCTAAAGCTTCCAAATATAATTACTTTTTTTTTTTTAATTTATATAACTCCCCAAAGGCCAAGGTGGCCACTACAGTTGAGGAGGCTACTTTTGTGGTTACAACCCTTTCTCAACTCTCTAACTCCAAAACACCAACCTCGACAAACAAGGCCGCTGCGTGGAGAAACAAGTTGAGTGCGGTACTACCAGGGATGTGGTGGGGATCGAACTCAGAACTTCTTGCTTATGAGGCGAGCTCTCTACCACTACACTACTACCCCATTATTTATTTGTGGGCTTCAAGCACACTTAAGTGCACATCTCTGCACCTGGTGTGAATCTGGTTCAAAGAAACTTGTAAAGCAATAGAAATCGAGGGCTTCTAAATCTCTGCAAAAAAATGTCTCACTCTTTGAGTCAGCAAGTTCCAATATCAGAAATGCTTGTGACTACGAAAAATGTTTTTCATTCTCCAATATTTAAACAACCTGGAGACACTTTGGCTTTGAAGTTCCTTCTTCCCATGGAATTGCATTTCCTAATTGGAGTTTTAACTGATCTGTTTGCTGCGCTACTTCAAGATTTTCCTAAAGCAACACTTTGGACTGATGCATTACACATTAAGCAACAGCCTTACCATGGTGAACATTTTCAGGAAATAAATCCAGAAAGCCGCTACACAATATTTATATTCTTCAATTAATTGCTGAGAAACACTCATGCTATGCAGCCATCCCATTCATTAAAACTTTTCAAAAATTCAACACAGTAGTTTCTGGCTTATTGGATACAACCTTGATCCAAACAACCCACAAATTGAAGCATTCAGAGTGTCTTGTGTGGCATTGCAAATGTCAGTTTTATAACAGTGTGAAAAACATTCTTCTTGAACTTAAAAACAAGTTTATACAATTATTTACAATTATAACTAACTTATACAATTTTAAACTATAAAATATTTTAACTCTTTTTTTATATATTATATATCTTTAATTATTTGTTATTAATAAATTATTACTTAATAAAAAAAAATATAATAAAATGGAAAAATTATATTTATAATATTGGTTAGAGTTGTTATGAAGAGACAATGTTACTATTAGAGCTTGAGAAGTGAAAAATTATTTTAAATGATCATGCCTAGACATTTAATGGTAAAAATAAAAATTGTTATCACATAAAAAAAAAAAACTAATTTATTAACAAGAACTATAGTTGAAATATATTCTGCACTATTTTAAAATGCAATTTCAATCAAGTTTTTTAAAGAAAAAAAAGAATAATGTAAAAAAGGAAATTAAAAATTTTTTTTTTTATATTTATATATAAAAAGAGAGCTGATTTATAAAATCAGTGAAATAGTGGTCAAGTCAAGCTTGTAAACAACAAGAACTGCATGAAATTTTTTGTGTGTATATTTAGTCATGGTGCACAAGCATATAAGTTGTTGATGCAACAGTGAATGATATGCAGCTAATAATTAAGGATCAGACACGATCCTTAATTATTAGCTGCATATGTTGGTTCTCAGAAAATGAGAACCAATATTTGACATAAACCTGCATTTGTGCCTTTGCAACACAGCTAACAAATGATGATAAATCTCAGATCTTCACACATCAAAAACATACTTGAAAGTCACTCAAAAAAATGATGCCACCCACAAATCAACTCAAATAGGAAGAAAAAAACTACACAAAGGAAATCTGTGATTGGGGAGGGGGGTAGGGCTAAAAAATTTTTTGGGGGATACATACATACACAAATATATTATGATTTTTTCAACTAATTACATTAACTTAAACAGTAAAAAAATCATCTTGATCTTTGAAATTTTAATTCTTGAAAATTAAGATAAAACTGATTTTTTCAAAACATTTATTAATTTCTTGTGCCATAAACCAACAATTTAATAAACAAATTTTAATATTTTGAATAAGAAATGTTAATACATCTTATTTTTATTTTATTCATATTTACAATTTATTCTTGTGCACTTGTTTTACACCAATTTTAAACAATCATAAGGTATTATTATGATATACATATTTTCTATATTATTTTTGGACAACACTTTAAATCTATTGGATAATAAAAATTCACAAAATCATTGAAGTAGTGTGACAGATATCGCAATTCGCGATCACTTAACTCGAGCACATAGTGCACAAATTAAGTGATCGCAAATTGTGATATCTGGAAATGCTTCCGGTCTTTAAATTTTTAGCCTTTTAAAAACCGTAAAAATTGTTTTGATCACTAAACTCAATAGCCGTTATTCAATAAAAAATATTTATGTTGATTTTAAATTATGATATAAAGTCTTATAGTAAAACAATATTATTACTATTATTTTTATTAATAAAGAATATTATTTAAACTTTAATATTTTAATTTATTTTATAAATCATCAGATAAAACTAGAAAAATAAAGCACGATAATGTATGATATAATTATTAAAAACTAAACACAACAGTCTAGAGGAATTTAGCGGATATCAAATATTTTAAAATAAATTGTTAAATAAAATGTAAAATACTTTTATATATTATTTAAACCTTATTCAATATTAAAATTAAAAGACAGAGAAGTTTAAAAATATATATAAACTAATTGAAACCTTTTTTAGTTATTTTAAAACAACGCAAAAAAACTCATAAATTATTTTAAAATATATCTTTTTTATTAATATTTTTATTATAATTAATTTCTTATTTAAAACATTCAAATTTTTAAACAACTCTTTAAACTTTCCCCCTAAACAAAAATCAATATTGATGTTTCATGCAATGCGTAAATAGCTTTAGCATAATTTTTTATTGGTTGATTTTTCATACAATGCACAAATAGCTTCAGCATAGTTTTTTATTAATTGATTTTTAAATTAACGCATAAATTTTTCCAATCTTTAGTAATAATTTTTGTCTTTCAACTTTTTTTTTTCATTTATAACCCCTAAATTACCTAGTGTTTAAAAAGATTAATTAAAAATAAGTTTTGACTGTTTTTGCAATACAATAAATTGACCATTTCACAGTTTTAAATAAACTAAGAATTTAATGACCAAAAATATTTTCGGATATTGCAATTCACAATCAATTAATTCGAACCCCGCATTAGAGTAGCAAAAAGGTTTTTAGGAAATATGGTCAAAAGCAAAGTAAAAAAGAAATGTGATTAAAAGTAGTGCGGCATTGGTAATCATCAAACTAGCAACAAAAATATACCTTATAATTGTATTACAGCAAGATATGATGGAAGATTCTGAACACAAAGAAATTCTTTTATTGAATTCCAACCAAACCATATGAATTACTTTTGTTCTTTAAATAAAAAAAAGTATATCAAAAATAATTGTCAAAACATAATCAAATCAAAAACTAATTTTTTGTCCCGATGCATTATTCATTTTTGAAATAATACAACAAATTATTAGGTTTTAAAAACTCGAAATATATAATTGAAATATATTTTCTATTGTTGCAGGGACTTTACTTGCTGCTAAACTTATTTCACATATTTGACAAAATATGTGAAATAAGTTTATTATTTATTTATTGACAAATAAAGATATATCAAATGTAATGGAATCCATAACTATTTATAAAATTATTGTATAAAATATCAGCTGTTAATAACTGCAAGCTAATCTGATAAAAAACTAAATTATTATTTTATTCATAAATAGAACATTTGGGGCAATACATGTACAAACAATCATTTTTATAACCTATTTTTCACAAATTGTATTTCGTTTTTAAAATTTCTCAAATTTTAATTTAATTGTCATAATAAAAATTTAATTGTCAAATTAAAATTGAGTTGTCATAAATCTATTAAATTTCTAAAAACAAAATTTTTTATGGAATGTCTTAATTGAAACCTCAAAGTGGTTTCCTGCTCTATACTAGATAAATAGTTCTGAACAATATCTATCAACATTTTTTGAGAAACTCGTATTTTTTAAATTATGTCTAACAATAATACGATTTCTCCTATTGAAAATACCACTTCAACATCCAATTTAAAGAAAAGGCTTGAAAAAAGAAAGATTATAGATAAACAAAACCCTGCGAATTATAACGATGGCGAAACCAGTTTAATTTTTTCATCAAGTCAAAAAGAAATTGAAATTGATACACAGTTCATTGAGGAAGCAACTAAAACTACATACGAATATTACTCAATTGAGGAGGAAACATCGAAATGGGTTTGCAATGAATGTAATTGTAACAGACCTAAAAAGTACTCAAGTAAAACATCAAAAAGTATACTAGATTACCATCTTGAACATGATCACGAAATAATAACCCCGAAGAAAAAACGAAACATGAGTGGTTTGTCAAAAGAAAATAGCGATAAGATTGATAGAAATCTTTTAATATTCATTATTGCCTGTTGTCTTCCATTTATGTTGGTAGAAAGTAATGCCTTTAAAGATTTTATTTTTTGCTTAAATCCAAAGTACAAAGTGCCTAGCCGAAAAAAATTAAGATCTCTTTTAACAGATTTATATTGAGAAAAAATTGAACTTTTGAAGTCTAAATTATTGTCAATTAAATTTTTATCTATTACTACCGATGGGTGGACGTCCTGTCAAAACTATAGTTACATATCTGCAACTGCACATTTTATTTCTGAAAAAAACAATTTCATCAGTTTTTGTTTGGGATTTGCATATCTTAATGGGCGCCATGATGCAGATAATTTGAAAGACGTTTTGCTGAAAATTTTAGAAAAATTCAAGGTAGATGATAAAATAATGAGTGTAGTATCCGACAATGCCACTAACATACGTAACTGTCTCAATTCTTTAAAAGTTAGTTTAAACATTCAACCAATACGATGTATGGGGCATGTTTTGCAATTAGTAATAAAAAATGTCATAGATTTAGTTGAAGAAGGTGAAAACGATAGCTCGTCGAAATTCTTTTTTATTGCAAAAACTTTAACAAAGTGCAGAAAAATTGTTACATCTTTCAATCATTCTTCTCAACTTAATGATTTATTAGAAGAAAGTCAAATACAACATGGTGTCGAAAGAAATCACATCCTTCATTTGATTCAAGATGTGAAAACTTGTTGGCACTCCACGTTTCTTATGGCTGAAAGAATGCTTAAACTTCACTCCTACGTAAAAGATATTTTTAATTCAAAGCAACAATACAAAGATATGAGAAAAAATTTGCTCGATGAAAATGAAACAGTTAAGAAACAGTAAAAGCATTAGTAAGCTTTAATCAAGTAAGTGTTTTACTTTCGGGCGATACTTATGCAACATGTTCTTTAATTATTCCAAGTATAAAGTACCTTGAGAAGCAACTAAATAAGAAAAAAAGTGATACCCCTCCTTTAACTGTGCTATTAAAATTGCATTTATTAGAATCTTTACAAACATACAAAGATTCATACGAATTAGAAAATAATTCGTTTTTATTATGTGCTACTTTTTTGGATCCAAATTATAAAAGTTTTCAATTCTTTGAAAAGTACGAAGAAAAAAAAGTATTTCAAATGCGTTAAGGGATTTTTGTCGGATTTTTATTTGACAAAAAAACTTTGTGATATAATTCCAGTTAAAAAGGTGACAATCAAATCAAAAAAAATTAAGTTATCATTTGACGATGAAGATTATGATTCCGGAAATGATAGTGACAAAATAATAAGTTTGGATTTAAAAAAAGAAATTAGTGGTTACAGAAAATTGTCAGTAAATGAGCAAAATGTTTTACACTTTTGGCATCAAAATCAAGATGTATTTCCAATATTGTATTGTATTTCAAAAATGATTTTATGTATGCCTGCAACCAGTGCACCAAGTGAACGCCTTTTCTCTGACGCATTAAACAATTTGAATGCAAAGCGAAACAGAATGACAACTGAATGTTTTCAAATGTTGATGTTTTTGTATGAAAATTTGGTATTTTTTAATTTAGTTTAAATTTAATACTGATGTTTTTTCTTGTATTAACTTTTTTTTTAATACATTTTATTGTTCTTAACTTAATATTTACTTAAGACTTAAGTAAATATTATTAAATTTAGTATTCGAACTCTTTTGTGTGAAACTGATTTTTTTTTGTCGCAAAGTTGTAAAAATTAATGTAGTTTTTTAAATTATAAATGTGTTTAAAAAAAATGGTAATAAAAAAAATTAAGAATTAAAAAAATTAAAGTGTGGTTTTAATATTCTCGAGTGTGCGGTTTTATCATAATGTTGCCTAAAACTGCATACTTTTTTTTTTACCTTTATTATTTTGATTGTTTGATTTTTTTTTTTTAAATATTTATTTACATATTCTTCAGTATTTTTTTTTTAACACCTATCTAATGAAAAAATATAAAAACAGTTATTGAATTTTAATTGATAATTGTTTTGATCCGGTTTTACATGTATTTTTAAGGACGTATTGCATTTTTCAAGTAGTTTTAACAATTCAAATATTAACTAAAATAAAATAAGAATATACTTTCGAGTTGCTGCTATCGCCCACCAACTGGTGTAATGAATTATTTTAATACTTTTTAAAATAAAGTTATTTTTAAAGAAAGTAACCACAAAAAAAAAATTAAACTATTTAAATGGAGATTTATTTAGATTGTTGACAGTATCACGTCAAATACAACTTCAAATAACTTATTTAAAAACGGAGCGTTTCCAATAATAAACCGACAAGAATTACTGAACCAACGACTTCATTAATTGACAATATCATAAGGAACGATATTTTTAATCATTCTCTTAAAAAAGGATGCAACTAATGTAAATAACTATCGCCCTACATCTGTTCTTTCTGTATTTTCAAATATTTTAGAGAGAATCTTATAAAACAAAATCAACACTCATCTTTCTGTAAATAATATTTTATTTAATAATCAACAAGGTTTCAAAAAAAAAAAAAAATCCACAGAGCATGGAAAACTTCAGTTTACACGTAGTATTAACAATGTGTTCAATAAATTTGAATATACATTAGGAATTTTTATTGATTTATCAAAAGCATTTGATACTATTGACCATCAAATTCTTATTATAAAGCTCGAATTATATGGAATCATAGGAGTCGAGTCAAATCACCAAAAAAGTTACTAAACGTTACTTGTGGCAACATTACTATATAATTTTAAATTATGAATTTAGAACTTATTTGAAACTATGAACTTAGAAGAAAAAATAAAGTTTCTTACTGGTTCAAAGTAAATAAGTTTTCAGTAATTATTGACAAAACTAACTGAACTCTATTTCACCCACTTTCCAAAAAAAAACTAATACCAGACGAAACGTAATCTATATTCATTGATAATATTCAAGTAAAAAGAGTAAAAACTACTCAGTTTTTAGGACTATATATTGATAAAAATCTTACTGGAGACAGCACATCGAAAATTTAAGCAACGAAATTGCAAAAAGTAGAAGAGTATTATACAAATCAAAAAGCTGTTAAAACAAGCGCACTTTAATGCAACTATATTATTATTATTTTTCTTTTTTTATTAAGGTGCCCCAGAAAAACCTAACGGTCTTGTCACAGAGCACAGCGGAAGTGCATTTAACCAGGAAGTTCACGCCTCTCTCCTTACCGTGACGTGAAATATGTCCAAAGCTCGTTTCGAAACTGGATCTCCCGCTTATAAAGCAAGCGCTCTAACCACTGCGCCACAGCCGCATATTATTCACTTATTCACTGCCGTATTATTGCGTGGGGCAGTATTAACAAAAAAAACGAGATCCTCTACATCGTCATCAGAAATATATAGCACGTTTAGTTGATTCTTAGGATCGACGAACTCATTCAAAGCCTCTCTTAAGAAAAATGAATGTTTTAAACATATACTAACTTAACGTATATAATAATCTTTGTTAAATGTAAACAAAATTATCTCCGTCTCCGTTTCATAGTTTATTTATAACAAAAACAAAAAAATAAATACGATCTATGATATGATGATTTTTTGATGCAACCATTTTCGAAAACTAATCATTGTAAATTTTGCGTATCATCTCGTGGACAGTATCTTTGGAACAAAATTGTCTTAAATAACTTTGATTTTTCTTTTGAATGGAATTACAGATCTTTTAAAAAAAGTTGAAAGAAATAGTTTTAAAATTGACAATATACAAATGTACTTTTAAAACCTTTTAAAATTATTTTTATCTTTTATTTATATTGATTTATATCACTTGTGATGTTTAATTTTTCTTGTTATGATTAGTAACTCAATTATTTACAATATTCAAGCCTATATTGCTATTATTTTATCTGTCAAATTAATCTTTACGAAATTTTTTGTAAACTTTTAATTTTTTTGTAATTATTTTTAATTTAAATTTTGTTATTCTTTTATTATTGCAAAACACTTACTTTTTTATTTACTACGTAAAATATTTAACTTGTAAAAATGCTAAAACATCTTTTTACAGCGGTACTGGATGACAAGATCATATGGTCTTTTAAGAGTTTCAGCATTCTTTATATTTATATATATATATATATATATATATATATATATATATATATATATATATATATATATATATATATATATATATATATATATATATATATATATATAGTAAATATTTTTACTTGTAATTGTTTATATTTTTTAATTTTAGCTTGTAAATTTTATGAAATATTAACGTGATGTTTTAAAATGTAATAAAGAACAATAACAACAATAACTAAAAAATTAAAATGTCATAAACAATTTCCTAGTCTTTAATGCGACCACAGCTACTTAATAAATGTTTTCATTATTCAACAGTTAAGTATTATTTATTACATTTTATACACTATTCAACAACTTATATTGCGGAAATTGCATTCTAAAATGCAGGAGGGAATTCTAAAATAAAGGAAGGAAATTTAATGCTCATTTTTAAATTTTAAGTAAACACAATATTTTTATATCTTCTGTATTTGGAAGAAACAGAATGCCACTGCATTGTTCCTAAATTTTTTTTTACTGTATTTTTTAACCTACTATATTTTGTTTTTCTGTTGTTTTTTTTTTTACTTTTTTTTTTTGTATTTGGGGTGGTTATCAATTGTTAGGAGAGGTTGATATTTGAAGGGGTGGGGAGGGAAGTCGTAGATTTTTAGTAAAAATTAGAGATTGAATTCATTCCTATAATATGGCAGGGGAAAGGGCTGTACTGTACAACAAAGGCGTAAGAGAGGGGGGGGGGTGCAAATGAATAAATCTTTTTTACCATAAATATCTCACCAAATTGGGGATTTTTTTTTTTTATTTAAAAGCCAAATTCAGTTTTAACCGACCGAGTCTCAAATTTTCTAAATTACCGACAATACCGACAGAATGTTGTAAACCTGGGAAGGTGCCCACACTCCAGTCGGTACGGCCTTGGCAAGGGAGATTATTTTTGATGTGCGATTATTACTGCATACTACCTATAGCATGCAGCACATAAAAAATATAAGTTAAACGTTCAATAAGCGTACCAAATTTGATTTAATTGACTAAAGGGCTTTACTTGTACATTCCATGCTGATTGGGTGTTTATAAACAGTTGCAATAACATCATAGGCAGTTGCCTCCGAGCTGAAAAAAAATAAAAATAATCGAACTTTGCTTAAAAAATTTATTTTTGAATAACAGTTTAGTTCGACTAGGCTCTAGGATTCACAATTAGTAAAGTGTTGAATTACGAGAAAATAATATTTATCGCCTTAATAAAGCTTCCTCGGTTGTAAAATTTTTATGCGAAAGATTATTTCTTTTTTCAAACACTAAGTCTTGCTTTAGTCGACTAAATTTAGTTACACTAAATATTTAGTCGTCTAATTTGAGTTAACTATAAAGTTAGTCGACTAATTTTAGTTAGCTAAAAAGTTAGTCGGGTAATTTTAGTTAACTAAAAAGTTAGTCGCGTAATTTTAGTTAACTAATAAGTTAGTCGACTAATTTTAGTTAACTAAAAAGTTAGTTAACTAATTTTAGTTAACTAAAAAGTTAGTCGACTGAAATTAATTAACTAAAAAGTAAGTCGACTAATTTAAGTTAACTAAAAAGTTAGTCGACTGAGTTTAGTTAACTAAAAAGTTAGTCGACTAATTTAAGTTAACTAAAAAGTTAGTCAACTAATTTTAGTTCGACTAAAAATTTAGTTAAGTATTTTTAGTTAGACTAAAACTAACCTTAACTCCCACCCCTATTATAGATGATAGAACAGAGTATATAACTATAAATATATAACTGTTATATCAATTTCTACAAACTTAGTATATATCTCAATTAAAATATATCTTATTTTAAAAGAGTATTTCATTTTCAAAAATAAAAATCAATTAAACATATTAAATGTTTAGACATATAAAGTCATTGAACAAGTCACTATGTCATTGTTAAGTCATGTCTTTGTAAGCAAAACTCATTTATCAATCTATAACCTATTGTCATAAAAAATGAAGAAAAGCTTTAAAAAAGAGAAAGAAAAAAAAAATTAAAATATTGGAAATTGGATATTGGAAAAAAAACTAAAATATTGGAAATATCAATATTTCATCTTCATTCCAATTTATCTGGAGAAAGTCTTAATTTATTTATATATAACATTCTAACGAAATAACTATAAAATTATAATTAAGTTATAAACATGAAAATCTTTTGTTGAAGTTTTGTTTTTGTTGAAATGAATTAAGCTAATTAACAAGTAAGAAAGTCATATTTAACAATTAACAAATATATATATAAGTATATATATAAAGATATTATATACAATATATAAGCTAATTAACAAGTATGCTGCTCATATTTAAAGGTGTTTTAGAGAGATTCTAAAGTAGGAGTAATACTTGTCTTTAATTTGAAAAAAATATTTAAAAAAACTTTGCAATTTTCTTTGCAACTAAGAAAATTAAAATTTTAAGATTATAGTAAGAAAAAAAAAAAAAGGTTTAAATAAAAAGGTTTAAAGAAAGAAAATAAAACAATGAAATTTATAATAAGGAATGTTTTCAATATTATTATTTTACAATAATTTTCATTTCGAATCAGATAACTTTAATACTAATTATAAAGAAGGTTTTATCATGCATATAAAAATTTTAACTTAAAGATCTTAATGTAGATCGTATTGGTTTGACAGAATTTAGATTAAATATAACAGAACAGCTGCATCAATAGGCAGTACAACATTAAAGGTATATATAACATTAATTATATATTAAAGGTAATGCAAATTTTTTTAAGAATGTTTCTGATTAAGAATTGCAATGTGCCATAACAAAAATTTGAGAAACCAAAGTTAAGTGTTATGAAATTAAACTTTGTGAAAAAAAATAAAGAAAATATATTTAAAAAAAATAAAAAATTAATGCACCTATTCAATACAGATATCTTGTCCAAATATTTAAACATAGTAGCAGGTTGTGGTGTAATAACTTCTGTATTGTCAATGCTAGGCAACATCTTTAAAAAAAAAGTTGAAAATGTTTCAATTTTGAAAAATTTTATGTTAATAATAAAAAGATGCTCTAATACATATGCATTAAGATGCACTCAAATGCATTAAAGTGCATTGTAAAACAATAAATTTTTAAAACTCTCTTGTAATACCTCTAAAACAACGGTATTTTTACATATTTTTTGATCATTTGATTTTTCTTTAAACTTTTTATAAAACAATTATTTTCAAAATTTTTATATAACTTAAAACTTGTGAGTTGTGAGTTAGTGCGCAAAAAAAATTTGGTACTTCTAAAAAACTTTTTTTTTAATACTAGGGACTATTCAGCGTAGTTAAGGAGAGATCCAAACGATTTGCATTTCTTAAAAACAAAACTTTTCATTTTTGAACTTCAATTTTTTGTGTTTTCTGCTTATTTTCCATTATTAATATTATATATTTTTAAAAAGTAGAATTTAAGCTTTTCTCATATAATCTATTATTTTTTTTGTAATCTTTTTTTAACCAAAGCATCAAGAATAACAAAACTACCACTAAAACACATAAAACGCAACAGTGCAGCATCATAAAAACAGCTGAAACAAATGCATTAAGTGTTCACATTCCAAAAATATCTAATTTATTCGAAAGTAAAAAGACTCCTTGTTTACAGCATTAAAATAATCAATAAATGACTAAAAACCTCTTATTTTACCTTTCCGTAAACAGTAAAAACATTAAAATCGAAGTTTTCACATTAGTTTTCATTCATAGCAATTTACTTTCATAATCTCTTTATAGTCATTTAAATAAATAACTAAATAGAAACGTTTCAGCTTTTATATAACTTTTGCCCCATAGTAGCTAAAACTTCAAACTCGTAGATAGTATAATCACCGAATATTTGTAAACAAAATAAAATAACAAGCTTCGCGATTTTTTTAAAAAAATAAACCAATCAAAACACACACAAAATAAAATAGGATTTTTTGAAAACAAAAAGGGCCTAAACGCTATATTTTTCTTTGGATCTCTCCTTAACTACGCAGAGTATGTAAATTTTCCTTTTTTTCTCTTTTTTCTTTTCAACATCTTCATGTCCAACAAGTCTGCAAGCAACAACTATTAGAGTTAAAAGTTACTGAAAGATAAAATATGAAGTTTATAAGCAAAGATAACGATTAACAGACAACTTAAAAGATTGCAAATTATATGAATCAGGAAAACAAGACGAAGAAAGTGAATTCCAAAAAACTGATGTTTGAGGAAAAATAAGACAAATAAGAATTTTTGTAGCACTTACGAACAGTCATTGTAAATGGGCAAGGCTTAATTAAATGACGAGTAACAAAATAATGAATTTTATGGCAGAAGAGAAGCTAGCTCTTTAGAGCAGCACCTACTACAGTGTTTGTAGAGAAAAAGAAAAGCAACATGTGAGCTGTGTGACAATGTTTGAAAAGATCCCTGTTTGTACTTTTGGAGTGCATTGCCAAGGTCACATTTGAAGCCCTTTGTTACGCCCTCGGGCTTATTAATAGTAATGAGGCAATTGCTTAGACTAGTACATGGTGTACTGAGTACATAGTGTACTGAGTACATACTATACTTTGAGTCAAGTTCTTTAATAAATTTAAAAATGACTTAAGTTTCAAAAACTATAACACAAAAAATCATTGACATCACTAAGTTCTCTGAATCTATCATTCAATAATATTTGTGGTCTTTGAAGTTATTTTCTTGTGTTAAGTCTTATCTCTTGCAAAGTTCAGCAGATCTACTACTTCTTTGTGAGACTAATTTGAGTTTGGCTGCCTCATCTTGTGATGATGGTGTTGATGGTTATCTTCCTTTAATTCGTAAAGACTCCAAAAGTCACATGTTTGGCTTGGGCATTTACATTCATAAGAACTTAACCATTTGTCAGGAAAACTAGGTTTAAATCCACAGACTACTCTTTTATATGCTTTTGTTTAGCACCAAGACCAAGCCCTTTCCCTTTATACTTCAGCCAATATTGTTGTTGGTGGTGACTTTAATGCTCATCACAGTGGCTCTACTGTCAGTAACTCTGCAGGCATCAAGACCCACAACTTTTGCTTTTCTCAATTCCTAACTCAAATTGTCAACTATACAATTCACTTTCCAGACAATCCTAATCATTTAACTTCAATACTAGTCCTCCCGGTGAGAAATGAGCTAGCGACTAGCGAGCAACTAGCTAGCTTTATAGCAATTTTTTAGCGATTTTTTTTTCCTATTATTATTTCCCAATGTCTTTAAACATTGGGAAATAATAAAATAGGAAAAAAAAGTTGTTGAGTCTATTATAATTATGAGGATAATTGAACTTTAAACATCGCAATTTTGTAGCAATGTGTCGCTAGCTACATATCATAGCTTTGTAGCTAGCTACAAAATATCTACAAATCTATAACTGGTTTACAGGTACATATGAAAATTTTTTAGACAGCAATTTTATTACAATATGACACTAGCTACATTAGCCAGTGGGTCTTTAGCTTATTAAGCTGGCTGTCCTCTTAACCAAATGTCTGTCTTTATCTTTACAAATATCGATAGCTTTTTGCCAACTTAAAAAAGCTAGCGATCCTCGTGGCCAAATCGCTGTCTTTATCGTTACGATTATAGCTAGCTATTCGCTAGCCGATTTCCCACCGGGCTATGTCTTGTTTCTGATCTGCAGAAAAATAAGCTTGTTATGTAATTTCTTGGATTCAGGCTGGCATGAAATCTTTTATTCCCTCTCGATCATTAAAGTCAAGCCTCACTCTTCTCCATGGTTTTCATCACATTGCCCTGCTGCAATTTTCATTTTTAACCATTACTTTCATATCTATCAGCAAAATAATTCTCCAGATAACAGACGTCTATTTACTTTTGCAAAAAAACCATTGTAAAAAGGTTTTGTCTAACCCTAAAGTTCACTATTTTGAGGTCACCAAATCATGTATTTTATCTAAAAATTTAAAACTGGTGATTTCTGGAGAACCTTTAACTATAATTAGGGCAAATCTGTTATTCAACCTCTCTTGCATTATTCAGATTTTGCCACCTTGCCTAAAGGCAAGACTGAATTGTTTGCTAAGAACTTCTCATTAATATCATCTCCTGATTCCACTAGTCGCGTTCTACATGATATAGCCAACTAACAGGTTAGTTCTTTGCCTGACTTTTGTATCACTCCAACTTCTGTATCTAAAGTAATTTTCTGCTTAGATTCTTCTACAGGTTGTGGTCCAGACAACATAGCTGTTATAGTCTTGCACAAGTGTTCTTCGAAGCTGTTGTCTATACTTTCAAAACTATTTAAGTGTTTATCAGAGTCTTGTTTTCCAGCCTGCTTGAAAGCGGCATCTGTTATCCCTATTTTCAAAAATTCTGGAGAGCTTCTTGGCCTCAAAACTTTTGGCCTTGGTCTTGGCTTTGGCTTTGGAATATGTAGCCTTGGCCTTGATTTGCTACTTTTGGTCTTGTTAACAACTCTGTATGGAAGTCTCCAAGAAAAAGATAAAGACTAAATTTAAAACAATAAAACTAAAAAAAATTAAACTTGGAGATAAAATTAAATTAATAATAAATAAACAATGAGCAAAGTAACTTACAGATTAATCTGGGACTATTTTGATATTAATGAAAATAATCAACATAAAAAACATTACCAACGACATATATCAAATAAACAACGCAATATCGCATAATTTTAGGGGTTTTTTATTTTTATTGCTTAGTCATTCTAAATAATAAGTAAATTTAATTCAAGTTAATATTTCAATATTTATAGTTGCAATATAATAAAGAAATGATGTTTATTTTTGAACTTTTTATTTAGTTATTTATTTTTTACCTACATTTGTTATAAAAAAACTTTAGAAAGTCATTAAAATAATTTGTTTTATATATATTTTGACGCAATTATTCAAACTAATTTTTTTCGTTTGACTTCCTGAACTTCATGCAAAGCAAATTGAGATGAAATATCGTCTAACCAAATAAAAATGTTGTTACTAATTTTATTCCGGTAATTAATGTAAAACAATTTTTTATCAGAGTCTTGATTGAGATAATAATTACTCATAATTTACAAACATTAAATATATGGCGCAATAACAATTTATAGTAACAAACCAGCATAAAATATTTGAGGTTTTTAGTATCTTTTTAAATGTTAAAAATAGAAAGAAAAAAAAACTAAACAAATAATCAAAAAAATTCGAACAAAAATAAATAAAAATATTTCCAGAGTTTCATTTTTTAAAAGTCTACTGTGATGTTAAATACTAAAACTTTTATGAATTAAACGCACTTCAAAGGAATCGCCGAAGTCTGTAGATTGCGACGTATAATTTGAAGACTCCGAGTTATTGAATAAAATGGAGAAGGCGAGCTTCAGCTAAAACAACAACATTAGTTTTTCTCGGTATGCATTCATTATTTTTAATTAAAAAAACTTGGTTCAAACCTTTTTTTTAATATTATCTTTAATATGAACACAACATGTGTTGGGAGTTTGGGATCCCTTTAAAGATAGATTTTTGTTTATTTATTTGTTGGATCTTTAATCCTTATTTTATATTTGTTGGATATTTAATCCTTAACATTTTTATCTTGAATATGATTTCGAATTTTAATTAATTTCATTATTTCTTTAGTAACCCATGGCTTGAATTGACATTCCTAGCTCTTAATACTAATTTTTTTGAGTGGCACATGACAATCTAACAACAATGTTGTTTGAGAAATAAATGCTTCAAAACTGAAGTTAACATTGTTTTTATTGGTAATGTCATTCCAACCAACTTTTAATAATTCAGATTTAAATAATTCTTTTTCAAAATATTTAAAGTTCCCGCGGTATAAATTATGATTGCATGGTATAAATAATTTATTGAAATTAGGACAAACAAGAAATTGAGGTAGGTCGCCAGAAATAGAAGTTGTTAGATTTCCTGAAATAATTCGGTTAGTGGTTACATTTGAAAAAATATTGTCAATGATTGTAGCAGAATGGTCAGTAACTCTCATTGGTAGCGTAATAGATGGGAAAATATTATAAGAAGTTTAAAAACCCAGAAGTTGCAAAGTCAGAGTTTGACTGTATCAGATCTGCCATTAAATCACGTTAAAACTTTATTATTGAAATTGTTTAATTCCATGCTATGGTGTCTATATATGCAACCAACAATAATATTTGATTTTTTGGGAAAATTATTTAAGTAGTTTTGTGTGTATGATCAAATCATCTCTTTTTTTCTAAACCAATTTTTTGATAAACATAACAAGGTTTCACCACAAGAAGATTTGGTTGGTGTGTGCTTAAAATTATAATTTTGAATAATAATTGTATGTGACAAAGATGATTATTTTTTTAATCTTGTTTCTGTAATTCCAATAATGCTTAATTCAAAAGTAATCAATGAAAACAACATGTTCAGATCTTTAAAGTGCTTTTGTAAAGAGGATATGTTTAAATGCAAAAAAGACATAGAGTTTGTGATGTCAAAGTTATAAGAACAAAATTTATTAATGTCATAATATAGACAATCTACATCAAAAGTTGAACAGTTTTCCTCATCAGAGACTGAAGCATGTGATGTAATAAATTTATTAAATTGAGTATAGATGTTATTCAATCCTGATTCTGGAAAAAGTTTTGTTGATAAAGGCAAGTCATCAGTTATAATAATTTTATTTGAAGAGAAGAGTAATTTAAATTCATTATCAGATACATCAGTCAATGAAAAGACACCTTTGGTACAATTTACACACAATTATATTGAGCGTTTTAAATGTGTTAAATTGTACCCATGATAATAAAGCCTGCTACATTTTGATTTACAATGAGTCCAAAACAAACATACATCACATTGAGTTGCACGGCAACTTGCACTTACTTTTTTTGTACATGCAGTGCATATTCTGCTAAAATTAGAGATCATAGTAAAAATAATGAGAACAATAAAAAAAAAAAATTTGTAAAATTTAGAAGCTTGAAGTTGTCAAGTTTTAAAAGAAAAGAAAAAAATAATGAAAACAACAATGAAAAATAATGATACAATATTATAAATAGTAAATATAATAGTAAAAATTATAATAGTAATAATATTTTATATAAAATAATATTTATAATAATAAAACAATAGAATAATAAGTAATATTATTTCATTAACCGAAAATAAGAATATATAAATAATTATAAATTAAATAGAAATTGTATACAAATTATATCAAATATTGTAAACATATAAACAAAAACAGAAACAACATAAAACAAAAATAAATAAAAATAATATCTTAATAACTAAATTAAAGATAATAGTAATATATTCAACAATAATATATTTATAATAATGTATAATAGAAATAAATTAAAATAATTAAATATAATAAGTTACAACAAAATCAGGTTAAATATAAATTATATTTAATCAAATACTTCTCTTTTTCTTTTTTAATATATAATTTTTACTTCTCTTTTTCTTTTTTTAATTTTTTTTTATTCAGTTTAGATTATATATCTTTTCTTTTTTCCTATTTATTTTTACTGATCCTTTAGAAAAACACATCTGCCATCCCTGAAGACATCACATATCATTATGATAGTACTCAATTTTCTATTTAGTACAGATACTCAGTTCACTATTTAGAACAGATAGTTCACTATTTAGTAGTCCAAGCAAAAGCCTCCTTACTATTCATAAATATGGTCTAATTTTAAACATTGCAACTAGCTTTTCAATTAGAGATTATTATGCCTTGATATTTTTTGAAGATATCATTCACTTAAAATAGTTCCTACAATTTTAAAATAGTAAGAACTCAAAAACAAAAAATAAAACATACCTTGTGATAAATTGATGGAATAGAAATATTTGGAACTTGTAAAGGAGGATCTTTTTGAAGTTTTTGATTATTCACAACCTAAAACATTGTAAATATATTGTTCAAGGTTATTAGAATAAGAAAAATATTTTAAAATTTTTTTGAAACAAAAAATTCATTTCAGTTTCTTGAAATTAATTTTTTGTTTTGAAATATTTTATTACTTTTATAGAAATTCAACAAAGTCATCATTTTTAATACTTTATATTGACATTTTAAATGCTTTTTAAATACATTCACAGTTTTAAGTTTACATTTTTATACTTCAAACTCAAAATAATCTTACTTAAAACAATTCCATGCTACACGTTAATGTGATTTAAATCAAGAAAACAAAAATTTACAGTTTTTACATTTAAAAAATAAAAAAAACATACTTAACTATAATATTGCAATAACCTAAATGATTTATAAAAAATTAACTTGCTGTTATAAAATACTAAGAAAATAATAATTAAGATTTAGGGTGAAATGCAAGAAGCGAACTTGAGTCAAGCTCGACTTGAACTTTACATTGCAACCAATAGCGACAGAGTATGGGTTTTCCTCTAAAAAAATACACTGCCGCTATTGGTTACAAAGTAAAGATAAAGTCGAACTTGACTCAAGTTTGCTTCTTGCATTCCACCTATAATCCTAAAGAAAAAAAAAAGTTTTTTTACCAAAATAATATAAATTTAAATGCTTTTTTCATACTCATAAAAACTTCATTTCGTCAGCAAAACATCAAGGTGCATAGAATTGCTCAACAATGTTTTTTTAAGGCTTTTAAATACAAATATTCTTAACATAAAATTTTTTTAATATTTTTGAAAAATTTTTAAAAATATAACAAATCAATAATTTATAAAGAAAATTTGAATTAAAATGCAGTTATCAAAAAAATAAATTGCACAAGCATTTTTTTTTTTAATTTAAATTTGAATAAATTTGAATAAAATTTTTAATTATTTGAAAACAGCATTATATTGATGCACTGTATTCAAAAACTGTCAAATATAAGTTCATATGGCATAGAAAAATCAACTGTGCTTATATTCATCAAAAATTTTCTTTTTTCAAAAAATGACAAATAGGAAGAACTTCCGAATTTAGGCAAATAATTAAATTTTAATACTTAGTTGGGCAATCCTTTGCCAGAATAGTTTCTTGCAGATGTAGAGGCATCGATTAAATTAATACTTCTAAATTTTGTTTCTACTGGAGTTACTTTCTCCCATGATTCAACTATAGCTGCTTTTAGATCATTTTGTCTTCTGTAAGCTTGATCTCCAATTTCCGGTCTAGAAATGTCCCACAAATGCTCAAAGGCATTAAGGTCAGAAGACCATTCCATCATGGGCAGACCATTTTAACATGGGCAGACCATTTTATCATGGGTAGACCATTCCATCACATAAACATCATTCTTTTGACAATATTCCTTTGTTGCTATGGCAGTATGTATCAGGTCATTATCTTGTTGAAACACAAAATTATTTCTGAATCTAAATTTACAAACAGAGGGCTTTAAATTTTGATTTAAAATATACAAACTGAACTTCATAGTTAATTTAACTTAAGTCAATTTGCCAGCTCCTCATTGATCCCAACACCATAACATTTCTACTTCACTGTTCCTCTCATGTAACTTAATTTGTATGGCTCGCTTTGTTTCTGCAAGACTTTTTGCTGCCAATCTGATGATATCAGATTAAATTTGGGTTCATCACTCTAAATTACTTTTTCCCAGTACTCAATAGGCATCTTCATATACATTTTTTGCAAATAACAATCTTTGTTTCATATCTTAGAGTCAAATGGGGTTTTTCATGACATACTCTATGGTGAAATCTATTATGTTTTAATCAATGGCAGCAGATGTTTTTTTTTGACAGCCTCTTCTTGCAATACTAGTTGTAGTACCATTCAAATTGTTTTTTTATAATGCCGCTGACTGTTCAAAAATGAATTCCAACCTGCATATTAACTTCTTTGTAGGTCTTGCCATTTTCCCCTAAATCCACAACTAAGTTTCCTTGATAAATTGTCTAATGTTGTTTTACAACGCACATGTTACTACAATTAATAAATAATTATAAATTAATCAGTTTTATTCAATTAATCAATACCTTATGGGTATATTAATCTTATGGGTTACCTTGATTTGTTACTCTGATCCTAGCTTATGTTCAGTTTTTCCTTTAGTTAGTTCAGACAGTATTGTTACTAATGTGATAATTGTAGAGTGCTCATTTCATAAGCGAGAAGTTTTGAGTTTGATCACCATCATGTACCTGGTAATACTGCACTTAACTTGTTTCTCCATGCAGTGACTTTGTTTCTCAATGTGTGTTTTGGATTTAAGAGTTGAAAGAAGTTTGTAACCACAATAAAGTAGCCTTTGTGACTGTAGTAGCCCTCACAGCTTTGGAACCTTTAATAAAATAATTTTAAAAAAAAAACTTAATATTTTTTTTCTTTTTACACTTCTACTGCATCAGATTTATTTTGTCTTGCATACATGGGTTAGATCTCTGATACTCCTATAATAAGTTAGTTTGTCGATAGTTTGTAAGTTTGATAGTTTGTTCTTCTAATAGTGAATGACGTTAGTTCTCCAAATATAACAGTAATTGATAGTTTGTTCTCCTAATATAATAGTAATTGATAATTTGTTATCTCTTTATAATAATACTGGACTTTATAGTAGTAGTGCGCTTTCGAGCCTGTTTGACACGATACTCTTGGCAACCATTGCATCCGAGGTAGTGATGAGAAAGAGACTTACCTTTGCTTTATAAGAAAACGTGAGCAAACATGAAACTCACATCGTACGTACCTAAACTTCATGTTATGTAATGTTAAAACATGCTTAAACATATATCAAGTTCAACAGTTTGATTTTCACTTAAGAACTGCATTTCGTCAACCTCTGCTTAATTTCTGATCTTTTGCATATATATCTGTTAAAAACAATTTTTATATAATTTCGAATCATCGACACTTAACGTGTCAGCGTAGTCGAGTGGTTAGCGCACTGGGCTTCAGAACAAAATAGCTGTGGTTCGAGTCCTACCGTTGGCAACTACTTTTTAAATTTTTTTTTAGATTTTTTTAAATACAAATTTAAATTCTTATAAAATTATATAGATGTTGTATATAGACAACATATGTAAAAATATTAATCAAAAGTTTGATCCTCGCACTTTGACACAGAACCGACTTCGCTAACGAGAGAAAAAAAATCGTTCACAAATTTCAAAATTTTGTTTTTTCGTGAAGTCCTTAAACACTTAGTTTCCAACTTTCTTGACATATTCCAAGTCTCTGTGAGAAAAAACTTCGTTGATCAAATATACAAAAACAGAAATTCAGCTTTTTTGTTATGATAAATATCACCATGGTACAAAGTGCCAACCAAGGTTTTTTAAACAAAATGCCAATCGAGTTTTACTTCCACGCGGTTTTAATCCACCACAAGGTTTAGTTAAATGCTTAAAAAAAGATAAAATTTAAGGCTTAAAAAAAGAATTTTTTACAAATTTTTTCTTACATCTCTTTAATCCTTGACTTTTGGATTTAGATTTATTACATTGATAGTAACAATATCATATTATTTTTGTTAGATTATTACATTGTTTGATTTTTTTTTTTTAGATTTATAAATTTGAAAAAAAAAATATAATCATGTCAGGTAGCATTTGTTTTTTATTTTATCTTTAGTTAATTTTTTTTTAAATTGCTTATTGACCTCTTTTTAAATTTTTAGAAGCTTTTGATGACGATTTAATGTTTAGTAAGTTGCTTTTATTTGTTCAGTAATTCGATTTTAGTCGTCTTTATTTGTTCATTAAGTCGCCAATTTTGTTTTTATTTATTTGTTAAGTTTTTTTGTTTGCTTTCCATATACTTTACTCTTTGCTTTTAGTTAAACTACATTTTTTTAAGTTATCTGTATTTTTTTTTCATTTTTAATACTGAACTTTTTTTTTTTTAGTGGTGCAACCACAACCTGGTAAGAATTTTTTCTATACTTTTTAATAGCCCCTTAAACCTACAAAAACCCTATTTTGTATTTGTTGTGCCATTGATACCATTTTTTTCTCTTTTACTTAATTATTTTAATCTGTTTTTTTTTTTTTTAAAGCAGATGCACAACAACAACCACATTCTGGTAAGAAGGAAACCTTTTGTTTCAATTTATTTATATCTTTTTTTAAAAATTTCCTAATATTTTGTCGTTTTCTTTTTCTTTACTAATGTATTTTTTTAAATCTGTATTTATATTTTTTCTAGAAACGCAACAACAACTACAATCAGGTAAGATTTTTTTTTTCAATGTATTTAAAGTCTCTTTTAAAAAAAATTTTAAAAAAGATTTATATTTAAAAAAAAATATTATGCATGTTTATTTTAATTACTACACATTTTTTAATTTGTAGTGCAACAACAACCTGGTAGGAAATTAATTTCATACGTTTTTAAATCTTCTTAATAATTTTTATTTTTTCTTATTCTTTAATATTGTATTTTTTTTTAAATCTGTATTAATTTTTTTAGTACAACAACAACAACCACAATCAGGTAAAAAGAACTCAATTTTTTGTTCAGTGTTTTGTTGATAACAGTTAGTTTTCTATTTACTTAAAATTTATTATTTTAAAATTTTTATAGACATAAAATGTATTAGTATAAGTAATATTTTTTTTTTGTAGTGAGCTTTCAACAAATGTTTTGTAAGTTTTGATTTTTAAAATTTTTTTTAAATTTTTACTTATTAAGTTTATAATTTAATTAAATTATTTTTGATTGTGTCATAATCAATAGCTCATGTTATTTTAGTGCAATCTATGGAAGAAATGTGTAAGATTTTAGATTGTATTGATTATTAAACTTTTTATTTGTCACTGTAATACTCATGTTTTATTTAAATTTTTTAAAATATTACTTTACATAGAAAATGTTAATAAAATTGTTTTTTCTCTTTAGTTAATAATTTTTTAAAGAAGATGGAGGAGCAATCCTGTATGAAAATATCTTCAACTTTATAAATTTATAACTTGGTTCTTTCCAAAAAATTATTGATTATACACATACATATGGCGGTGGTATACACATCACCATATTATGTAAACATATAGTTTTATTTAAACATATAAAAGAATTTAGCTTCTTTTTTTATTGTAAAGTTTCTTATGTATTATGAAATCATAGATTTTTTGATTATATATAGCCCGAACACCATCATTGTCAATGGCAGCGGTTGCCACAACTCTTGGTAAATAAACAGCTTATTTTATATTATAACTAGAATAATTATTAGTTATTGTTAATATTTTATTTAGTTAATTTTTTTCATACTTTATCAGCAACAATAACAACAACAACAACATCTGCTACAAGTGCAGCTGCTGCTGGTAAGTTAATTTTTAGTTTTATATTTCATTAGTATGAATACTGTGTTATTATTATGTAACTGTGTAAAATGTGATGTTTATTTACGTTTTTAAATTCTTAATTTCTTTTTTATCTTTATAATATTGTATAAGATTCAAATTTGTTTCTTTAATATTGTATAAGAAATATTGTATAAGATTCATTTTGTTACTTTTATCATTTTAGATTTGTCATGTGAGGCTTTTATAGCCAACAGGAGGATTCACCCTGGAACCATATCCTACGGGGCCCATAGGATATGGGTCTCAAATGATGGGGCAGATCTCCCCTCTTTTTGTTAGGGGAGAAGAAGAAGATATGGGAGAGGGGTGGTGGGAGGGGGGTGGTGTTATTTATAATTATAATTATAATTAAAAAAGATTACAATTGAATGAAATCTTACAATAAGCACTGTTGTTTTTCTTTACCCTTCCTAAGATAAATATTGCCAATGTTGGAAATAATTTTAAACAATAAAGGCGTTTATGACTTTTTTATTTAGCATATGGGTGCCTTACAGTAAAAAGTACCAACCTTCGGAGTTACTGATACAGTTGCATAGAGTCAGGAAAAAGTCACAAAATAAAACAAAAATTAACTTGATAGCATCATTTTTAAAAGTTCTACATAGTTTTTCATGGAAGTGTTTTAATAATGAAATTACAGTAAAGACTTTAAAATTTGACATAATTTAAAACTGTGTAAATTAACATAGTAATAAAGTTAATGTATATTTTCATTATTTATTTAAAAACTACTACTAAATATTAAAACTGCTTGAAAAAATAAAAAAAGGTAGTTGCAACGCTTATACCTCCGAATCTAAAAACTACGACTTGGTACCTTTTCCTGTTTTTCTTTTACTAGTATTTTTTCTTTTTTTGAATTTTAAAATTATTAATTATTTTATAATCTAAGTTTTTAAAAGAACTCTTATGCCGTAAAAGGTTGTAATTAATTTTGCTACAAAGTTTCTTTTTAATCAATGTTAAACATGTTTTTATGCTTATAGTTAACATTTTTTTATATTGTTATTAAATTTTCTATCAATTTTACCAATATCTTTATACTAGACAGTTTATTTTTCTATATATTATATATATATATATATATATATATATATATATATATATATATATATATATATATATATATATATATATATATATATATATATATATATATATTATATATATATATATATATATATATATATATATATATATATATATATATATATATATATATATATATATATATATATATATATATATATATATATATATATATATATATATATATATATATATATCAATATACATATATATATATATATATATATATATATATATATATATATATATATATATATATATATATATATATATATATATATATATATATATATATATATATCTATATATATATATATATATATATATATATATATATATATATATATATATATATATATATATACATATATATATATATATATATATATATATATATATATATATATATATATATATATATATATATATATATATATATATATATATATATATATATATATATATATATATATATATATATATATATATATTAGGGCTGTCCAAAAAAAAATTTTTTTTTCAGATTTGAATATTTAGATTTCAAAATTTTTTTTTTCAGATTTGATTGCATAGTTGTTTATTTTGTGCCATTTGACATATTAATTAACTGTGCAAAAAATCTTTCCGATCAGATAATATTTAGGGGGTGCTCAATGACCATAAAGTTTTACGAAAAATGTGAAAAACATTCAAACAAACAAAGTTCCACAAATTTCTAAAACCCGGTTAATTAGATTTTTCAGATTTGATCAGTTTTAATTATCTCTAAATATTAAATTTTGAATACAAATTACAATCCACATCCACTTTATACTGGTTTATTAGCAGAGAAATTAATGAAATAAAATACTGCAATACGACTAAAGTTCTGCGGTTTTTGTTATATCAGAATTTTTCCAAAATAAAACACTAAGATTTTTGACTCTTTGTCATTGATTAAAATACGAATTATAAACAAAAAAAATTATTGTAAAGGAGTAACAGTTTCTCAAACTGTTATCAACTACTAAGTAGGTCAACTCAAAAACATATGAGCAATTAACATTTAATTATCGTAATGTTATAGTTCGTGCAATGTTAATGCTAGCGAGGACTATAACTCTTCAGAGTACACTTTCTGGCATCTGGCACTCGCTTTCTGTTATCCTCAACCACCTGAATTAACCTCTGCATTTCAGATTCATTCCTTGTAATCGATTCATTAAACATCGACATTAAAGCCACAGATCGTTTGGCAGCATCATTTACTACTTTCAATGAATATACTAAATTTTTTCCTTCTTGGTATTCTGGGGAATCATTCCAGGTAGCTGGATCGTTGTTGAACAGAAAATCAATATCAACCTTCATTGACCGCAACGCACTTGCTGAAACTGATGTCACCAGCATGTCCAGAGATTTCTTCTCTAGACTTTCAATGTTCTTTAATTTGATCAACCTTTCAGACCAGTTCTCACCGTGAAACTTCATGTTGGAAATCATTTTTCGCTTCTCTTCCGTTTTAAGTTTGTTTGAAAACAAAGCTAGTGGGACCAATTCTGGTGAAAGGTACCACAAATGGTTTTGAAATTTCTTGACTGCTGCTTCGGAAATCGTTTTATTCACAACTGCAAACTGCTTAAGTTGCTGAAACAGAAACAAGTCATTAACTGGAGCATCGCTGGCATTTGGGCATGATATCCAAGATTTTACATAAACCAGACTAGCAAATAAGCAAAATTAACAGAGATTTTTTTCCTCTTTTGTGGTCAACTTGAACTCTTCACGAAATAAATAAATCTTAAAACAATAAATAACCTTGGCCATCCAGCGAGCCATGTGATAAGCACCAGGGATCTTGAAATGATAATTTTTCTCTTCTTGATCAGGCAGTTTTCCAAGTATTAACAGACAGAGATCCATGATTTCTTTGTAGTCATCCCTTGGCATTTTAACATGCAGGTTTTCTTTGAGGAATGCCATCACTTCATTTTGTAGTTCTTGCACCAGGGGTATTTTTATTCGAATGTCATCCAGAGGTTTAAAATTTCCTTGATTAACTTTGGGCCAATATTGCTGAAATCTCTGGAAAAGAGGTATGTTGGGACCAGATGATGGTCCAAATAGTGATCCAAACACTCCTGCTACTATGATCTCATGAACATGGTGTCTGCAAGCAAAATATAACAAATTTCTACCAATATGTTTCTCTAGAACTACACATGCACCATTTTCGGAGCCAGTGTTAGAGGCTGTAGTATCAAAACTCGTTCCAATAACATCACCAATTATGTCCCAGAAATTAAGCAGATGAATAACTGCTTTTGCTTGGGCTTCTCCAGTTCCAGCTGATAGTTTTGCTATTCCAAGTATTTTGTCAACATTGTGACCTGTCACACCTACAGATAGCCGGTCAACATTTGCTTTAGGGTCTGCAGAATTTGTACGATCTATCATCAGTTTGCCATCCCAGTGGACGATTAATGGTGGTTTGTCCAAATCGCAGAATTCAGTTCGAACAGTGGCTTCAATGTTTGATCGATGATAGGTTCGTTTTCTATGGACTGTAGAACGTGACAATGATCCATCATCGAGGTTCTGTCCACCAGCCCTTGCAATTGCTGCTGCTAGTATAGTAAATTTTGTGTCAGATAGATTAATTCTGTCTAATGTTGATGAAACATCAGGCGAGTCAAGAATTGTATCTAAGATACATTGTCGTTTTGGAGTACTTGCTAAACTTGATTCAGCTGACCCTGAAGAACTTGCTTTACTGACTTGTTGTCTGTAATAAACAGGGATTTCTATCTCAAAATCTCTATCAACCATTTTGTCATTATCAACAGCATCGTTATCGTTATCATCACTATAACTTTCGTCATGTAAAGGTTCAATAACAGGAACTATTGCACTCGCATCAGATTGTCTTTGCTCTTCTTTTAGCTTTCGTTCTCTCTCTGCTTGTTTCCTTGCTTCATTTCTTGCTTCTAATTTTGAAAGTTCTTTGTCCTCTCCAAACATCACCATTTTTCTCTGACATCTCTGATCCAATAAAAATTCTTTATCTTCTTCAATTCTGATCATGGTTTCAGCATCCTTGTGGGTAATGTCAAAAAGTAGGCCAATGGTGTCTGTAAATGATTTCTCTCTTGATTTCTGAGAATCTGACAATCTGGATTTTTTTTTTTTATTAATTTAAATTCCTGGACTAAAGTTTTCAACTTTAAGACTACATTCGGATGAAATGCTGTCGGAATACAGGCTTTATTCCAAATAATAATCAGTTCATCAACAGTTGTTTTAAGACTTTCAGGCACTGACTTTTTGGTTGAATTAAGATGATAAAAAAATGTTTTTGAAACATCAGATGTTAAGGGAAGAACTTTATCTGGAAGATTTGGCTCTGGTTGTCCAATTAAAAAGATTTCGGTTTGAAGTCGTGTAGAGATAGCAACACGAGATGATGCTGCCATTTCAATGATAACTGAAAAATTATGAGAAAATCAAAACTCAATACCATATTATACAAACTTATCATTCAGTTGTTGGTTTATGCAGCTGCAGCAATATATAATAATAATTATTACTAAAGAAATTAAATAAATATTTTCAAATTAGAAATTATTATTATCTGCACTTAATTACAAACAATACACTACCAGACTACCATGCTAGTTTTCTGTAATAGGTTACTAAGGTTAGGTACTATCAAAATATTAATACATTTGTTGTCAAACTAAAATTCCAAATAAAAATAATATTTATACTTGTAAATCTTTTTATTCTGTTTGAACAAATTCTAAATTGAGTTAAATAATAGTAATAAAATTATGAATACAAATTTAAATAAAATGATATAAACACAGCTGTTTTAAACACTAGCAGACATTTTTTAGTCTGGTGCCCTGATGACAGTTAATCTGCTGCACTTTAATTAATCTATATAGCACGCAATCAGACAATATTTCAGTGGAAAAAATCTAACTAACCAGGTTCTAGAAATTTTTAGAACTTTGGAACTTTTTCCACGTTTTTGATGTTTTTCGTAAAACTTTATGGTCATTGAGCACCCCCTAAACATTATCTGATTGGAAAGATTTTTTACACAGTCAATTACTATGTCAAATGGCACAAAATAAACAACTATGCATTCAAATCCGAGAAAAAATTTTTTTTCCTGTGTTCACATGAAAAGCCCTAATATATATATATATATATATATATATATATATATATATATATATATATATATATATATATATATATATATATATATATATATTATATATATATATATTATATATATATATATATATATATATATATATATATATATATATATATATATATATATATATATATATATATATATATATATATATATATATATATATATATATATATATATATATATATATACTATACTATACTATACAATGTCTATATTATTCCATCTAGATATTAAAAAAAAAGAATTTAAATTATTGAAGGTATCGGTAAATGGTTGATATGATGTAACATGTTCATCAATTTTTGTTTGCAAAAGTTGGCATGTCTTTTTTATTTATTTACAAAACAGTTTTCACTCTTTAATATTCAGCTATAGATTTTTTTAAACTACTATCATTTTTTAAAAATGTTATATTTGTTTTACTACTTACAATACAACATGTAGTATTTAAACCAAAACTCAGCTTCTATGTTTATTTCTTTTCTAAACCAGTTAAGTGTATGTCTATATATTAAACAAAATTTACACACAAAATGTTGTATTTACAAATGTACTCAATTGATAAACTATTACTCTTTTTTTTACTACTAGAGATACTACATTTTGACAAATAACAACACAGCCAATTTTATTTTAGACGTACTGTTTTTGTTGTTGCTGAGCCAGAAACCAGTTTTTGATACTGGTTAAAAAACCAGTCTTTATTACTAAGAAAAAAAACAGTCTTTGATACTGGATATTTTTACTGCAAAGCCATTCTTTGTTACTTAAAACAACAGTTGTTTCATGACAATTACATGACATGACAGTATTAAAGAGATGTGCTTCATATGTTAATAGAAAAGCACAAATATTTTTTTTGACAGACTCCTTAGCTCACCTTCACGCTGGTGTCTGTTGTTAAAAATGATTATTAGATAGTTTCATTGCTGAGACTAATTACTTTTAATCATTCACTAAGAGCTAAGAAAAAATTAGTTTATTAAATTCATTTTGCTTATATTTGATTGTAATTTTAGTTTAATTGTTATAAAAATTAACTTTACCTTTGGCTTCCAAAGAAATATACGACCTTCTACGAACCAAATATTATATCAAAGTAAGTTTTATTTTTTAGGCATTTTAGCATTTTTTTTACCATAAACTAATTACTTTTATTACCTTTTTTTTTTGGAATTACATTTCATTGTTGATTGTTAATAAATATTGTAATAATAACTACGTAGTTGTTTCTTTTAGACTGGCTATTTTGAATCAGTGAAGTGATTTTGCAACGAACCATATGTTGTGAAGTCTTTAACATTAAATCAAATATATATTCTTTAAAAAAATGTTGCTGTTTATATTTGTTTATAAAAACATTTTTTAAAATTTAAAAACTTTTATATATAACATTTGAAATTTTTAAGTCAAATAAAGATTTCTTTTTTCTCGATTAATAGTAATATAGCTATAAAAAGCAACAACGATAGTTTTTATTTGGCCTCTCAAGGGAAGAGGGTGTTTCTTAACACCCTCTCCCCTTGATTTTTCAGCTTGCAAAATTTTGTCACTAATTTTTGCTTAAAGCAAGTTTTTGTTACGGAACAAGTAAAGAGTTTTTTTGCTTCGTAAGTTTGATAAAGTTTAATAAATGGTTAAAATCCTCTTTTTACTGTATTTTCTTCAAAAGGGGTCCCGTAGGAATTTTAGTCCAAATCTAATATATGAAATGGGGTGGGAATGTAAGTTGAATATAAAATTTCAACTAATACTTTTTACAAAGCACCATAACGCAATTTAGTTATAACGTGGCTTAAATTCAAATCAACATTTTTAAAAATCTGTTTTAATTTAAATAAGATTTGAAATGTTAATATAAATTTTAGTGAGCTAATAGTGAAATGCTAATATGAATTTTAGTGTTGCTAAAATAAATATTAGATTTAGTGAGAAATAAAGTCCATTTTCGACAAATCCAGATTTACTAGGTCGATGAGTTTTAAAACTGATTCTACGCTGAAAGTTTCTGTTTTTATCACTTATTGAAATAAAAGCAATTTTCTCAGTTTTAATTAAAATATTTTAGAATTTAAGGGAAAATGCCTATTTTCAATTGTTATTTTTAAGGAGACTTGATAAGTAAAAATTAATAAACAAGGGTTGGTGTGGCTTAGAAAGTTTGGAGCGGGTATAAATATTTTCTTAAAAAAACGTCTCCCCCTATCCTTTAGGATTTGAGAGTCACCATTAAATTTTGACATAAGTTGCAAGAAATGTCTCGCAAATGCCATTTATGTTAAAGTTAGTGTTCACGCAATCAATAAGTTTAATCTTCGCATCTAGGACATTATCATTTAGATGTTTTCATTTGATTGATATTTTCTTGCGTTATAAGCCGGATAAGACTTCTAATGAACTGTAAGCACGTGGAAAAAGTGTGCATCAATATCCTAAAGACCCGTATTTTACGGGTCATGACAGCTAGTCTTAATATAATACTGAATTTCCAAACAAAAGTTTGGTTAAGGTAACTTCAACCAAAACTCAATCTAACACAAACTGTCATTCAGTTCCTTCATGCTCAAAAAATTTTAATAAGATTCTTAATTCTTTTTTTAACTTTTACTTATTAGCTTAAATAAGTAAAGATTTTTCTCTTTTAAAAAGATATACTTGTTTTTTGTTTGTAAAGTATTGATTTATATTTAGTATATATTATCTGTTAAGTAATATTTTATCTATGTTTATTTATATTTATTTTATTTTTAATAGTAAACTTAATTTATATTTAATATTTATTATAATGATATATATATATATATATATATATATATATATATATATATTTATATATATATAAATATATATTTATATATATATATATATATATATATATATATATATATATATATATATATATATATATATATATACGTATATATATATATTTATATCTATATAAATATATATATATATATATATATATATATATATATATATATATAAAACAGTTAAGCACTTGCATTAGTGCTATGGCGGTTTTCAGAAAAGCGTTTTTTTTCTTTCTTTCAATTATGCGATAAAAAAGTGCAACAAATTGCACTCAATTTTGGAATAAAAAACAACTCACAATAAATCATTCAGCAATTAGCTCTATAAAAATGACAGCATTGCAATTACTGAACTAAATATCGCATATGCAACTAAGCGCTCCCAATTTCTTATCTAAATATTGAAATTTACTGCATTACTAAAATTATTTGAATTGCGGTAATGCCAGTGCTTAATAACAATACTTAAAAATTTTGAACAAAAAAAAAAAAAAAAAGCTATAGATTTAGATATTTTTAAAAGCAAATTAATAAAAAATACTATATATGTAATAAAAATCAAAAATTGAAAGCATTTTTCCTGAAACAATGTATCTGAGATTTTTTTAAAACTAAATGAGTTTTTAATATTGCTTAGAAACAGGAAATGAATTACAATTTGTTATAATATCATTTCCTATTTCAAAGCAATTTTTGACATTTTTTAATTACACTTGAAAATTAAACAGTAAACTTATTATGATCTATTATCCTTAATAAAAAAAAAGGACATAAAGTCCTTCATAAAAAAAGGATAATATCTTTCATAAAAAGGACATAGAGTCCTTCATAAAAAAGAACAATATCCTTCATAAAAAAAAGTTCTTTCATAAAAAAAAGGCAATATTCTTTAAAAAAAAGGACATAAGTCCTTCATAAAAAAAGGAAAATATCCTTCATAAAGTGCAAATATAATTTAAATTTAAAAAAATTGAATAATTCTCAGAAGTTCTAAAAAATATATATATATATTTTCTCTTTAAAAAATACTATGAACTAATAATAATAAAAAAATAAATAACAACCTGATTATAAATAGCAAGCAGTAAAGCATCAACAGAACATGATATCTAAAAACATTTAAAAAGAAGTTTGTTGTATTATGCAAATCATTAAATCACAACTTTTTAATTTGTTGAAATAATTTAATTCAATTTATTGAAATGCTAAAGAAAGAAACTTTGTTTTAATTATTTAATATGTTAATTAATACTCAAATTAGATTTAATTGACTAACTAAATTTAAACTTAATTGACTTTTTTATAATAAAGCCATTATGAATATTTAAAAATGATTTTTACACATTAAAAAAGAAACCTCAAAACTGCATTGCACTAAGTAAATAAAACCTGATTTACAAACTAATACCTAATTCAATGTAACTTACTTTATTATCTAGATTAACTTTGACCTTGCTAAGTTGTAATTTGTAAATTGAAGACAACATAGACAAATCTCTATCAAAATCTGAACCAGCTAACAAATGAATAAATATATAAATTGAATAAAAATAAATATAGCTGTACTACCCTTACTTAACTTGGAATAAAGTTTATCACAACTTAACTTAATATAAATATGTTGTTTAACTACTAATGGGTTATCACTGTAGTATGGGGTTTACTCCACTTGAATCAACAAAAAAATTCAGAAGAATCAATACTTTCATAGTTTAAATAAGAATCTACAATTAAAAATCCTAATTACTACTAACAAAATATTTGCAAACTTGGCAACTGTCCTGTTTTATAATACAAACTTTTGACTTATATTTCTTTAAATTAACTTTTTTGAAGCAATACTGCATTTTTAAAACAACAGATGTAAATCTATGTTGTTTTTTTGAATTTCTTTTTAAAAAAGGTAGAACTGCTCCTCCTGTTTTAGCCTATTTACTTTTTCTAATTGTGAAATTAATTGTGTTTTGAGAGCTTCGTTTTTAGAACTTAAATCTGTTATTTTAGTCTCCAACTGTAATACTTGCATTTTTAATATGCCTATTTGCTCCAAATTAGTTTTTTACATTAGAAGTTAATTAGAAGTTAGGTCAACTCAACTACTTAGCTCATGATTCCTATTTAAAATTGAAAAACCATTTGTATTTGATGATTTTTTTTGAACTTCATTTTAAGCATTTAAAATCATAGAAACAAATTTATAGATAAAAAATATGGTAAAAAGTCAGATATTTTAATACAGCAACCTCTAATCAATAACCAATATTTCTGAAAATTTAAGCATATAAATGTTAGGTACATTCAGGAAGGCAAACAATTACATGCCATTATATGACCAAGCAAATAAAACTTTGCTTTGACTTACAGCTATTAACATTTTAACAGACGCACTGAATAAAAAAGATTTTATGTTTATAGGTTCGAAATCAATAACATTGAAATTTTTATCATTACTAATGTTTTTATATAAGCAAAACGTTTTTAAACAAAGTAACAAATTACTGTTACTAAATTTTGTTTAAAGTAACAATGAAAGTTAACTTTTTTTTGTTTATATTGTATAAATTATATAAATATCCATTTTTTATGTTAAATTTTTTTTGACAACAATAGTCTCTTTAATTATTTTTGTATTAACATTATTAAAGATAATGCACTCAAAAAGATAAAAAGTTTTGTTGGAAAGTCATTACAATTAAATAACTTTAATCTTTAATGTTTTTATATAATTGAAACACTTAAAGATGAAATCAGCTTGGTTGCTCTATTTTTTTTAAAGATGGAATCAGTTTAGTTGCTCTATTTTTTCAATGATGGAATAAGTTTGGTTGCTTAATTCAGGTTGGCCACTCAAATTTGCAAATTACAAAATTTTTCCATGAATTTCCATGACTCTTCATAAACTTTTATGAACAATCACTAGAGGAAAATATTCAGTACTTGTCATGTACTACTTTGCAAAACTTTCAGTACTTGCCATACACTAAGCATTTACAACTTGGTCATTATAAAACATGCAAACTAAAAACTAATTGGTAGAAAGTTCTGAAATCATGTCTAAAAATAACTCTTTTTCTTTTACTTTTCTGATAAATTATACTGCAAAAATATCTTTTTTCAAAAAGGACTTAGACTAGACATACTAGTACTACTTTTTGCATCCTAAAAATATTGCAAGTAGAAAAAAATAAAGATAATTTTAAAAAGTTCCATTAATTTTCCATGACTTTCAATGAAAATTTAGGAATTCCATGACTTTTTCCATGACCAAATAAAATTTCCTGACATTTCCATGATTTCCATGACCAATGGCCATCCTGTTAAATTTGAACTTTTTTTAAATGTTTTATATCCTGGTATTGGTGAGAACTTTAAATTGAGATAACATCTAAATGTGGACCTGCAAGCAATGTGTATAATAATTTTGCAAGAAAAAAAAAAAACTTTTTAAAAACTCTATTAACCATACCAAAAATTCATTGTTTTCTGCTTTTATCACTTTTGACTGTGTCGCTTTTATTTGTTTTATTTGTTGTATGTCAAAAAAATCGCTTTCAATTCCAATTTATTGTAATTCGGTATATTTGATATATAAACAATACATAAACAAAAATTACAAAAAGTTAAAACTATAATTAAAAAAAAAATTAAAAATACCTCCTTAACATTAGCCACAAGACTTTTATAATGCAACCATATTATCACAGGAGTGACTTGAGTTATTAAAAGCAAACACCTTTCACTCTTCAAAGAATATACCCAATATAAACATTGACACAAGCTTATCTAAAAGTAAAACAATTTTTGAAGAAGTAAACACAAAAAAATAAAAATATTTTATTTAGCTGATTTAAATATAAAAAACTAATTAACAATAAAAGAAATTAACAATAATTAACAATATAAGAAACACTTTTAATTTGTTACCAGAATCAAACTGTTTGATTCATCAAAGATTTGGATTATTTCATCAGAAATAATTGCATTTATTTCTTCTAAGAATGTTTCTAACTGTTCTTTACTTCTTTCCTTAAATCAAATTTTTGCATCTAAATATACTTCATACTTGTCACTGTTAAATTTAAGAATAAATAAATTCAATTAAATGTCTACTTACAAAAATACTTGCGTATTTGTTAATTTTTTATTTTACTATTTTTAAAAACCTTATAAATTACCTTATAAATTTCTAACAAAGTCTCAACTGATTTACTCAATGACATGATGAGACTTTCATACAACACGCCATTATTAAAGATTTTTTTTGATATTCATTACAAATTTATAATGGATAAAATCTGGAACATAAAAAAAAACTTATTATAATAGTTAAATAAAAATTACAATTATGCAAACTGCTTACAGTTCAACTCTCAAGTACTTTAAAAGAAATTTTTTAAAAATTACAATTATACAAACTGCTTACAGTTGAACTCTCGAGTACTTCAAAAGAAATTTTTGAAAAATTACAATTATACAAACTGCTTACAGTTGAACTCTCGAGTACTTTAAAAGAAATTTTTTAAAAGTTACAATTGTACAGTTAAACTCTCGAGTACTTTAAAGGAAATTTTTTAAAAGTTACAATTGTACAGTTAAACTCTCGAGTACTTTAAAAGAAATTTTTAAAAATTACAATTATGCAAACTGCTTACAGTTCAACTCTCAAGTACTTTAAAAGAAATTTTTTAAAAATTACAATTATACAAACTGCTTACAGTTGAACTCTCGAGTACTTCAAAAGAAATTTTTGAAAAATTACAATTATACAAACTGCTTACAGTTGAACTCTCGAGTACTTTAAAAGAAATTTTTTAAAAGTTACAATTGTACAGTTAAACTCTCGAGTACTTTAAAGGAAATTTTTTAAAAGTTACAATTGTACAGTTAAACTCTCGAGTACTTTAAAAGAAATTTTTAAAAATTACAATTATACAAACTGCTTACAGTTGAACTCTCGAGTACTTTAAAAGAAATTTTTTAAGTTACAATTGTACAAACTGCTTACAGTTGAACTCTCGAGTACTTTAAAATAAATTTTTTTAAAATTACAATTATACAAACTGCTTATAGTTGAACTCTCGAGTACTTTAAAATAAATTTTTTGAAAATTACAATTATACAAACTGCTTACAGTTGAACTCTCGAGTACTTCAAAAGAAATTTTTGAAAAATTACAATTATACAAACTGCTTACAGTTGAACTCTTGAGTACTTCAAAAGAAATTTTTGAAAAATTACAATTATACAAACTGCTTACAGTTAAACTCTCAAATACTTTAAAAGAAGTAACTGAAAAAAAATAATCAAGAAAAAGAACTTATTTTTCTAATATTACAATAACATTAACACTTAATTCAAACTACATAACAGTACTGTGACTATAAACTAATGTTTATTTGGACAGTGTTCAAATCACTGAATTAACTATGTATATTATCATCAATTTTATGAATTCTGTGATTCCAAATCAGATCATCAACAGTCCTGTTAATACTAAATTGTAACTTTTGCAAAATTACCTCACTGGCCAACAGTGACAATTAAAATGCTTAAACATAGATAAAAGATGTAAATGCAAGTGCTTCTCAAGAAACACTTGCATTTGTAAAACATAAAAATATTTACAAACTAAACTATTTTAATAAACCGTTAAATCTTTTTTAATAAAATATGAAAATGGTTTATGATTTTTTTTTTTTTAAACATTATAAAATTAATAACTTTCTACAATATAGAAATGATTAGAAATTACAGTATAAATAAATGATTAGAAATTAATAAATAAATTACAAATCTTTACAATTTAACTTCAAATATATAACCCAGCAAACACATGTAGAAAATAAACTAACAACCACATCAAAAATGAAAATTGAATTTAGAATAAACAATTTTATTTAATAAGAATTTTAAATTCCAGAAAAGGAACAAAATTGAATAAAAATGAATATTTCTGTTCAAACGAAATTATTTCAAATGTTAATAAGATTATAAAAAGATGTTTAAGAATATTTGACATTCCTATTAAATTTATTAAACCTATTAAGAACACAATATAAACAAAACTATGCTTGATAAGTTGTTGATGCAACTCGCCCACCATGACCAGTCCAATCAGTATGATGAAAAGTACCAGGAACATCATTTAATTCATAAGTATGAGCCCCAAAGTAATCTCTTTGTGCCTATTTAAAATATCAATAAATTAGCAAGCAATTTTTACAAATATTAAAGTAGAAACTGTTATAATTTATATTTAAAATATCAATAAATTACCAAGTAATTTTTACAAATATTTAAGTAGAAACTGTTATACTTTATATTTAAAATATCAATAAATTAACAAGTAATTTTACAAATACTAAAGTAGAAACTGTTATACTTTATATTAATATATTTATAAAAAGGGAATAAATACTTTATTGAATAAATTAGTGTTATTTATAAAAAGGGAATACTTTATTGAATAAATTAGTGTTATTTTTAGGTTGCTTTTATACTTTTATATAAGAAAATTAAAAATATCAATAAATTAGCAAGTTTTTTCAAATACTAAAGTACAAAAAAGAGCAAAAAATACTTTATTAAATAAATAGCCTTTATTTATTAAATAAATAGGTTTTATTTAAACTGTTATACTTTAATATGAGATAATAACAACTTTTAGTATTAGAAGTGATGATATTTGTAAAAGAAATTTTTACTATTATTGATGATAATAGTAAAAGTTTCTTACTTCCGATTTGATTCTCTACTAATCTCTTTGCATTCTTCCCTGTATGGAATACTTTTGCCATATTTGGGCTGGTTTTTCTAAAGATACTCTTTCTCTATTTGACTAAGTCTAAAAACGTATTGAAAATGTAGTAAGACCTGCTCTTTCTGCCAGGTTTGAACCATTATCCAATTGTTGCAAGGTTACATCTCTTTCTCTTTTCTACAAATACTATCATCCTTGCTGCTTAAACAAGCTATCATCTTTAGCTCCATCAACTAAAACTCATTCTCACTTGACACATCATTATGCAAAGTCATATTCTTTTACTGTATCTGTCTCTTTTAACTATCTAGTTTTTTTCCTCTCACATCAATGCTTTGGAACTCACTCCGACTTTTTTTTTTTCACAAAAATTTTTTGACACACATGATATAACATGACTTAAAAATTGAACAAAAAATGAACAGCAAGAAAACTATATTGCTTATTAAATGAAACATAAATCAAACATCTAAATCTATTTCCATTTAAAAATTAGTTGTCAATTGAGAAATAGATTTATTTACACATTAGAACTCTTTCCCATCATCATGTTTTCCCGATTCATTCAAATTACAGTGTTCTAAATAATCTTTAAACTGTTTTATTTCTCTTACATTTGTTTTAGGCGTGTTGTAGTTTACCTTTTGATGAAACCATGTTCACCAGCATTCAAGTAATTTGAGTTTATATTGTTATATCTAGTCTTTTATTTTATGAAACTATGTTCACCAGCATACAGGTTGATTGATTTTATATAGTTGTATCTATGATTAGTCTTTTTATGAGACCAGCATTCGAGTTGTTTGAGTTTAGGTGAATCTATGATTAGTCTTTGCATTACTTTACTACTGGGTATTGATGAAGAGATGGGTTTTTCTCATAAATAGTGTCAGTGTTGTGATAAATAGAAATTGTTATTCTTTAATATTGTAATAATTTGTGTAAATATATAACATAATATTGTTCTTCTAATTTGTGTAATTATATAACAAAATATTTCTGTAAAAACTTGAACTTTTAAGCTTAAACTGATACCTGAATTAGATTAGCAGGAAGTCTTTCAGTGCTAAAAAAATCAAAGCATTCAGATTTCTTTTCAAATAAAACTTAAAGTTTACATTTAAAACTTAAAGTTTACATTTTAAATGTTCACTCACCGAAAACCATCATAAAAAGCTAATGCAGATGAAAAGCATGGAACAGCCACACCAAGAAGAACAGCATTTGATACAGTTCGTCGCCAAGACAACTAAAAAATCCAAAACAAACTTTTTATCTTTGAAGAAAAAATTTTATCCAAAAATCTTTTAACTTTTTAATAATCCTCTGTATTAAAAAGCTACAAAAAATTTAAGTTTTTTAGTTTTTTCTTAACATGCAGTCAATTAAATAACTTTACCAATATTAATTTGCTTTTATTATATCTGAAAAACATATCTAAACCTAAACCCTATATATCTAAAAACCTTATTTCGCTTTTAATAAACCTGTCTATAGGCTATCTATAGATATTTTAATAACACTATAGGAACTAAGGATGTTTTTCCTATGATTAATTAGTATATTATCTTTAAATAAATAGATTTTTAAAAGATAAAATCTGATATTGCTAGATAATGAAAAGAAATTTAAAAAAATATTTATAAAAGACAAACAAGTTCTTAATTTGTGTTAACAATTTTTCATTAGTAATTTTTTTAATATGGTTGTTTTTTGCAACTTCTTAAGTTAAAAATAATTATAATGCTAGCACTTTTAATAACATCTTGAATTAGCTGTACAAATATTTTTAGGGTATCAAAGTATATGATTTTAAATTAATCAAATGAATTTTGTCAAGTGGTCAGTTTTTATGATTTTCAAACTTGTGTAAATTTTTTGATTTTCAAAACGTAAGTAATTTTTAAAGATTTATATATTTTGGAATTTTTCTAATTTTTAGTATTATAAAATTACTTAAAAATAAAAATAAAAAAAACTATTATAAATTTTTCAAAATACAAAATAATTAAACATACCTGAGCTTTATGAATAGCAGCTTTAAAAAAATCATCCAATAGCAAATTTGTAAGGTTGGGATTTTTTTCAAAAGCATCACAAATATTTCCAAGAAACTGGCTATAATTCAAAACAAGAAGATTATAAATAAAAAATATAATTATTATATTATAATTATTATAAACATATAATTGTTATATTATAATTATTATAAACCCACTTAAGTACCTTCTTATAATACATCCACCCCTTCACCTAAAACCCACTAAAGTACCTTCTTATAATACATCCACCACTTCACCTAAAACCCACTAAAGTACCTTCTTATAATACATCCACCCCTCCACATCATTGCTATGTTGCCATAATTTAAATTCCATTTAAAATCCTTGGCTGCTTGTCGAAATAACATAAAACCCTGTGCGTATGAAACTATCTTTGATGCATACAAAGCCTAAAAGCAAAAACTTTTTATTAATAAAAAATACAATAAACAACTTATTTACAAATTTTTAAGTAAAGTAGTAAAGCAAGTTGTATACATTTTTTTTAATGGTAACACATACTACCATTAAAATCAGCTGATGAAAAATAACTATGAGTATCTGTTTTTTTGTTGCAACACATTTGTATGTTAGTGCGAGTAATGTTGCATGTTGTATTCAGGTGAGTAATGTTGCATGTTGTATTCAGAGTGACAAATAAAATGTATATTAGGCCAAAACTTTTAACTATTGGAATACTTAAATTATCTTTTGATACAGTTTATGCAGCATTTTAAATGCTACATAAATTATATCTATTTAAATATATTCTAAAAGATTAAAGATAATTTAAATATTCAAATAGATAAAAGTTTAATGTAAATGGCTTCACACAAGTAAAATTGCCATTTTGTACGCAGACAACATAACACTTCTTAACAAGGCCTATTATATATGTAAAATCCTTGTAAATGATTAACACTGTCAAAAATATGCAAAAAAGTTAAATTAAACTTGCTTTAACAACATGCACATATCAACTAATTTGAAAATTGTTTTAATAAATTATTAAATCAAATAAAAATGCTGGTAACAAAAACTGGTCACAACAAAAATGCTGGAAAAAAACCTGCTGGTCACAACAAAAAGCTGGTAAAAAAAAATTTCTATAACAAGGCTTTTATTTAAGCAATATTTGTTTGTTATTTGCCTACTTTTAATAATAAAAAATAACCGACGATTGCTAAACCATTATAAAAATTTATAAAATAGAACATAACTAAGTACTTGCATATTTTAATAAAATTTTACAGACAAAAAAGAATTGTATCAAATGTCAACAAAAAAAAAAAAAATAATACTTTATATTTTAAAAACCTGTAACAAAATATTACTACTACATATATATATATATATATATATATATATATATATATATATATATATATATATATATATATATATATATATATATATATATATATATATATATATATATATATCAGGCTTGGTCGGGAAGCGGGAGCGATCGCTCTCGAATACTGACCACGGAAATTATATTTAGTTGGGAAAAACTGGCCAGGTTTTTTAGTCGTTTTGAGAACATTTAAGTTTATTTACGAAACAAAAAATTTTTGTTTTACGGACATACATGGAAACATAAAAAACTTAAATGTTCTCAAAACATCTTGGTGCGAAAGAATAAAAAGAATATTTGCGAACACTAAAAACCCACCAAATTAACGAACAAACTAATTCTATTGGTGCTGACTAAGCGAAATAAAATTTTGGAGCATTTTGTTGAAATGTTTTAGAAATTATATTATTCACGATTTGTTACGTTTTCAGATTTCTAGCATAAATCGTTTTAAGAATATATATAAATTGTTTACAAAAATAAATGTTTTAAATATATATTAATTAAATTGTCAAAATTTTGAAAGTTTATTATAAATCATAGATTTTATTTGTACATTCTTATTTTTTATTTAAAAAGTATGTATTCTTTATGTAAATGTAATTTTGTTGATCTGTTTTTTATTGTAATGTATATTTTAAAGCAATTTTTATGATTTAAACAAAGACTTACAAAAATAATTGCGTTTTCAATAAAGTTATAATCGTTAAAGTTAATAAAACTAATCATGTAACACATATAAGAAGTTTCTGGTTACTAAACACAAACAACGGATACAAAGTAACTCGTGGATGAACAAGCACCACGCCTGAGGTCACGACAGAACACAAATATATATAGCAAATAATTAGATTTAAAAAAAAGTTTCTAGATATTGGTTTACTAACTCTAATTATTTTCGCTTCATTTGCCATTCTTAAAAACTCGTTACACTTTTTTCTGCTTTAATTACTAATTGAATTACTAACTAATTAAAAAGCCCACTCACTAAATATCATCAGCGATATTGTGAAGCAGTTTCGCTTCCTCATCATATTTTTAACCTTTTTAGTTGATTTCTATCTTGTTAATTTAATGTCTATAGTAATTCAATGATTTAGTTATTTTATTTGTTTATCTTACTAAGAAGAAATGCTTCAAATATGTTAAACTTTTCAAACTACACGAAACATAAAATAGGTATTAATAAAAATTAGCTTGATATATATATATATATATATATATATATATATATATATATATATATATATATATATATATATATATATATATATATCACTCAGGGCTGTAGAGTCGGTGTCGGAGTCGCTAAACAAAATCGCGACTCCAACTCCAATAATAAAACTTCTCGGTATTGCACGTGCATGTATAAAACATTCAATTAACCTTATATTTATATTAAAGAATGTTTCATAAATTTGTCAAAAAACTTTTTTTTAACTTGTCGCATAATATTTTTTAAAGAATTCAAAGAACTTTTCAAATATTTTGCTTTGGAGTTGAAGTCGGAGTTGGAGTCGGAGTTAGAGTCGGAGTCGGAGTTGTACTCAAAAAATTTCATCAACTGAAGTCGGAGTCGTTACTTTTTTTTTACGACTCCACACCCCTGATATATATATATATATATATATATATATATATATATATATATATATATATATATATATATATATATATATATATATATATTAATATAATTATTTTATATAAGTCATTCCATGGCAACTGGACAGAGGTCCAACATGGACCCCTCTAATTTTGATGAAACTTAGTAGTTTGTTAATATCAATGAGAAAAGCAATTCCTGAAAATTTCAGCATAAAATCATTTGTACTTCATGAGATATGGTCATTTGAAATTTCTGATTTGTCCAAAAATAAATTCCTGGTGAAAGAGAAGCAAGTGGAACTTTATGCTGCATTTTAGGTATTTTTACATTAGTATACATATTATCAAATGTAAAGTAGATAATGATTGTGGTATAAAACAATGGTGATTTTTGTTCCTGGAATTGTTGAACAAGTAGCATATTGATCTTCTAATTTAAACTTTATGCAACCTAATACAATTGCATCATTTGAAATGTATTGAAAATATATTTTTTTGACATTTTGTCTACACCAATCACACATTTTCTCAGGTGAATTGATAGGATCTGTAAGTGATTGTCAACTGGTTTTAGTTACAAGTCTTTTGAACCCCCAACAGAATGCAAGCACTCTTTCCATGTGATGTAGCAAAAAAATGCCATTCTGCAGATACTATATGATCTAGTTCATGGTGACATAAGTTAGATATATTTTAATAATTTTTTGTATTGTGAACCTACACCATCACTAAAATAAATGCAATGGTTGAAGTAAGGCAACAACTCTTTTGTTTTATTACTTCATAAATGAAACAATGAACTGAGCTTGTATTGAGTTGCAAATGATCTGAAATGATACAAACACTTTTACATTTTATGTAAAAATGATTATTTGGTAATGGTATTTTAGATGCTGCAAATATGATGCTTGATTTTTGGCTATATAATGGTGGTCTCTTAATTGGTCTATTTGTTGACAAGCTTTTTCAATAAAATCATACACAGGAAGAGTTACTGGAACTATATCATGTTTTTGTTGGCTTTTTGCCACTGATTAAAGGTGATATCTTCCATGTTGTGTCTACTAAACAAAGCAGTAAGATACTTTTTTAGTATGTTAGCATCTGGGCAGTTATTGCAACTGTGCAGCATGCAGTCTTGATTTGTTAAGTCACATACAAATAATGTCAAGAGGTCTTTATAGTCTAAAATATCTGGTATTTGTAATGCTAAAAGTTTTTTATTTTGGTGGTACTTACAAACACATACTTAATGGAGACCTGAAGCACCTTCAATAGATATACCACTTTGGTCTAAATTTTTTAGCAAAAATCATTTAAAAGATTCAATGTTATATTGATTGTTTATTACACAATAATATTCTTTATTACATAATCAACTTGTGGATTGTGTTGACAAGTCAAATAACTCTTATATCTTGGTATATGTTGTAATCTAAATTTATACACAATCAAATAAGTCAAATTGATGGGGAAGGGTGGAATAGTGAATGTATTAGAAAAATATTATAAAATTTATAGTCATGATATTATATATAAGGTAAGTTAAACTAAAAGTCTTTCATTTCAGTTTTACCTAATAAGATACTAATAAGTTTTATATAAAAGCATTAAAAACTAAATTTCAGTTTTTATATGTGTATAATTAGTGGTGAGTTTGGGCATAAAGGCACTTCACACATCAGACTTAAAACCAGACACACCATGTAAGGAGAAGTGTTTAACTACAATTTTCTTCTAAGTTCTGGGAAAAAATGTGAATGTTAAAAAGTAAATGGACAGAGGAGGGGGCAATAACTTTATTTTTATTGTTTTTAATGCATTTTAGGTAATTTTCATTGTTCTAATTTTGTAACTTCCCCATAATTACCCACGATTTTTTTTTCTGAAATCGCTGTAATATAATCTATTAAAGTAGAAGAAAAAAAAGTCTTATTAAAACCAGTGTTGATCATAGATTACCGGTGGTTTGAAGTGGAGGCACATTTTCCTAAGATTTAGCTGCAGCCATTTTTAGGTCTATAATATTTTATTGAATTGTATCTTATCAGTAAATTTCTAGAAATTTATAAGCCTACCATATATAGAAACTAAAATATTTCTTTTCACTTCTTAAACTGCAGGTTTTGTATATTGACTCATCGAAAATCAACTTTCTATACTTGCAAACAATTTTTTCTGTTTTTTAGGTAGCCATTATGGAAAAATGTGATATTCAAGAATTTAATGTCAAAGTTTTATTAAAGTGCATGTAGAGTATACAATAAAAAAAACTAAAAGTCTTTCTGAAATTTTGTTTTTAAAATAAAAAGCTTTAAAGTATGAGCAAAAGATGTTTTTGCGAATGCAGTTATTATTTTTGGAAAAATCAGAAATTTCAAATGACCATATCTCATGAACCACAAAAGATTTTATGCTGAAATTTTCAGGAATTGCTTTTCCCATTGATATTAACAAACATACTAAGTTTTATCAAAATCTGAGGGGGTCCATGTTGGACCTTAGTCCAGTTGGCATAGAATGACTCATACACATATATATATATATATATATATATATATATATATATATATATATATATATATATATATATATATATATATATATATATATATATATATATATATATGTATATATATATGTATATATATATATATATATATATATATATATATATATATATATATATATATATATATATATATATATATATATATATATATATATATATATATATATAGAAATTATTAACTACCATTCGAACAATTAATTAAAAATATTAACCTGGCGAATATCTTCAATAAATTCTGCTTTGTTACCAGTATAAATATTTTGAAGAGGTCCTAACAATGATTTGCTAGCTTCAATTCTTTCACATTTTAATGAAGAAAGACATCTTGCAAACACAGATTCAGCTGTAATTTCAATACATATTTAACAAAATATTAAAAAAACTTAAAAAAAAATTAAAAATAGTTTTGTCAAAAAAAAACTTTTACCAATTAGGGTAACAGGTACTCCAGAATCCAAAGCATTTATTGCAGTCCATTTTCCAGTACCTTTCTATTATTATAATATACAAAACAATTTTCTAAACATTTAAGTAATTTTATCCATAGTTTTGTTTTACAATTTTATAATTGTAACTGTACATATTTTATAAAACAAGTAACTCTTAAAAACATTGTAAAGAATTAAGCTCAAATTTTTGTCAATTAATATAACACAGTTTAATACCTGGCCAGCAGTATCTCGAATTTTCTCAACTAAGTAGTCACCATTGGTGTCTTTATATTGAAGTATAGCAGCTGAAATTTCAATTAAATAAGAATCCAGTTCTGTTTTATTCCAATCTTCCATGACCTTAAGAAATTAGTTAAAAAAGTTAAATATATAAATTTATTTATATTAAATTTAAAAATTCAATGCCATACATTAAAATGATATATTATTGTAAAAGACTTAATTATCAATAAAAAAAACTAATTACTTTTCCAATTTCAGGAGCTGACATACCAAGACAAGTTTTCATTAAACTATATGCTTCACATATCACCTAAAAATTTTATAAAACATCTTGTGTATTCAGTGAAAATCAGTTATCTTTGATCCCCAAGACAAAATAATCAAATGTTTAACTATTTATAAAAATGTTTGAGCAAAATACAGGAATTAGTGAGAGGTACTTTTAAAATTTCTTAAAGTTTAGTTTTGGTGTTTCCACTAATGTTTAAATAATAAACATTAGGATTTAATCAATTTTCAAACAAACACTTGATTAAAAGCTAAATTAAACCATAAATTCATTAATTCAATAATAAATAAAACAAACGATGCAAATTAACAAAAAAAGTTTACAAGTATAAAAACCTATTATTTTTTTAAAATAATAACAGGTGAGGAACAAATCAAGCAAAAAATTAATTTTTTCTTTTTTCTTTTTAATTGTTGAAACTTTCATGTTGATTTTTTATTTTCTAGTCTCTGCAAGATATCTAATTTTGGTTGCAAACCAATTTTTAAGTTGTAGTCTGGTTGCAGATAGAGCAAACCAAATATTTAAAAATAACTTGGATTTAAAATAAAATATTAATTTTATTAGATAATACTATATGTATAAACAGATACAATAATAATAACAATAATAATAAACCTACTTGCATATCTCCATATTCTATACCATTGTGAACCATTTTAACAAAATGTCCAGCTCCTTCATCCCCTACCTATACATAAGATAAAAAAACTTATTTTTTCTTAAATAATAAGTGCAAACTACATTTATTGTACAGTTTTGTAAAAACCTAACTTTTTTTTATGAATTATAAAATAATATACATTAAAAAGTGCTATCTTGAAGTCACTAAATTTATGTTTTATAAATTAAAAAAAAACTTTAAAATCCCATAATTCAAACCCTGATGATATATAAAATATCAATAATATACCCAATCACAGCAGGACTCATTTTCTTTAGTCTTTGCAGAGATTGCTTGGAAAATCTGTTTAATATGAGGCCTAAAATAATACAATATTGTTAAAAAAAAAACAAATAAAAAAAGTAATTAATAAAATAAAAAATAAATATTAAAGTTATGTTAAAAAAACTTTCTAATATTTTATAAGGTTGTTCGCCGAAAAACAAAACTTGCGAAAATTTCGCATCTTTATCTACCGTAATAGAATTGTTATTGCGGAAGTTGCACATGCAAAAATGCTGTATATATATATATATATATATATATATATACATATATATACAGTAAAATCCCGTTAAGTTGGACTCTCAATGAACAGATAAACAGTATGCCTTTCTTTTTAAGAAGTATAAAGAGAATGTGTGATAAACAATTAAATACTTTATTATAAAGAACGAGAGATCTCTCTAAAGGTAAATGATATCAGAAAGAGTCAAAAGAGAAGAAATATATGTGAAACAGCGGGATGTGAACCTGGGTCTCCGCAGCCAAATGTCTTAACTGAATGAGCTATACGTTCATTCAACTAAGTGAATAGTAATATTTATTTATTATATAATTAAGAAACTATATAAAACAGAATTTACAGAAAGAGATATGTATGCAAATAGGATTCTATATATCAGGAAAATGAATAGTAATGTGAACCTTTAGTTGCTTATAATTAACATCTGGACTCAGAAACTAGTTACTTTTAATGGAACACAATAGGCTGTAGGAGCCTCAGGGAAATTATATTCAGAAATGATTGTATTAGACTCAGAGTTAGCTAGAAATTATTACAAAGTGTTTAAGACAGATGTCTAGTACAAAAAGCACAAGATTTAAAGCAAAATGATTTATATTATTTGAAAAAGTTGTTTTACGTACATTTCATCATAATTTAAGTAGAACTTAAATTATGGGAAGGAAGAAAATTAAAGCAAGGGAAATGTGTAGAATTAAGCACAATGAACTCAATCTTAAAAGAATAACTAACAGAAGAGAGGTTGTCACTATTATGAAGGCGACGAAAGATCTGTAATATAGAACATGGAGGTCAAAAAATGCTATCTTAAGTAAAAAGAGTATAATGAACAAAAGTTACAATGGCTGCGGGATGCAAACCCAGATCTCTGCGGCAAATTATCACGTATCTAATTGATTGAACTATACGATCTTATACTTAAATTTATATCTTATTAAAATTAAAAAACAATATTTTCTAAGATCTATACTTCAAAAAGCGTATTCAAACAGGACTCTACATACCTTTAAAATCTGCTAGAACTTTAGTAACGTGCACACTTTCAGAAATTATTGAAATAGGTAGATTTTATCAGAAATATGCTTAAGCTAGAGCATATTTTTGAGCCTCTTTTTACTATTTGCTTAAGCATATTCGAACCTGTTTCAAAAATTTCATATGCTTTAAAAAAAAAAACATGTATATTCCTACCCATCATTCTTATTTTTAATATACGTAATGAGTTCAAAAAACATCGTTATATATATTTATTATAGCACGTTTCGTAAGTTTATTTCCGTTAAGAATTCTTTCGTATGTTGTGATCCGAAATACTTTCGTTTCGAAAGAAATTTTATTTTTTATCAATATTTCTAAAAATAAAACCATAAAAATTTAATATGTTATTATACTGAAAATAAAGATTCATTATAAACATTTTGGGATTTAAAGATGTTAATTTTTACAATTAAAATCAGTCTGGCAAACAAATTTTCTTTATAGACTTCAAAACGTTGTTTGGCGAAAATGTTTGTTTCGCAAGTGCGACTTTCGAAACCGCTACTTTCGTATGTTGTAAAATAGTTTTGTTTCGTATGTCAACTTGTGAAATGCTAAATTTCAGAAGTGGCTTTTGCGAAATGAACATCGGTGATTTTAAATGTTTTGTAACATTCGGTACGAAAAAATGTAATTCCTCGTTCTCCTTACGAAAGAATGTTGTTTTTCCGGAATTGAACAAAATCCTCCGGTTAATAACCCTAATTTTTTACAAATTAATAAGTCTTCAAAAGAAAAAAAAAACAATTTTTTTTACTAATCTTTTTTAAAGAACCTATAAACCTAATTTAACACCTAATTTATATCAGAATTCAACTTCCAGGTTTTATTAGTAATTAAACTAGTAAACTACCAGGCTAAATTTAGTATTGGCCTGGTAAAATGAATAAAATTAAAATGAGATAAGTTTGCACAACAATCATAACTTTAAACATATTTTTAACATTTATAGGACCACTTAATTAATAACCTCGATCTTATGCCAATGGGATCAAAATGGATTCCCTAAATAAAATTATTTTCAATAAAAATCAATTTATCCAGATATCAATCCAGATATCAATCAAGCTTTCCCAGAAGACATGTGCGGTTTTCTGTCACGTTTGTTCATAAAAAGTTATTTATTTAAACAACTTGGTCACAGCCGTTTGCAAAGTTTCAAAAACAAAGAAAGCAAGACTAATACTTTTTGCAAAACATATACTTGTTACAGGCTTGGATATGAATAGCGTGCGATCGAGCGCTATTGCTGACCATGCAAATGATTTTATTTCTTGACAACTTGACCACGATTGATTAAATGTTTTGATGATTTATACATTTCAGAAATGCGCTGTCAATGGAGAAATGCTAAGCTTAAACTTAAACTAGGAAAAAAGTTTAAAAAAAAAAAAAACAGAAAAAAAACTCTTAAAGGGACTACCAAGTCCCGAGACATGTTGTGTTCATATTAAAGTGAATGTTGAAAAAAAACGTCTGAGCAAATTTTTTTTGATCAAAACTAATTAATAAATGTATACCAAGAAAAACAAATCTTGTTGTTTTAGTCGAAGCTTGTCTTCTCCATTTTCTGCGGTATTTAGAGTCTGTAAAATAAATGCGATTTTCCAGGCGCATTATACAGACTTGATAATTTATTCAAGCGCGTTTAATTCATAGAAGTTTTAGTACATGACGTCATTGGAAACATTCTAGAAATTCCTTTTAAAATTTTACTATTAAATTTTACTAAAATAGCTAACTATTGTTAGTTATTTTATTTTCTAAAATCTTCACATTGAAAAAAACTTTATGTTTTTTTGCAGCTATCATAGTCGTGGCTACATGGGCCATGGCAATGGTGGACTTAGGGACCCCTATGGCGCCAAATTGAGTTATATAATATCTCCGATGATTTACGAGTGTGTTCTTTACATTTTGATGCAAGTTGTTTCAACAAATCTATTGAACAATTAATTAAACCAAGCACTAGGAAAAGATATAAAAAAAAAGAATATACTAATAAAATATATAATTTGTAATTAACTTTCAAAATTTTGACAATTTAAAAAATATATATTATAAAACATTTATTTTTGTAAACAAATGATAATAGTTTAAAAGATTTACAGCTTTGCAGATGTGGCTCCGAGAATGAGCCATAATATTAAAGTAATAGTTCATATAATAATATATTCTTAAAAAAAATTATGCTAGATATCTCAAAACGCAACAAATCGTAAATAATACAATTCCTAAAACATTTCAACAGATTACTCTAGAACTTTATTTCGCATAGTCAGCGTATTTTTTGAACCAATAGAATTAGTTTGTTCGTAAATTTGGCGGGTTTTTAGTGTTGGTGAATATTCTTTTTATTCTTGCGCAAAATGTTTTAAGAACATTCAAGTTATTTATGTTTCCATGTATGTTCGTAAAATAAAAATTAATATATATTAATTTTTTAATTTTAAAGCCCTCGCCATAATATATATTGGATGTTATAATAATGGAAACATAAATAATGTTTTTAAAGTTATAATAATGGAAACATAAATAATACATTTTTGAAAATCAGAGAAAAAATGTGTTAATAATTTTTTTTTTAACATTTACAATGTAAATTAATAAAAGTGCAATATTATTTAGGGTAAAAATTGTTTTATCTAATATTTTGAAAGAAAAACTTATAACAAAAGAAATCAAAATATATGTGGTCTAGACGATTATTTAAAAAAATTTGCGCAAATAAAATACTATTTTGTTTTTAATTTTTTTACAAACACATTTTAGAACTTTAAAATATAATAAAAATGAATATGATTTGGAAATTGCATGTAAAAATAATAATCAGTGTTTTAAACAAACAAACAAAAAAATCCATGACATCATATACTAAAACTTCTATGAATTAAACGCACTTGAATAAATTATCAAGTCTGTATAATGCGCCTGGAAAATTGTGTTTATTTTACAGGCTCCTAATACCGCAGAAAATGGAGAAGACAAGCTTCGACTAAAACAACAAGATTTGTTTTTCTTGGTATACATTTATTAATTAGTTTTAATCAAAAAAAATTTGCTCAGACGTTTTTTTTTTAACATTCTCTTTAATATGAACACAACATGTCTCGGGACATGGTAGTCCCTTTAACGAAAAAAGAAACAAATAAAAATGCTTTACGAAAAAGAAATTATATAAGCACTAGAATAAAAATAAAAAATAAAAATTTAAACTTGAAGCAAAACTTTTTGTTACGTTTTTAAGTACATTTGAAATAAATCTTTTTAAACATTTTTTTAAAGTTATGCAAATCACTTTTAAATTTAGTACAAATTGCTACTAATGATTGTTTAATAAATGAACAAATTATATCAAATTTATTAAAAGGTAATTTTTTAAAATTATACATAACTGTCATAATTTTAAAAAATATTTATCTTGATTGTACTACATAATTTTTTTGTTAAAACAAATAAAATTTGATACAGCTCTTGGAAATAGGGTCAAAATTTTTGTAAATTTTATAATAAGAAAAAATCAACGCAAATCAAAATTTTAGCCATAAAAAAAAAGAGTTTTTAAGAAATAAACTGTCCCACCGTGAAATTATGATTTATTTTATCTTTTTTATTTTTAAGATTTATTTTAAGATTTTTCTTAATTATTATTCAATGAGTTTCACCTGATCGAAGTTCTGCTGGATGTAAATCAACTTGTCAACAGACTCGGTTGAACCTTTGTTTATTTAGTTGTAACGATTTACCCGCCTGCTGAGAAGACTCCTTTAGAGGTTGTAGAGGAGATGGTTATGCACAACCAATGTCAAATTTGCTTTTCCAGTAAAGAAAATATATTGTTATTTTTCCACCATTCTAATGCATTGCACCATTTGTCTGTTTTTAATCTATTCATAGACATATAAATGTCCCATTCTGTCTCAATATCCTCTTGCACTTAATATTGACAGTAAATTTAGCTGCAGCATTATATAATGTACATCATATTATATTAATACATTAGCAATTATTTTCCATGTAATTCTCTAAAGGAAATTATTTATTCAGCAATTGCTAATAATTATTCTAAACTATTGTTAGAAATTATTGTCCAAAGGGAGTTGTTTGCGTAACATAGGATACTAAAAATGAAATAATATCCCTGGATATTATTTCATTTTTATTGTATCCTACTGGTTCTGAGCTAAATAGTTCATTATTTTTCAGTAAGTTTTACATGATAACCACAATAAATATTTTTACTTTTTTTTTATTTATTTAAATAAATCTGTTTATAAAGTCACAAACATGAAATACACACACATAAACCACACAAGCATTAAGAACAAAAACACCAAGTATGTAATTAAATAAATTCCTAGTTATATAAGCTTACCATGCTTCTGGTGCTCCGCCAGGCATCAAAGAAGGACCGTGTCGAGCTCCCTCTTCTCCCCCACTTACACCAGATCCAACAAAATAAATATTTTTTGCTATAAGGTCTTTACAACGTCTCTAATATGTAAAGTATTTTAAATGTTTTTGATGTATTTTAAACATTTAAAAAAAAAATACTTTTAATAAAAATCTAAATTAAAATTTAAAACCAAATAAGTTTTAAATTTCACTTTAGGTTTTGAAATTTATAACCTAACAGGATTTAAATTTCATTTCAGGTTTTGAAATTTAAAACCTAATAGGTTTTAAATTTTATTGAATTGAAATAATAAACAAAAAAAAACACATAAAGCCCATAAATATACTAAAAATTTGATGCAAAAAAAAACATACATTAGTGTCAGTGTATTCAGAATTTCCACCATCAATTATTATATCTCCAGCTTCAATCAATGGTACCTAAAATCAATTCTTGCCTAATTTAAGTAAACTTGACTGTTATACAAATACAAACAAATCAGTATGTACACTTTACTATGCCTATCCCTAATTAAATTAGTCAATACATGATTTGTGTGCCTATGACTAAATAAAAATATCATTAAAGTAAAATTCTAATGAAATAATAATCCAATTTTTTAAGTTTAAGATACAAGGTAACTTATGGAAAATTTTATTATAAATATATTTATTTTATTAATATTTACCTTAATCCTGTTTGTTTAATGGATATAAAATTTATGTACTCAAAAGTACATTAAGTACTTTTGAGTACAAAGATTTTAATTGATATATACTTAAAAAAATCAAAACAAAAATAAAACAAATATTAAGAAAAAAAATCTCTATTCTTAAGTAAATATGAAATCAATAGATGAAGCTACTTTTAGAATCAATTGAGGAATTAATAAAAAAAAAAATTTAAATCAATTGGAGAAACTGCTTTTTTGACCTTATACCTTCTAATAGAAGAAACTACTTTTAGAATCAATAGAGCAAATAATATAAAATATTAAAATAGATTGAGGAAACTACTTTTTTGACTGACGTTTTCTCATCAACTCCAAAAGATGACACAAAAAAAAATCCGAGTAACAATGTTTTTTTCTCACCAATTTTTTTATGTAATCATCAACTGCATCTCCTGCTTTAACTAACAACATAATTCTTCTTGGTTTTTTAAGCTTAGAAACCATATCTTCTAATGAAGTAGCTCCTATTACATTAGTTCCTGCAAAAAAGAAAAAAAAAAAAAACTTTATAAAATATTTTATGAACATTCTTAATGAATTTAAAAAAATAAAATAATACCTTTTGCTTCATTAGCCATAAATTCTTCAACTTTTGAAACAGTTCTATTGAAAGCAACAACCTTAAATGAGAAATTTTTAAAAAAAACTTTACTAATTTTATTTAAAACAAATTGTAAAACTAATTTTAAATATATGTTCAATTACTAAACATGAAATCAATACTGCCAAGCTTTTTTTTAATTCAACCAGATAGAATATAATATACTAAAAAAATTTATGTCCACAGAATATGTTCAGATAGGGTCAGGATTAAAATCATCATGCTACTGATAACACAAAATCTAATAAACCTGCCTATTAAACTCTTTTCATTATCTCCAAATGGGGGTACAGCTTTAAAACTCATGCTCTCAAAAATATTGATTTCTATAGGAGCTTTAAAATATCAAAGTATTAATAGTGCCATGTTGAGAATGGAGTTCTTTTTCTCTGTTAGCACTTTTGTTAGTTAAGTGTCTCTGTTAACACTTTTGATGTGCATCGTTACAAACTTCAGTTAATTAGCAGAAGTAGGGCAACTGCATAGCTCACTGTTTAGTGGGGTGCTACTAGGTATGAATCCAACCAACCTAATTATCTTAGTTAGGTATGAACTCTTTGATTATTCATTTATGTGCTTTTAGCTTAGCAGCTTTTTATTCAACCAATTTTCTTTTATTCCTTATTGCTCTCCTTCTTCCCAAGACTCAAATGATTAAATTGACAAAACGTCTATTTTTTAATCCAATATTGTTGTTATTAGTGACTTTGATACTCCTAACCATAAATGATTTGGTACTAACCCTAACTTAGATAATAATCAAAAACTAATTTAAACTCCTTTCAAAAAATGCTTAATCTATACCTTAACATGGGTTAGCATGATGACCATTTGTGGAAACTTTTATGAAAGTAAGTTTAATTTTAAATTGTTTTAGCAGACTCTGCAGGCTTAACTCGGTAATCATGTTACATAAAATTTTTTTATTGCACAAGACTTTCTACATTATCTTAGCAAGCATGTCGGGTGACATTTTGCATGTCAACATTCATCTTATTTTTTAAATTAAATTATAAATTAAAAAACTTTTAAAATGATTTAAAAAATATCTGCATATTAAACCAAAAAATATCTAAAAATTAAACCAAACCGATGTCAACTTGACCAAATAAACAACATGAAAGGAAAGGAGTTATGAAAGGAGATACGAGCTTCCTTGTTAAATGCTCTTCTGCTGTGACAAGAATGTTTGCACCTATATAACTTAAAAATCTTTTAATATAACTTAGAAGTTTCGTAGTATCAAAATCTTAATAGGAACGTTAGTGTTGTGCTAGAAAAAAAAAATTTTCCAGTAGTCATCAGAGAGGTAATTACTACTAGAAAAGTTTTGGTCGTCAAGATTCTGAGCAATCTTTTACTTTTTTAACAACCCGCTAGTACAAAAATATTAACAATTAATATAATGTTTTTGTGACTTTAGCTTAAGAAAAGTTACTTCTTAATAGCTTAATAATAGTTATAATACTTATAAAATATTTATTCTACAATATACACACTATTAAATAGTACAATAAGATATATTTTATATTAACTCTTTTTACTTTTTTTTTTTTTTCTTTTTACAATCTAAAGAGTTAAAAAATAGTATGTATATATTGTACTTACTATAAAACCATGGTCATTCATGTTTAAAATTAAGTTTTGACCCTAAAGAAAAATGATTTGAAATATGTACAAAATAAATTATTTGCAAAATAATATGTTTTTCAAAATATATTTATATTTTTATTGTTTTTATTATATTTATTGTGTGTTGTTAACTTTACGAAATTAGTTTTCTTACCATTACAGCCAGGCCAATTAAGGCAATGTCTCCTCTAAAATAAAAGTCTAAATATTAGAAAAGGAATTCAAAAAATATATATTTGAGTAGAGTTTATAATGTTAGCTCAACATTTTCCTCTGAATCTAATAACTGAAGATAAAAACAATATAAGCACAACTTTTGGTTGTGGGGCATAGTGTAATATATTATTTACTAGTATATGCATAGTTATGTATATACTAATATATACATAGTAAGCCACTGTCATGTAAATTATAATATTTGGTTCAGTACATATGGGGCATAGTGTAATATAATATTTATTAGTGTATACATAGTTATGTATTTACTAGTATATACATAGTTATATATATACTAGTAAAGACCCACTAAGTTAAAAAGTTCAAAATTAAAAATTGCTGAAGGTTAAGATGGTTTCTAATATAAATTTAATAAAAGCTATAGGTGGGAGTTTAATTCAACTTTAAAGTTTAATTATAAACTTGTCGGTAAACATCTAAAACTAACAGTCTTCTTTAAATAAATAAATGTTTGAGCATAAAAACATGATGTAACACTTTGGTCTTGGTCCTAACCTAAGATGATGTAATTCTCGTCCTACTATTTAATAACTAGCAAAACCTCAAAAACATAGGTCATTTTTAAATTTACAGTCAACACGGCTGTTTCACTCAATATAAAAGCGAGCCTGACGCCACAAGTTTATCAAAAAAAAAAGTATTTCCGCATAAAAAGTATAAAAATTCATTAACTTTAAAATAATAGTATTTTTTTTCTATAAATGCTTTCATCTTTAAATAAAAAAAATATAAAAGATCTATCTTTCCTTGTTAAATAAACATTTACATTAAACGGAATAAAAATGAAAGCTGTAAAAATATTGTTAATAATTTGGCATCACTTTTCTGATTTTTGCGATTTTTACGCAAAACCTGTCTTAGGCCAACTAAGATTTGATAACATAGCTACATGGTCGATGGTTGAAATTTAGAACAGTTATTAATGAATGTCTGTTCTATCTAGATTTCCACAGACTTTGCAAGTTTTTATATAGAAAGTTAGTTTTTAATGCATTTATATTTTTGTTTTTATTCGTTTTGAATAAAAAACATAACATTTTTGAAAAGTCTGTGGATTTAGTAATACTTCAACCTTATATGAATAAGAAAATCAAAAAATTATTTTCTGTACCTCTAGCTATGTTATCAAATATGTTTTCAAACTTGGCATGTTAAGCAACATTTTTTTTAGTTTTTTTTGCATAAATTCTTGTTTACATTTTAAAGCGGTGACGCAAACTCTGATCGTTACGTCCCCAATGATTATCGGATGCATTTTAAGAAAACAAACAAAACAAACGAGACACATTTTATAGAATAAATAACAAAGTTTCGCGGATTAATTTCTCTTGGATATTTGACTAATTTCAGATAAGTTGATTAATCCAATTTTATCTAGTGCATCTATTTGTCAATATTATTCTATTTAAGTTGTTTGCATTATAATTTTATTACTATATCAATAAAGATTATAAAGCAAAGTTTCGTGGATTATTTCCTCGTGGATATTCGACTAATCTCAGATAAGTTGCTTAATTCTTTTATTTTTAGTGTATTTATTTGTAAATATTATTTTATTTAATTTCTTTTATTATATTATTATTATAATATCATTATCATTATTTATGTGATGTATGCAACTGAGAGGGAAATTTTGGAACTGTACATCGGTTGGGAAGATGGTTGGGAAAATGAGTATAACTATAAATTTTGTAAAGCGAGTAATTGACACTAGTAACATCACTAACAATGTGATTTCAATTTTATTAACAGTTTTTCATCCAAAAGCGTTGTTTACTTTTTTAAGTTTTCTTTTGCCAATTGAGTTTAATATGCCTAATATTGATGTGTTAAATAAAATGTGCCGAAAAATAAAACAAAGAAAAAAAGATTCTAAAAAGTATTTTGAAGCTTCAAAAAACGAAGCATTTTTTAAAATGCAACTGTCTCCAGCTCCACAAACAAAAAAACAAAAAAAATCAGCAGATGCAGATAATTTTTATATTTTAAATAGGAATAAGGAACTAAGTAGTCAAGTTGAACAATTAATTTCTAAAGAAAAAAATAATGTGGAGCAAATAGATAATTTAAAAATACAGGTATCAAAGTTGGAAACTGAAGTTATATATTTAAATTCTAAAAACAAGGCTCTCAACGCACATTGTAACTCATTAAGTTCTCAATTAGAGACTATGAGTATTAGGCTAAAACAGGAGGAGCAGTTCCAACTTTAAAAAAAAAAAAAATTAAAAACAGCACACCGTAAATTTGCATCTGCTCGTGCCAAAAATGTAAGATTGCTAAAAAAATTTAAATTTGAAAAAAAAAATGCAAAAATCAGTGATATAAACAAGAACAGTTGCCAAATTTGCAAATATTTTGCTAGCAGTGATAAGGATTTAGTTGTCGTTGATTCTTATTTAGACTATGACAACATTGGTTCCTCTGAATTATTCAGTGGGTTTAAATTAAGTAATCCACAGACTATATCAGTTAAAAAGCCAATAGTTGGTAAGAAATATACTTACATTAAGTTAGGAGATGGTAAATTTTATTCTAAGTTAGGTAGGCATGCTGCAGCTAGACGATCTAAACTTGCTTTTATATTCCTTCGATTATTAGCTTGTTCAGATTTGGAAAGTGATTTGTCTATGTTGTTTTGTGATTCTGTGTCTTGTGAAAAGTCTATGTTTCATTGTGTTGCAAATAAGTTGGGTTTAGTTAGGCAGTTAAGTGTTTCTGATGCTGTAGAGCTGCAGAGCCAATTAAAGATGCCCACGGCTGAATTCAGTAGGCTAAGACGTATTCTGTGTAATCTTGGTGCAAGGATTCTCCCATCTGAGCCCAAGATAAGACAAGAACAAGAAATGCGGACAATGCATGTTAGTAAAGAACATGTTACTGTAAAGTCCATGTTGCTTTATCCATCTGCGAATGAAGCACCTTGTTTAGTACCTGTATTGATGGTCAAGAATTTGATAACTTATATTGAAGAGGTTTTCAATAGTCTGCACGTTCGTGACCACTTCAATTCTGATGTCGGTTTTTGCGAAGAGGTATGGCTCCTTTTTGCTGGGGATAAGGGTGGGAAGTATATGAAATTCCATTTTGAAGTTGTCAATTCTAAATCATCAGAGTCTGTATATGATGTTTATTTATTTTGTATGTATCAGGGTTCAGACTGTCGTGAGAATATTGCCTTAGTTCACGGGCATTATGCCAACGACATTAAAAGAATTCAGTCGTCAGATTTTAAGCTAAAAGGCAAAATAGTCAGGTTGTTCTTAGGTGGAGATTTTCATTTTATCGATGATGTTCTGGGACACCAGGGTTCAGCTGCTAGCTTTCCTAGTTCTACAGACCTAGTTAAGTTGAATTCTCTAAGAAACCATGCTTCTATGCCTCACACCTGCTAATTGTAACATCTTAAGGAGGACAATACAATCTCTGGAAAGTGCTTACAATGAGAACTTGTGTGAAGATAGACAAGGTGGAAACCTAAGAGCTCTAGGTAAGTTTCATAATTCAATTATTGCTCCTGTGATTTTCCCCATAATAACTTTAGATAATGTAGTGCCACCTGTTTTGCATATTATGTTAGGAGTTGTGTTAAAACTTTATAAGTTATTGTTGAAGGAGTGTAAGACTTTGGATTGTCAAGCTGTTTTGTCTTTGTCGCATAATGAGAATGTGAGAACGAATGAATTGTGGGCTGCTAAAAGCTTTGAATGTTCTAAAACAGCAGACTCTTTACATTTATTAGGAAATCAATTTGTAGACGTTGCAAATCTACAGACTCGTGGGTTAGCTTTTGATAAAAATATTTCTGAATTGGAATGCATATCTCTAAACTCCTCCAATAAAAAAAAACCTGTAAACAGCAAGAAAAGTGTGCTAGTATCAGGTGTTTAATTACTAAATATGATTGTAACATTGATTGGGTGCAGTGTGGTGCGTGCCAAAAATTGTTCCATCAATTTTGTGAAATTATTGGTGGTTCGGAAAAGAATGTATTGTGTGATATAGAGAAGTATGAGTGTTTAGTATGTCAGGGTGAAGATTTAGAATGTCTTGACCTTTATACTTCTGAAAAAATTTCTTTTATACGCGCACAGCGCAAAGTTTTAGACGTTGAGTATATTCGATTGCAGATAGAGTGTGAAGTAATATCTATAAGTAGCATGGGGACTCATGAGAGGTCTCTTTATAAGGCCCTTGAAGATATGAAAGTTGAGCGACAAGCTTACCATGGTAATGTATTTGTAGGTAATCATTGTAAAATAGTATTAAGAAACCACTATAAACTTTGTAGTGTTATTGATGATGAAGCAATTAAAAATAGATTTGTACATGTGTTTAGTGTTTTTAATAACTTGCAACCTATTCTTTTTAAGCGAAAATTTCTTTCTGATGCCGAAATTTCTGAGCTTCATCAATATATAAATTTATTTGCTATTGAGTTTCATGCTTGCTTTCCAAAAGAAAGTATCACGCGAAAAATGCATGAACTCATTTTCAATGTGCCACTATTTGTAAAATTGCATAAAACTATTGGGTTGCTGAGTGAAGAGGAGGGAGAGTGTTTGCATAATAGCGTAAATAAGGAATTAAGGCAGTTGCATTCAGTTAGAAATCAGGAGCAAAAGCTGCATCTTATTTTAAAACGCTGTGAATTGCACAGCAAAGCTGATAGGAAGCTTCAAGCCTCTAAGGTGAGAAAGTGTGTTGTGTGTTCAGAGCGTGGCGAAAATTCATTTTATAGACAAAATCTTTGTCTTGTTTGTGGTCATCAAATTTAGTTTAAATGTTTGAAAAGTTAAAAAAAAAATTAAACTTTTTACATCTAAGATAAATTATATAAGATCCTTAATTTACAAATAAGAGAATTCTATTCTGTTTTAATGCCTGTAATGTTTGTTCAAAATAATAATAATTTTTTATTACAATGATTATATATATTAGGTAGATGCCC